AGATGGCATTTGGGTGTCCCTTCCAACTCTACAATCCTAAGATTATTAAGAGGAAGCAAGGTGTGTGTGCGTGTCATGAGTCTCTGGGTGCCAGATGAATCTCGGGTTGCACCTGGGGCCACAGGGACAGCTGTGATCTGATGGCTCCCTCCCTCCCTGTGTCGCCTGCGCTGGGCTGTGGAAGCTCTGATGTCACTGCAGATTCTTGTGCCCTTTCCAGGCTGCTCCTCCATCTGCTTTTGTGGAGATGATCCCCGATGACTCCGGAGAAAGCAGCAACATCCCTGCCAGCATTACTCAGACACCCTTGTGGTCAGCCCTGCATTCTCTCCTCTGTAGGTTATTCCTATTATTATTCCTATTATTATTATTAACTCCTTCAGGCTCCGTCATCCCCCTGGGAAAGTCGGAGAGAGAAAACGGCTTATCTCCCCGCCTAGCCCAAAGCGGGATTATTAAATCCACCAGACAGACAAACTTTTCTTACGGCAGCTCACCTGGTGATCTACTTGGGCATGTGGAAACAGGCTGCCCTCTGGGAGGAAGCTGAGCAGCCCAGGCAGGCAGCCAGGCTGAGAGACGAGGAGGAGGAACCTGGCTGCTTCGAAGGTTTCCTAAAGGGCAGGTGAGTTAAAATCAAAGCCACCGGCCTTGTCGAAGTCTCCTTCTCCTGTGGCAGAGGACCCCGGCTGGCACTTGCTGCCTCCCTTTTCGAGCGGCAAGGGGCCCTGGCGTGGAGAAGGCGGGCAGAGGAGAGTTTCCCCTCCCCTCTGCATGCATGCATAACTTTATTTGTATCCCGCCTGCCATAATTCAGCCCATGCTCAAGGCTGCTTACATGCATAATAAAGGTAGTCATAAACAATAAACGAAACATCAAACGTGCTCAATTAAATAACAATTTCCACATAAATCATCCTAAGATCTAAGATAAAGATACAAGGATTAAGATTGATAATGGCAACGTGTCTGTTCAGCAGCCTCAGCATTTGCAGCTGGAGTCAGTCCGGGCCCCGTCCTCCCAAGCCAGGTGGGAAAAGGCCTGCAAGGCAGGGAGAGGGTCTTCAAAACTCCACAATGGCCAAGATGGTCACTAGAACTGGTGGACATCCACTGACGCTGAATGTTGGCAGATTCAGGGTGGATAAAAGGAAATCCTTCTTCATGCAGCGCATCCTTAAACTGTGGAACTCCCTCCCACTGGAGGCAGTGAGGGCCACCAACTTGGGTGACTGTGAAGAGGGCTGGACAAATTCATGGAGGCGAAGGATGTCAGAGGCAGCAATTCTTCTGAATACCAGTTGCTGAAACGCGCAGGAGGGGAGAGTTGCTCTTGTGCTTGAATCCTGCTTGCAGGTTTCCATGAGCATTTGGTCCCCTTTGGCCTGATCCAGCAGCTGGGTTCTGCTTATGTCCTTGTGGAACCTCCAGGTCCAGAGGCAGTCTATCTCAATCCTAGATTCTTAGGTGCATTTAACCGCTGTGAGATGAGGCTGCTGGGCTCGATGGACTCCCTTTGGCCTGATCCAGCAGCAGCCAGACTCTTCTCAGTGTGGGAGAAGCACCCTTTCAGGGCTTGATGAGGTTCATCTTCCTGGCAGTACAAAGTGTTTCCATTGTGCTGGAAAATTGCCTTGGGACTCAATATCCAGAACTGGTGTGTGCTAAACTTTGGGACTTGGCAGTGTAACGGAGAAACTGACACACTCCCCTTAAGGCAGCAAGGAAACCCGGTCATGGCAAACTCCTTGTCAGCAACTTGGAGTGAAGGTATCTCTTTTATTAATTATGAAGATGATGAGACACGCAGAGCAACCAGGTGTGCCCACGTAGGGGACCTATAAAAGTTTCCTTGAAAGACATCACAACATTCGCCTAGAGTGGGGGGCCATGACTTTAAGGAGAAAGGAAGGAATAGTCCCGCTCTGTTCTGCCTTGGTCAGACCCCAGCTGAAATCCCGGGTCCAGTTCTGGGCACCCCAGTGGAAGAAGGGCATGGGAGCTGGAAGGAGGGAGGGAGGCTGAGATGATCAAGGGTCTGGAAGGCAAGAGTTGCGAGGAGCCGTTGAGGGTGTTTAGCCTGGAGAAGAGAAGTGACAGGATAGCCGTTTTCAAATATCTCAAGGAAGATGGAAGAAGATTCTTTTCTGCTGCTCCAGGGGGACGACCCAAACCAATGGAATCAAATGACCAGCAGCAAGAATATCATTGGCACAAAAATGGAAGCAAGAAGAATTACTGACAAAAGAAGAATGGTGGATGAAATTGATGGACTATGCAGAACTGGATAAATTAACAGGAAGGATTCGAAACCTGCGGGACCAGAGATTCTTAGAAGACTGGAGTAAATACATGAACTATTTGAAAAGTAATTGTAATGAACAGATTATGCTAGTAGGATTGCAAGAGGTTTTGTAAGGAGGACTATTTGAAATATTGCAAGAAAGACTATGAGGAGAACTATTAGTTAATGAAGGGTAATAGAGAAATCAAGAAATGCAGAATAAGTGATAAAGAATGGAAAATCATCAGAAGTGTTGACGGAAGTCTAAAATATTGTATAAGAAGTTATGTTATAAGATTGTTGGAAATGATATGTTAAAAAAAACTAATAAAAATGCATGTGTGTGTGTGTGTGTGTGTGTATATGTGTGTGTGTGTGTGTGTGTGTGTGTGTATATATATATATATATATATATATATATATATATGGAATCAAATGATAAGGAAGGAGATTCCAACCAAACATCAGGAAGAACTTTCTGGTGGTTGGAGCAGTTCAAAAGGGGAATGCATTCTTCAGAAGGTGGTGGACTCTCCAGAGGTTGGAGGACCATCTGTCCTGGGTGATCTGGTTGAGATTCTTGCAATTGCAGGGGTTGGACTCAGTGACCCTCGGGGTCTCTTCCAACTCTGCAATTCTTTTATTCTAAAGGACTGAGCTACCTAAATGGCAGAGGCCCCAAACAGAAACCCGTTCCTCCTCACCTGTCCCAGAAATTCTGTATCATAATGCATGGGCAATGTGTTTGGTTCCATCAATGCTGTATATGTCATTTTGGAAGATTATTTCTTGCTTTTCTTATGATAAAAGGTATTTTAAAAAAAGGGGGGGGGGAGGCCAGATTTCACACAGCTCTGATATCCACCCTGTGACTTCCTCCGATTTTTAATCCCAGGTGTGCCCAGACCTGAAGCTGAAATAATTCCCATTCCTTATAATGTGGAAATGTCCCAATCCTAAAGAGAAGCCCCTCCCTCCATTGTGTCTGGGAGTTTAGCACGAGTTCCTGGGCCTCAGGCAGGAGTCCAGGAGTCAACCCTTCCGCAACCTGAATTTTGTAGTCTCAGCAAGTCTGCTTTCTGATTCATTGCTTGGGTTAATTTGACTTCCCTTAATGTAATGTTCAACGTTCGTTAATTGCTTTAAATTTGGGGCGGGGGCACTTTGCTGAATGAGCAACAGTTAGATTAATTGTTGCATCTAAATTAATTCCTCACTCCTGGCACAGAAATCATTTTTTTTTCATGGGTATGTAGTTTGCATGTGTGTGTAATCGATAGATGGCACAGCTTTGGGGGAAGCGACACACCATCACCGCCACTGAACATTCGGGATTTCAAGATCTATCAACGGAAAGGGGGGGAGTATGAAAACCAGTTTTCTTTCTTTCCCCCATTAATTTCCCGTTTCCAATTGGAAGGACCCTCCGCAGGTTGCGCAAATATGTGGATTGATGCCAGATGTTTGCACTTTTATCATGTGCAAAGCAACTGAGAAGATTTCTGCTTTTTCTGAAAAGGGGAGGGGGAGCTGGCCCTTATAGATTTTGATTTTAATTGCTCTTGCACATATATTCTACCGTTCTCACCCAGAAGTCCATGGTTTCCTGCCTCCTCATTTAACTCATCGCAACAACCCTGTGAGGTAAGTTAGACCGAGAGGCAGGGACCGTGGGGCTCAAGGTCACACCAAGTGGAGATTTGAACCCGCATCTCCCAGGTCCTAGTCTGACCCTCTAGCCATTGCCCCACCCTGGGTCTCCCTGCAGATGGGCTTCCTGAAGAGGAGTGCATCTGAGCCTAAATCTGATATGCATATCCCAGAGCAGCTGACAAATGTGGTTGATAAGAAAGTTGCTGCCCTATGGATTTACATTCTAAGAAGACATGGCAGAAAAGGAAAAGGAATTTGGAGGGAGGAGGAAAAGGAAACTCAGGCACTATTTATTCGCTTTCTTTGGCTGCGTATGCACCATACAGTTAAAGCACAGTCCCCCACCCAGCAAAGAATCACAGGGACTGTAGTTTAATCCATAAAGAGATACGATTTCAGCACCTTGATCTGTGATCCCTGCATTTCAGGGGGTGGACTAGATGACTCACGAGGTCCCTTCCACTCCTACAATTCTATGGCGCCCCCGGAGGACCTGCTCCAGATTTGCAGCCACATGGACCCCCGCCCCTTTGTCCTGGCTTCATTCCGTGGTCTTCCCCTCTCCACCCACGAGACTAGATCCACTTTGCCAGCAGGGGCTAACGCCAACCGGGCCATGGTCGTAGAATCGTAGAACTGCAGAGTTGGCACTTGGCAGGGACCCCAAGGGCCATCTAGTCCAACCCCTTGCCGTGCAGAAATCGCGGCCATCTTCCTTTTCCAGAAACGGGCCCCGTCAAAACAGATGACTTAGACGCTATTTATTCTGGAAGCAGATGCCGAGGGTGTGGGAGCGCAGAGAGTTCGCTAAAGTTCAGAAGGCGGAGGCAGGAGGCTAGTCCTGGTCCAGCCTCGCCCTCCAGCTTCCTAGGGAGAGAACTCGCAGGCAGCCAGGTAGCAGCCCAGCAGCCCCGGCCAAAGAGAAGGGGGAGACCGGGCTTTGGGGAGGGCTGTTCCCCTCCTGCTCTGGGGCAGGGTCAGTCAGCGGGACCCAGGTGGGCCGGGGAAGGGGCGGGGCAGTTGAGGGGGTGGGATCATGTTGCTCCGGCTCCCCCTCCCCTAGGCATGGTTGGGGCAGAGAGGGAGGGGCCAGGCGGAGCAGAGGAGGGAGAAAAGGCTCCGAAGGGGAAGCGAGAGAGACCGAGCAGCGCAGGACCCCCATCGCTCTCTTTCATTCGCACCATCCCTTCATCCTTTCTCTGCGGGAGCAAAACTCCGCGCGGGAGGGCCTCGATCCGCAGGAGAGGCGACGCAGCAGCAGCAGCGCCCTTGCTTTTGGCTCCGGAGGCTGCTCGCTTCCTCCGAGGGAGCCGAGAGTCCCACCTGCGCGCAGCGCCTCCGTCTCCGCCTGCCGGCCGGTCTCCCGACGCTGCTGCCGCTCGCGCCGCCGGACAAACGCCCGCCCCAAAATGCCCAACTTCTCCGGCAACTGGAAGATGAAGAGCTCGGAGAACTTCGAGGAGCTGCTGAAGGCTCTGGGTGAGTCTGGCGCCCGAGGAGGAGGCTTATTTCTGGGAAGGGCTGAGTCCAGCGCCTAAGAAATAGCCGATGACGCAGCGCTGCCGCCGCCGCCGCTCCTGCGAAAGCGGCTCTATTTTCCCTCTATATTTAGACCCCTCTCTGGATGCGCCCCCCCCCCGGCAGGGGCGCGCGCGGAGGCCACCCTGGGAGGAGGGCTCCCCCTCCTTTAACAGAATGGGGCTTTCCGGATGGCTCCAATATTTGGATCCGGGCGTATGTGGAGTGGGAGCCGCCTTCTGGATTCCTGCATCTCAGCGGGCTGGACTAGATGACCCTAGGGGTCCCTTCCAGCTCTGCAACCTTAAAACCTGCTGTTTTTCGATAACCTGGGGGGCGGGAACATAAGCTGGAGAGATAGAAGAGGTCTGGCGCACCCGTGGCTCCTGCTTTCTGAAGGATGTGGGGCTGTTTGGGGTCGGGCGCCTGAGGTTCCCAATGTGCAGCCTTGGAGAATATTATTGGGGTGGGGAAGAGAAGGGGGTGCAGTTGGGAGCCTTAATTTGCATGCAGGGGGAGAACCTGCAGACCCGCGTCTTCCCATTTCGGAGTTTCAGCGTGTTCACGCGTGTTTAGAAGAACGCACCCGCCTCCGCCTCCGCGTCCCGCGCCGTCACCCCAGAAGCAAAGTTTGCGACTGCAGCGATCGCCCTGCGGGGGCGTCTGGGGTTCCGCTTCTTGCGGGGAGGAGAAGCCACCGGATTTTGTAACGTGTGAACAGCGGTAAGGACCACCCTGGTGGGTCCGGCGGAGGGCGGCTCCTCTCCTACCAGCCTAGGCGGATGGAGCCGGGAGCGCTGGTGGGCTTCGACCCTGTGGACTTGAACCCCACTTAGCGGGGGGGGGGCGTGGCGGGAAGAGGAGGTCCCCTCCTCGACTGTGTGTCTCTCACAGTAACGGCAACCCCGGTTTATCCTCACGACAGCCCCGCGAGGGAGGGAAGCGCGGCTGAGAATTTGCGTTGCCACTCCGGAGGAGTTTGCCATTTGGGGACCCCTGAGACACCAGGCTAGAAAGCGCGCCCCCGCCCCTCTGGGCAATTCTATTAGAGAAAGGGGCTTTTTTAGCGCTGCTGCCCCCTCCCACTGTGTAACCATGGTAGGTCTTTCCTTTTCGACAATGGCTCTGCAGGAGACCCATATATTACCCTTTTGTATAGAGAATTGAGGGGAGAGGCATCCATCCACTGCCATTAGTCTTGATAGCTCTGGTGGAGCCCCATGGTCAGGAGCAGTCTACCTCAGACTGCTAATCCAAAGTAGCAGGCAGGGCAAGCAGGATGCTGGGCTAAATGAGCCCCCCTTCCTTTTTAGCACGGCTCCTCCCTGCCCCCACCATCTCAGCGCTTGTTTAAGTTTTGCAGCAGGAATTTCACAATCCATGTTTGTTTGTTCTTAAGGCTGACCAACCATTTGTTTTATTTAAAAATGAGGTTTTAATTTGGTGGGTTCAGGCGAACTGACCGTCCGGGCCTTTCCTAGGATTCCACCCCTCCCCTCCCCCCATAAAATCCTCATAATCCCATTTTGCCTGTCCTCTGACGTGGCCGGCTGAGTCACCACCTGGATGCCTCTGGAAGGGTTTGGAAGCCACATCCAGAACCAGGAGGGAAACTCAGGACTCAGAGGGAAAAAATGGCAGATCCCTGGAAGCGGTTGTGTGTGCAAAGGGCTCGGCCCTTTTGGCATTGCCTGAGAGCCATCTGGGTCTTCTGGGCGCCTCGTGGCAGGATTGCAACCTTGCAGAATTGTGAAGACCCCACTACCCAGCCAGTCTCCTGCTGGACAGGATCCACAGTGGGGCAGGGCAGTTCTGGCCAATGCACCTTCTCATGGGTGGCTTCCCCCTGCCCCCCACCCCCACAAAAGGCACGTTGTATCCCCTTTAGAGTGCAGCTCCTGAAAACAAAAAGGTTGCTGTGAACGTAAGAACAGCTTGCCGGATCAGGCCCCTGGTCCCTCTAGCCCATATTGCTGCCCTCACAGGGGCTGAAAAGTTGCCTGTGGGAAATCGGCAAGTAGTTCCTTCCAACTGGGATTATTCAGAAGCATTACAGAACATGGCCATCCCATGGAGAGGGCAAGGAGCTGCTTTTGGCCGGTTGAGGAGGTTGGAGTCTCTACACCTCAGCAGGAGCTTGAGCTGCGCCCCCAAATCCCTCGGGGGAGCACATAGGTCCCTGGAAGCCAGCACTCTGAAGCCGTAAGCAAGGAAGCCAAGATCATCATGAGAAATGGGAGTCGGATAGGAAAGAATTCCTAGTTCTGTCCCAGTGAGTTGGAGATTCAGAAATCCACTTTGTCTCTGCAGGAGAAACAGACAAAGGAGAGGGATCTCCTCCCAGGATGGGATCAGGAGGTTGGCAGCCCCAGGTGTATCTGTCTAGTGTTTGAGGACAGGTCAGAAAGATGGTCTCAGAAGCTTGGAGGTTCTTCTTTCTCTCTCTCTCTCTCCCCATCTCCTTTGCAGGGGGTGGGCTGGATGACTCTCGGGAGTCCCTTCCAGCTCCATAATTCTATGATTCTTTCTCCCCATGGCTCCCCAAGACAGGGGTAGGCAGTCTGGTAATCAGCATGTTTTTACATGAGTAGAATGTGTCTTTTATTTAAAATGCATCTCTGGGTTATTTGTGGGGCATAGGAATTCGTTCATTTCCCCCCAAAAAATATAGTCCGGCCCACCACAAGCTCTGAGGGACAGTGGACTGGCCCCCTGCTGAAAAAGGTTGCTGACCCCTCGTGTAAGCTGAGCTGCACCCCAGCATTTCCAACAGAAGGAGGTCCCGGGTGCAACTTGCGCTGGCAGCATCTCCAGGTAGGGCTGGGAACCTGCCTAAGAACCTGCAGAGAAGGCACTGCTGCCAGTCTGTGCAGGCAATAGCAGCCTAGATAGCGTGACTTCAATATAGCTTCTTATGCCCCCATTTAAAATGGAACATAATGATCTGGAACCATAAGAACAAGGACCTTCATTTCTTAGTGGCAGGGCACCCGCTTTCTTTGCAGGCGGCCCCGGGTTCAACCTCAGAAAGGCCTGGGGAGAATAAACTCTTCCCGAAACCCTGGACACCCGCTGCTGCCAGCCAGTGTAGACAGTGCTGAGCTGGATGGGCTGATTTTGTACGACTCTGTTTCCTTTGCTCCTGCGACTGGATCGGTCTGCTCCCGAGGAGCTGGTGGAGGGCCTCATCCAGGCCACGTGCCAGGAGTGGCCCGTGCTCTGAGCTGGCCCCGGGGCAGGCCGCTCTTGCATCCCGCCTGCGATGGAGGCCTGCGCACTGCTGGGTTCCCTGGCCTTTGGCTCTGGGTGCCGCAATGACAAATTCCTCCTGAAATAACCTCTCCCCACCCCAGCGGAGAAGGAGGAGGGGGCAGGCTTGGCCTCCCCTCCTGCCGCTCTCCTAATAATAATGCCCGATGGGGGCCGGGCATGACGAAGGGGCCGCGACTGCTGACCCCTGGCGCTCCCTGCCATCTGCCGGGCAGGAGGTTGCGCACCCCGCTGGGGGTGGGGAGGTGGCGACAGGCGAGTCGGAGGAGCCTGGGTGTGTTTGTCTTTTGAAGCAGCCCCCTGGGATCCAGCCCAGGGAGGCAGCTTAAGGAGGGGGGGCTGGAGGAGCTCCTACCCGGCCCCCAACTCCACAGGACAGCAGATCCAAGGCCTTCCCTGCCCCCTCCCCTTCTGCCTCTCTGCAACCTTCTCCCAGCCGAGCCAAGGCAGCCCAGCTGGGAACAGGGAAGGGCTCTCCTGACACAGCGGTGGGGTGGCTGCTTGGCATGCAGAAGGTCCTGGGTTCGACCCCCTCCATTTTCTACCCCTGCCCAAGACCCTGGAGAGTTGCTGCCAGTCAGGGGGTGGAGGGGAGGCACAGGCTGCGGTGGGGATGCTCAGCTGTGCTTCTGGGAGCTCTGGGTAGCAATACACAGAATCATAGAAGGGTTGAGTTGGAAGGGACCCCATGGGGTCATCCAGTCCAGCCCCCTGCAATGCAGGAATCGCAGCTGAAGCATCCCTGACAGATGGCCATCCCACCTCGGCTTAGAAGCCTAGCTTGGGTGTGTACCCCTTGCATCCGCGAGGCCTAGAAACCTTTAGAAACGAGAGCCTGTGCGTTCGTGTGCCAGCAACTGACCTGAATTGCATCTACAGTGTGGGCTTCAATCTTGGCAGGCGTGAATGAGTGAAAAGTTTAAATCTTTCCATCTCGCTCTGGCTGATGCCATCCTACCTCTCTTGGAAAATCCCTCCGGCTGCATTAGCGGCAGAGATTCCCTTTCCGCCCCCAGCCTCTTTCTCCGGGAACAATAGAGAGAGAGAGAGAGAGAGAGAGAGAGAGAGAGAGAGAGAGAGAGAGAATGGATCTGCCTCGCTCCCTCCTTTCCGAACCCCAGAGACCACCTTGAGGCCCCGTAACTGAAACCCGCTTGGCATGCAATGCTCTGAGCAGGACTTGGGGGGAGGACGAGGCCCTCAAAATCGAGGGGAAGAAAATGGGGCAACACCTCTCCCCACCCCGCGAGGCAGGCGAATTCCAATCCACCAATTTATTAGTATTTTTCATTTTTTCGTTTTCTCGCCAGGAAAACCTCCTTTCCCTCCCCTCCGATCTCCCTGCGCTGGTCACAGCAAATACTTTCCAGGTTAGGGGGCTTGTGCAACATACTTTGGGATAATTATCACATGCTTATATTTCACTCCTCAGCCCGCCCGCCCCCCTGCACTCAGCCGCCCCTTTCCCCCATATCTGAATTATTCGGGCAGAAAGGCTCAGATGTTGGGGAGGGGGAAGCGGGAATCAGCCGGCATGGGGAGGGGGCTGGAATGAGGAAACCGATTTGAGGAGGGGGAGACCTTGGCTGCCAAAGCATTGTTAAATCTCACTCTCTTTTTCCCCACGGAGTAATGGGGCCTGGGTCTCCACCTCCGAGCTGCGTTTTATGGGCATTTTAGCAGCGCAAAGAGGGGGGCTGCTCTCTCTCCCCCCCTCTCTCATTCTCTTTCTCACTGCTTTGAGAGGGCCATAGAATTGTAGAGTTGGGACCCCAGGGGGTCATCCAGTCCAACCCCCTGCAATGCAAGAATCACAACTAAAGCATCCCTGGCGGGTGACCGTCCTCTAACCCTCACTCATGAGGGTCACGGAGAGGCAGGGCTCCAGGTCCTTTAAAGCTGGTCTTTATTGGAGCTGGGCAAAGGTTTCTCTTCCCTACCAACCTCACCAGTTGCACAACGGCCTGCCAGTGGCTGCAAGACCACAAGAGCCCAGCTGCTTTATGAGGAGAAAGGCAGCCCATCTATTCTTGTCTCCTCTTCTCACGGTGGCCAAGCAGGTGCCTCTCCTGGGAAACCCGCAAGCAGGATTGGAGGACAAGAGGTTGAGAAGCGTTGCTGCTCCAACTGTGGAGGGCAGAACAGAGCCATCCTGGCTGGCAGCTGTCAATTGCCTTATTCTCCACAGATTTGTCTAACCGTCCCAGTTGGTGCCCATCTATGCCTCCTGTGGGGGGGAGTTCCATAGATCAACTCTGCAATGTGTGACAAAGGACTTTCTTTTCTCTGCCTGGTGCCTCCCAACATTCAGCACCACTGCATGTTCACCCGTTCTAGCATGAGGAGAGAGAGCGGAAAACTTTTATCCCTCCGCTCTCTCCGTGAGAAAACTTTCCTCTATGCACTCCAGGCCTGGCAACCCCACATGCCAATTTATTTTCCTTTTTAAAAAATCCTTTCTAACATCAGGCTGTCTCTCTCTCCCCCTCTCCCTTCATGAGGGCCTTACCCTTGCCACTCCCCTAATAAAATTACAATCTCTGTTCACATCTTGTAATCAGTCTTCGAAAAGGGAAATTTGGCACCGCCTGGACCCTGGAACGCCTCTGGGCTGTGCAATAATATTTCCCTTTGCAATAATTGTTCCCAGAGGCAGGCAGGGAGATGGCTCCCATTTCTCTCTCTCTCTCTCCCTGAAAGGGTGAGTTTTCCTACAGCTGCGCCACCTCTGCAGGCAGAACCAGGAAAACAAAGGACTGACTTTGGCTCATTTTTTTTCCAAGAGGCTGAATTTGACAATCGGAGCAAAACTCTGAATGACCCATTAATTCAGACAAGCGCCCTCATCTGCCAGTTTCCCACCAATTGCAGGTGCGGTCCTGTGGGTGGTGTAGCCCCATGGGGTTTCAGTGGGGCTACGCCAGTGTAAGCCGATGGAGCCTCTTTTTCCCACGGCGCTTACACTGCTGAGCCATCTCCTTCCTCGCCCGTCTGTTGCACAATTGCACACTTGTGCAAGGTTGTTGTGTCAACGCTGCCTCTGCATGCATCTCTCTCTCTCTCTCTCTCTGGAAAGCTGTTGCGATGAGACATGGCTGTGGGTGCAAGACTGACTTCCCAGTGACTCAGTCTGATCCAGGAAGGTCACGGAAGGAACAGGCGCACCCAAAATACACTAAATGTCAGTTGAGTCTGCCTTCCCCAGACATGGCCAAATTGTGTGTTTTTCAGGAGGGGCTGCCTGTCTACCTCCTTCTGATTCTGCACCCACAAGGCCCTGAGTGCTGCTCTTTCCCATAGCCCCCCAAGGAGGGGTTCCCCCTGAAATGCAATGGGGAGAAAGGAAGAACGGAAAGCAAGGGGGTGGGTGAGGTCCCTTTCCGTCCATTCTGTTGAGTTTCCGACTCTCCTGTCTTGGTGCCCCCCCCCACCGGCTTGATGCAGCTGCAGGGCTCTTCTGACGTTCTTGTGGAACCTCCAAGTGCAGAGCCAGTCTATCTGAGCTCCTAGGTTCATAGGGGCATTTGGCCACTGGTGAGAAGAGGCGGCTGGGCCAGGTGGGCCCCCTTTGGCCTAATCCACCTGTCAGGCTCTCCTTATGTTCTGCCACCAGCTGCCTTCTCCTCACTCCCTGTTGCCTTGTCTCGTTCCAGGCGTCAATGTCATGCTCCGCAAGATCGCTGTGGCTGCTGCCTCCAAGCCGGCCGTGGAGATCAAGCAGGACGGGGAGTCCTTCTACATCAAGACCTCGACCACCGTCCGCACCACCGAGATCAGCTTCAAGATTGGGGAAGAGTTCGAGGAGCAGACGGTGGACGGGAGACCCTGCAAGGTGAGGGGCAGGAAGGGGAGAGGGGGGTCCAGGGGGGTCCAGTGATCCTGCGCTCCAGGCCTGCAGGCCACCCTCTGTTGCCCAAGGGAGAAACGGAACTTAAGACAGAGATCTCAAGGGGGGGGGGAGAGGTGAGCATCAATTCTCTTCCTTGGTGGGTCAAAACTGGGCTGGATCTGCTTCTCTCCAGCTGCTTTGCTTGACGTCGGCCTTTGGGCCTCAGCAGCCGATACCAGAAGTGCAGGAAGCTCCCTTTTGCCACGTCACTTTGGGTGCATTTAGCAGTGTTGTCTACACTGGCCAGCAGCAGCTGTCCAGGGTTCAAGGAAGAGGCTTTCCCCCAAAACCTCCCTGGAGACGCTGCCAGTGGAGATGGAACCTGGGACCTGGCAGAGCAGGGACTCTCCAAATGAGCTACAGTGTGTTGTCTACAAATAAAACCAGATTCCAGTCCTCCTGGTTCAGGATGGATTAAATTTGGGGCAATAAGGAGAACTTTCTGAGAGTATGAGCTGTTTGACATGGGAACAGACTCCCTGGGAGGTGGTGGGCTCTCCATCCTTGAAGGTTTTTAAGTTGGATGCCATCTGTCAGCGATTCTTTAGCCGTGATGCAGGGGGCTGGACTAGATGACCCTTGGGGGTCCCGCCCAACTTGACAATCCCATGAGTCTCTGAAACTGCATTGCACCATTGGCTCATGTAGCTCAGCACTGGCTGGCAGCAGCTCTCTGGTTTCAGTCTTGGGATATTTCCCCCCCTGCAAACACCATCTGAGACTGAACACAGGATCTTCTGCCAGCAAAGTAGGGTCTCTGTCCCTGAGCTGTAACCCTCCTCCTTTGCCTCTTGGATTCCCAAATCCCCATCCTGCCCTCTCTTGGATGGATCCTGGCTTTGCAAGGGGGGTCCTTTGGGGCTCCCCTAACTCCCGTGTCCAATATTTCTCGGCAAACCTTTTCTTCCCAGCTGGGCTTTGGCCTGGGAATGGAGGGAGGAGGGCCCTGAACTTTGCTGCACAAAGCAAGGGAGAGGAGCCCCCCTCCCCCTCCCCCTCTCCCTCCCCCAGTTGCTGCATTTCCCCCATGGGGGCCAGTAGGGTCCTTTGTGGTCCTGTCCTTAGGGATCCTTACGGGAGGAACTGAAAGCAAAACTGTCAGCATCGTAATGCCATTATACCAATCTCCGGTGCGACCACATTTGGAAAGCTGTGCTGCTCACCTCAAAAAGGATATTGCACACTTGGAAAAGGTTCAGAAAAGGGCAAGCGAAACGATTGAGGGGATGGAGACCCTCGCCTGGGAAGGAAGGCTGCAGCGTTTGGGACTTTCTAGTTTGGAGAACCTTTTTAGTTTGGTGAAAAGGTGTGAGAGGCAGCCTGGTAGAAATTTATAACGTTATGCCTGAGAAAGGTGGGGGAGAGAAGGTTTTCTTCACTCTCTCTCCCAAGACCCTGGCCCTTTCCAAGACCTACAGTCTGCACGCATGTGCCCCCCACCTCTCCTTTGGGAAGGAGCCTCTGCAGATGTTAGCCACAATCCACATCCACCCCATCATTCCTTACGAAATACTACAAAGAATCACAGAATGGCAGGGCTAAGTATCAGCTGAAGCTTCCCTGGCCGAGGCCTAGCTGACCTCTGCTTCAAAGTCTCCAGTGAAGGAGAGACCACCACCTTCCCAGGCAGACCACCCCACAGTCAAGCAGCTCTTACCCTGAAAAGTTCTCCCTGTTCTTTAGTTGGAATTGCCTTTCTTGCTATTTGAAGCCACGGGTTCGAGTCCTCCCTTTTGGAGCAGCGGAAAACAAACATCACGGCCTTTTATATATTTGAAGATGGCTGTGAGATCCCCTCTTCCTCTCCTGTTTATCACGCCAGGCACTCCAAACTCCCCCAACTGTTAGGCACATTGATGGATTTCTTCCCATTGTGGTGTAGTGGTTCAGAGCGGTGGACTCATAATCTGGTGAACCAGGTCCGATTCCCCGCTCCTCCACATGCAGCTGCTGGGTGACCTTGGGCCAGTCACACTTCTCTGAAGTCTCTCAGCCTCACTCACCTCACAGAGTGTTGGTTGTGGGGAAGGAAGGGAAAGGAGGGAAAGGAGATTGTTAGCCACTTTGAGACCCCTTAAAGGTAAAGGGACCCCTGACCATTAGGTCCAGTCGTGGCCGATTCTGGGGTTGCGGCGCTCATCTCCCTTTATTCGCTGAGGGAGCCGGTGTACAGCTTCCGGGTCATGTGGCCAGCAGGACTAAGCCGCTTCTGGTGAACCAGAGCAGCGCATGGAAATGTCGTTTACCTTCCCACCGGAGCGGTACCTATTTATCTACTTGCACTTGATGTGCTTTTGAACTGCTAGGTTGGCAGGAGCAGGGACTGAGCAACGGGAGCTCACCCTGTCATGGATTCAAACCGCCAACCTTAAGGGAGTGAAAGGCGGGATATCAAGTCCAAACTCTTGTTCTTCTTCCCACAAACCAGCTTGGGTCTGAGCAGCCTTGCTGGGCTCTGAGCTGGCCAGGTCTCTGCTGCACTTCTGGCCCAGTTGCCTTGGAGCAAACTTTTTTTCTTCTGCTCTGCTGGGCTGGACCTCAACCAACAGATTCAAATGGCAAAAAACGAGATTCCAACTAAAACCTGGGAAGAACCGTCTGGTGGTGAGATCCATTTGGCAACGGAGTGGATACGACCTCGGAAGGTGGCAGACTCTCCTTTGTCTGAGGTTTTTAAGCAGATGTTGGGTGGCGCCTGTCCCATGTGCTTGAGCTGAGATTCCTGCATTGCAGGGGGTTGGGCTAGATGACCCCTGGGGTCCCTTCCAACTCTACAATTCCGTGATTTCTCTAACCAGTATGTCGTGTTCTCCTTGGCAACAGCTCTTACATGCACCTCTCCATTTATTTATTTTTTTGCCAGAGGGAAGGAGGACAATATTCTGACCTCTGAGCAATTGCCTCTTGAGCCCCCGCTCATTTTCATCAGGGCTGGCTCCACTTTATCGATAATAAATGCTGAGGACCATGATGGAGATGATTTAGATCACCAAAGGACTTGGGGGCCGCAGGCTGCCGGCTCCCTTTTTCCACCAGCTGCCCCCCTTCCCCCTTCCTGGCCAGCCCTTTGGAGATGATGGATGGAGCTGTCAGCCTAAATTGGGTGGGGGGAGCCAGTTGCCCTCGCCCAGCTCCGGCTGCCTGCCGAGTGACAAATGAGTGCCTTTGGGGGGCAGAGGTGGGGGTTTTGATGGGGAGGGGGTCAGCCCTTTGTCGGCTGCTGGCAGGCTCCACATCTCACTGGCTGGCGGGGGCTCTCCCCCCCCTTTGTTCTCTCCACAGAGTTTGGCCAAGTGGGAAAGCAACAACAAGATGGTCTGTGAGCAGCGATTGCTGAAAGGCGACGGCCCCAAGACAGGCTGGTCCAGGGAGATGACCAACGATGGGGAGCTCATTCTGGTAAGGGAGCTTCCCTCCCTCCCACCCTATCCCTGTCCCACCCCCAGGTCCACACACCCTTGCAGTTTAGGCCACTTGAGCAGGGACACAGGAAAGTGCTTGGCTCCATTTTCTTGACACTTCCTGGCAAGGTTTATTTGGAGATGCTGTTGGTGAGGATGGAGCCAGGGGCCTTCTGCATGCCAGGCAAGGGCTCCGTCCCTGGGCTAGACCCCCTTGCACCTCCTTTGACTTAGAAGCAGAGCAGACTTACTCTTAGAAAGTAGGAAACGAGGAACGAGGCCCCTGCAAGTCTTCCTCAGCCCAGGAATTTGGTTTCCAGACCTGAGAACCGGGTGTGCTGCCTCTCCTCCCCACCCTGAGTGAGGCACACAGTCTGTTTCAGGTGGGGCCAGCATGGGGGCTGAACAACTTTTCCCCATATTGCAGTGTCCCTGCCAACACCTTAAGGAGGACCGTTGGAGGGATACATCCCCCCTTCTCTCGTTTTTGCTCTCATTGATTTCATCTTTCTTTGTTTTTCCAGACCATGATGGCCGACGATGTTGTCTGCACAAGGATTTACGTCCGGGAGTGAGCGAGGCCTGCTTGTGGGGTGGCGGTTGGATTTGGGGAGGCAGGGGCAGCAGGGTCCAATGGGTAGGGATCTTCCACTCTGGGTCATGGCAGCCCCACCCCCCCATGCCTGCCCTCCCCATCACCCTTTCGCTCTCTGCCCATGCTCAGAGAGCGCTACATGCAGAAAGACTTAAGCAGAGCAGCTGGCTCTTCATCACATTCCCTCCGGCCTGAGAGGGGGTAGGGGGCAGATAAAGCAGGCTCTGTCCTTGTGATGCCCCCCCACCCCATCAGAGCAGCCTTTCCCCCCTTCCTCCAGTCTCTTCTGGGGTCCAGCCTCCCTTTTGTCTGCTAAGGGTCCGTGACCCCCACCCCTTCCACCCTGCCGCCCTCGGCATTGCAGACAGAGAATCCCCTTGTTTCAGAATCCGGTCGTGGGATTTGGGATCAGACTGGGGGAGGTGTGTGTGTGCCAGAGTACCCCTAGCACTGACCTCTCTTTTCCTCCCTCCTGTGGGCACTAGATGGGATGAGGGGGGCACAGCCCAGTCTCCCCCCCCCCTGCACCTCCCAAGGAAATCCCTGCATTGCTGGGGGTTGGACTGGATGACCCTCGGAGGCCCCTTCCACCTCTACTCTTCTGTTATGCAAGGCTGCCATTTTCCTGGGCCCCTGACACAACCCCTGCATTCTGAGCCCCCTCTTGCTCAGCATCTTGGGAAAGGGAACTAAAACCAAACAGGCTGTCCGGGTTTCCATTTCATTTCACGCGGAGCATCTTGAAGGCCAGCCCTGCCCCTCTGGGCCACCGGATCTTGTTAGCGTCAAAGGTGTAATGTAGCTGAGTGTCACCCACCAAATTGAGATGCCTTCTTACCTCTGGACCTTCTGTGTTAATTGCTAGGATTTTTAAAAAGTATTTATTTGCTACCCTTGTACTAACAAAAGAAGAAAAAGGATATAACCACTTCCTCCCTCCCCCAAAACAAACCCCACCCCCACCTCCCTGTGTGAGCACTGGGTCTCCTGTTCAAAAGCCACCTCTTTGATGTTTGCCTTCCTTCCTAATAAATGTCTCATTAAAAAAGTGTCTACATTTTTGTCTGCCTTGCCCTTTTTTCTTCCTCTTGATCTTTTGCTTCCAAAGATGCCTTCCCCACCCCCCAAAAGGCCATGCTCATAAATGGTTCAGCTGCACCCTCAAAATCCAGGAAAGAGTCAGACCTCTGGCATGTTTCACTCAGAAAGTGTTGGGAAGAGAGACCCTCATTTTTGAAACAAATCTGCTAGTGGCATTTCTGAGCCCTGCATGTTCTCCAGGGGCTACTAGCCAGGGTGTCTGTGTTCTGCCCAAACTATGGAAGGCAGTGATGCTTCTGAATCCCAGACTGGGAGAGTGTTGCTGCTTCTGCTGGGATCAGAGTCCGCTTGTGGTGTCTGGTTCCTCACTGTGAACAGAGGAGGCTGGACCTGCTGGTCCCCTTTGGCCTGATCCAGCAGCAGCCAGGTTCTTCTGGCGCTCTTGTGGAGCCTCCAGGTCCAGAGGCAGTCTATCCCAGGTATATGTGAACACTGAGAGAAGAGGAGCCCCTTTGGCCTAATCCAGCAGAGGGGCTCTTCTTATGTGATTTATTTTTTTATCTCTGATCTGCCATAGACAATCCCCCCCATTCTCAAGGTTAAGTGACCCAAAACAAACAACCTCACCCCGAAATAATCAAGCCTTTTGTCAATCTACTTAAGAACAATTTCCTGCTTAACCGGCTTGGATTCTTTGCTTCTACCTAGGAATTTTCCGGGATTTACCTGTGCATTGAAACTCTGAGAAGTAAAATATGTCGGACAGGTTAATTTCAGGCAGCAGATTCCCTTTCTGTGTGTGTGTGCAAGAGAATATTCCGCTTTCTCCCATGTCCTGCTTTCTCCCCCACCCCCCTCATGGCCGTTTGCAGAGGTACAAGGGGGGGGGCTGCTTGCCTGCCTGCTCTTTCTCTGGGGACATTTCCACCTGAAAAAGTGGTTTGGGCTCAGGGGGCACCCAGAGGCCACTGTGGCAGCCAGCCGAGAATAGGGAGATGGATGGGCCGCTAGCTTTGCTTAATGCAAGGTCAGGGCAGGGAGGGGGCGCCTGACACACACAGCCAGAGCCGCCGCCCCCCAGCAAGGAATGGGTTTGATCCTCTTTTGATGGGGAGACCTCCCCCGCATGTGAAGAAAGGCTCCAGCGGACAGTCCAAGAGTGGGTCACACCGTCAAAAAGCCGGCTTCATACTGCTCAAAAGCAGCCAGGGCAACACCTGAAGAGTCCTGGGAGTTGTAGTTCGTTCAGAGTGCTGTTGAGAAGCCTTAGGGGAACCCTGTTCCTCCTGCCACTACAATTCCCAGAGCAGTTTATAAACCAGACCCTCGTCCTAGGGAACGCTAGGAGATGTAGCTCAGTCTTGCGCAACGGAGGAATCTCAACTCTAAGCGCCCTGAACTACAGTTCCCCAAAATCAGGGGTGGGGGGCGGCGGAGCCATGCCTGCTGAAAGTGGGACCAGAGCGCTTTAAAGGGATGGCGCAGACGGGGCGCAGGAGAAAACGTTTCCCAACCCGCCCCCTCCAAATAATCATTCTCTTTTCCTGTCTCATTTGAGCAAGTCCAGGCCGGCAGAGAAAGCGAGGGTCTCGGCAAGCCCCCTCCCCTCCCCGGGCGCCCTTTCATCCCCCAAGACAAAGAGCGACCTCCCTCAGCCCCTCTTTTGTCTCAGTGCGGTGGGAATGCCAACCCCCCCCCGCCCCATTCAGGCGCCCGGGCAGGTCAGAGGCCACCGAAGAGGGTCGCCCGGGCTCTGAATACCCAGCTCGTCCCCTCCTCGCCCCTGACTCGGGGGCTGCGAGGCAGAGCAGCTGCGACCCCCGGCCGCCCCCCACTTCTGAAAGAGATGGATGGCCTGTCAGGGAGGGAGGCAGCAAGAGGCATTCAGGTGTGCCCCCCAAATTAAGGGGGCTGCCTTGGTTCTTCCGAGGTCCCTGCTTGAAACCTTTCCATGCCCCCCAAATACATTGTCGGGGGGGAGGAGTGCCGGAAGGGCATGAAAGAGGCAGGTTGCTGCTTTCCTTTGCGCAGGCACACCGATCTCCCGCCTGTCCGGGGTCTCCAACGTGGTGCCCGCGGGATCGTGGGCTCCCTGCAGGCACGTAGTCGGGCCCTCGCGAGGCTGCCCATCACCTTCCGATGATGCCCGAATGAAGAGCCCGCAGCGCCCTCTTCCCAAGAGGCCCCGATGCGAAATGACAGCCGCCCGCGGAAGCCACGACGGGCCGGGGAAGCTGGCCAGCGGCTGAGCAGCCCGAAGTTCCCCTGGTGCAGCTGCGGCTTCTCCCTCCTCTCCCCACCCCGATGCCGATGCCCCCGGCAGCCCCAGGCCGGGGGTCCCCGCTCCCGCGCTTCTCGGAACAGGGCTGCTGGCCCAGGCTTGTCCCGGGTTACCTGCGGGGCGCCTCCGCTTGTTAACCCCTCTCCCCTCCCCGGCCGCCGGTTGCCATCACTTGGCGAGGATCACAGAACCGACCCCCGACCTCCCCGCCCCACCTGCGCATAGCAGCAGCAGCAGAGTCCTGTGGCACCTTGAAGGCGACGCCGTTTATTGTGAAAGGAGCTGCCGCGGCCTCAGAGTCTTTCCCTGGGAGTTCACGGAAGACATTGGGATACCGGGGTCATCTAGCTCAACCCCCTGCAATGCAACCTTCTTCGTCACCGGCGGAGCAGGGGGAGAACAGGTGAGAAGGAAAGGAAACGGGGGAAACAGAACAAAAAAGTGGCCGTTGCCTTACTAGCAGTGACAATTTACTGGGGGGAGGCGTGCAGAGTCCAGTGGTGGTTGATAACACAGAATTCTTGGCATTGGTAAGCCCATCCACGAACACGGCAGGATTAATATAGATATATATGTATCTTCATCTTCCTGCAATTCAAGGGCTCGCCGCTTTTCTCTACTGGGCCGTCTAAAGGTCGGCTGCAGAGTCCGTGCAGGGGATGGGACTGAAACGCGCCCCCCTCGCAGAGACTTTTCTGCCTCGTTTCTCCTGTCCTCAGCTCCGAGGGCGTGGCGGGCCCGCTGCCGTTTTTGCTGCAAGGGGGCGCGAACTCCTCTCCATCTGGTAACAATTGGCCTCTGCGCATGCAAAGAGTTCCTCGCCAGCAAGCGGCGCTCTGGCGCAACCGGAGGCCAGCCAAGATGTTTCGGAACATGCGCCCCACCCCCCCGGGTCTGCTGCTGGGTATTTAGACCCGGAATAGCTGTAAGCTGCTGGAGGAAGGGATAAACCCCGCTTGCTCCCAGAGCCTGGCCCTGCCTCGGGGCTCAGACCAGAAACAACTGCCTTCCACCTCGCCCTCCACCCCCCCAAGTGCAAATGGGCTCCTTCCTGCTGGCCAGCCAGAAAATTAGCAGCTCAGACAGTTCCCAAGAAAAGCCCCCCCCCCCTGCTTTGCCCCTCTCTGCCCCCCCCAACCCATGTTCTAGAATGCAAATGCAGGCAAAGCGGCCTTCTCCATCCCGGTGCCCTCCGGATGCTGCCAGACTGCAGCTGCCACCACCCCTGACCAGCCGCAGCCCAGCAACTCCCAGAGGGCACCAGGTTGGGGAACCATAGGAGTTGGGAGGGTCCCCCAAGGGTCATCCAGCTCAACCTCCTGCAATGCAGGAAATGCAGCTGAAGCATCTTTTAAAGGCCTCCGAGGAAGGAGACTACCACCTTCCGGGGGAGCACAGCTCCTGCTCTCAGAAAACCCTCCCTAGGGTTCAGTCAGAACAGCCTTTCTGGTCAATGGGACCCATTGGTTGCCATCATCTCCTCTGGGGTAGCAGAAAAGCCGCCTCCGTCTTCCCTGGAGCAGCAGCAAAGCCGACTATTCCTGGCCCAGCAGCCTCTTCCTTCCCAAAGCACCTGCAAGCGAACCAGGATCTTTGCTGAGCCAACACTGTCCTCTGGAGGCCACGGCTGGCACTGCAGGGCCATCACAGGCAGGCAGGCAGGTGTGGGTCGCTGGGCTTCTCTGGGGTCCCCTCTCCCCCTGGGAATACCTAGCTGCCTTTGGGCTTCCCACTTTTTCTGAGCAGGACTCAAGGCAGGCGTGTGGCTCCGTTTTCCGAGGCTGGCCTGTATCCCCAGAGATGTCTGGTTCCTTGCGCTCTGAGGCCTCTCTCTGCTCCCTAGAAGTCCCACGGCACTTGAGACCTCACTGCTATTGCATGGGGCAAGCCCCCTCCCCAAGAATTAGGGGGCCAGGCAAGTCATGCCTCTGGCCATGTTGCTTCTCCTGGCATCTGCTGCCACACAGCTTTTCCCTGGGAAAGGGAGCATAAGAATGTGAGAGCCCTCCTGGATCTAGTCCAGCACCCTCAAACTCTGCAAGCAGGACCGTGCATGAGATCCCTCTGCCCTCCTGTGGTTTCCATAAACTGGAGTTCTTGAGAAGCATGGCTGCCTTCAGCTCTGACAGCAGAGCACAGCCAGGAGCCCTTTTTCAATTAACGTGCTTAAAAATAAGACCGAAAGTGAGCGGTGGGAGGTCCGAGAGTTAGGAGAACCAAGGCGGGGGAGAAGAATCACAGAATTGTAGAGTTGGAGGGAACCCCAAGGGTCATCCAGTCCAACCCTCTTCAATGCAGGCAGAGGGAGAACATAAAGCTTTTCATCCCCTGCTGACGAAAACCGTCCCTTCGGAGCTGCCCTGTCCCAGTTTTTTTGGGGTGGGATCCCCCTGCCCGGCTGGGCCAAACCAGGCTTTCTGAAACTCCTCACTCACCACACTGCGAATATCCATCTTGCCTCTTTATTCTACGACAGGACACAGAAAGAAAGACTGAGATGCAGACCTAGCTTCTTTTCAGGTAGTTCCGATTTCCTGATGAGCTGCTTGCCTACGGATTTAGACCCTCAGGACCCAACCTACGCTCTATCGTTCACCATTCAGCGAGATATTCCAGAAGCCCTGCCTGATCCCACCCCTTTGCCCCCAGCCTCTTCCAATCATCGGGGCACAGACCCCCAAATCCGCCTTTCCCCTCACATACATACAGCCTAATCCTTCTGCAGAGACTTCCCATGAGCCTTTTCTCCCCAGCCTCAGTTACCCACATGTAAAATGGAGTCTCTTGCCTCTCAGGACGGTGGCAAGGGTGAGCTGCCATCCTGAGACCTTTCGGGTGCTTGAAATTACACACACGTTATTCGGAGTAAGGAAACCCACAAAATTATCCCATGGGGAATAGTCGTTTCTCCCCAAAAGGGGGGTCCGCTCCAGCCAGTCCAGGAGCCGGAGTGGGGGGCAAGGTTTGGGGGCTGGAGCAGCCTCAGTAAGGAGTCCCAGCCTAGGGGGGATGTGGGGTTCGGCCACTGCCAAACTGACCCTCACCGGCTTCCGTTTGGTGACTGGGCAGGGAGGTGCCAACCCTCTGCAGGACGGCAGCAGGTGGAAGGAGGAGGGCATGACTGTTTGGAGGGCCCAGAAGTGGCCAGAGTGGGACCCCGCCACCTCCAAGGAAGCCCAGCCCTGCGATGAAAACGGAGCGCCAAACCCCCAGAGAAGGGTCAAATGGTGTCTCCAAACAGGTTCAGAAAGCAAAGGAGACTGGGCACGGTTTGCCGCCAACCTCTTCCCAGAGTCACCCACAAGGCCTGCTGCCCCCCCCCCACTGCAGACGCCCCTCATTCTACGCACCAAGGCCCAGCACCAAAAGAAACCTGCCAAGGAGGCAAACAGATGCAGAGTCAGGAGTGAGGGCAACCCATCCTTCCCTCTGGGATTCTGAATTCCAGGTGCCCTGGAAGGGAGGGAGTTATGTGGCTGCACCAACCTGGGGAAAACAGCAGATATTTCTGGCCTCCTAGCCCAGCATCCAAGGAAAGACCCCCACCCCCAGGCTACTCTACCACCCCACACCCCCTAGGGGCTCCTGGAGAGCTCTGGGGCTCACCAACCGCTTTGAAAAACTGTCCAGAGTTCGCCCCTTCCGGAACGGGGGAAACAAGGCAACGGGGTCAGGAATGATGGCGAAGTCCATGGCGCCGGAGGCCAGGGAGGGGCCCTTTGCCAGGAGGGGTCCCGAGGCCCCCCCTCAACTCAGGCTGAAGGCACATCCAGCAGGGAAAGGGAGGGGCAGGAGTGGGGCTGGCCTGTCCCTGGCTGGCAGGCGCTGTGACGGGGGCTCCTCCAGGCCTCTCGCCAGCCCCCCCAAGGCCCCGCGGGGCTCAGTCTGCGGCGCTACGACGTGTGGCACTGGACGTTGTGGCGCATGGGGTCCTCAAAGTCGTCCTCGTGGTGGAAGCCCCTCTCCTGGAAGTGGGGCTGCGTGAAGAGCTCCCGCAGCTCCACCTCCTCGGTGTCTTCTGTGGCCATCACCTCTTCGCGGGGAGGGAAGAAGGACTGCAGCTGGCGCAGCTGGTGAGGGGGCAGCCAGCCGGGGTCTGGGAACTTCACCTGGGCAAGAGAGGGGGGAATCAGGGAACGGTAGAGCTGGAAGGGACCCCAAGGGGTGCAGGAATCTCAGCCAAGGCATCCCTGACAGACCTCTGCTTAAAAATCTCCAACAAAAGAGGGCCCACCTCCTTTCCAGGGAATCCGCCTCCCCAGTCTTTCCCTCTGAAAGCTCTTCCTTAGAGGATATGGAACGATAAACTGGGAAGAGCATGAGACTCTTAATCTGAAGGTTGTGGGTTTGAGCCCCACGTTGGGCACAAGATCCCTGCGTTGCATAGGGACTGGAATAGATCCACCCCAACTACAATTCTATTAAGAATGGTGGATGACTGGTTTGCAGCAAGTCCCCCCTCCCAGCTCCCTGTCCCTCTCGCTCTGGATTAAGCCTGAATGCCCCCCTGTCCCCCCCGGCGTCCCCAGTACCTGGAACTGAATGATCAGCTTCCCCCTCTGCGTTGGATTTCGGTAGATGGGCATCCCTTCGTTGGGGATGCACTTGGCCTCCCCAGGCTTGATGATGGTCCCTGAGGGGCACAGAGAGGGCAGAGTTGGGGAAAGGGGCAGGAAAGGGCCTCCAAAATGACCAAGGGGGTGGAGAGGCTCCCCCAAGCAGAAAGTCTGCTGCTGCCCCTGGGGGTTCTTCATTCACAGGAAAGGCGAAGAAGAGGGGGCAGGAGGGAAATACACATTTGTGGACAGAAATAAAGGTTTCCTCCCTCTTCCTCCATCTCTCATGACACTGGAAGTGGTGGGCATCACTGAAGGTGGACATTGGGGATTAGCACAGAATCCCTTGATGCCACAACCACAGGCGGAAGTGTTTTCAGTGACGTTCACCATCAATTGTCTGTCGAGAGAGGGACCTTTAACTGTGAGAGCAGCAGGTGTTGTGTTATGCTGCTCTGTGCCTCAGAATCAGTCTGTAAATATTAGCCACATTCTCTCTTTCTCTCTCTCTCTCTCTCTCTCTCTCTCTCTCTCACACACACACACACACACACACACACAATTCATGTAAATATGTTTCAGCATACCAAGTAAAAGTCATGTTATTTTATAACTCTATCTTGCACAGTCTTTTCTAGGAGAGAAAAAGAGAACTATTGAAAAGGGTCAAACGACCCGGGGCAACTTCGGCACTACTCTGACAAGTATAATTACTACACTTCACGTGACTCTGGAACTCCCTGCCACAGGAGGCAGCAACGGCCACCAACCTGGATGGCTTTAAAAGAGGATGGGACAAATTCACAGAGGAGGAGAGGGCCCCTGATGGCTCCTAGCCAAGAGTCAGAGGCAGCCCTGCTTCTGGAAAGCCGTTGCTAGAAATGGCAGGAGGGGAGAGAGAGGCCTTGTGCTCAGGTCCTGCTCCAGGGCTTTCCCATAATGGGCATCTGGTCAGCTACTGTGCAAACAGGATGCTGGACCAGGTGGGATCCAGCAGGCTCCTCCTCCTCCTTTCTGATGTTCCCAGGCCTGGAGGAAGAGCCAGACACCAACTTCTCCACCTCTCAGAGCCTCCCTTGGGCGCATGCAGAGGGCCAAGGCCAGGGCAGGAAAGTCCACAGGCTTGGCAGGCAGATGCCAAACACCTCCCTCCTAAAGCCTGGCAGCCCCTTGGTGACTCAGAAGCCCCCTCCCAGCATTTCAGGCCCTGCTGAAAGCAAAGGGCCACTTCTCCATTTCACTTGCATGGGTAAACGTGGCTCCTTCTCCCCCACAGGCCCAGATCCCCTCTTCCCGCCCGCGCTCACCTGGCCGCGAGGAGACCAGCAGCTTCCTGTTGTCCAGGGTGTGGATGATCTGCCGGCAGCCGCACAGGGCATCCACCAGGCTCACCTCCCTCTTGATGATGAGGTCGCTGCCCTGGCGCTGGAAGATGGGGTGCATCTTCTGGTCCAGGACGATGACCACGTCGCCAGGCTCAAAGCCGGGCATCTGGTCGCCTTCCTGGTGGAAAGTGATCTTCTGCCGGTCGGCCATCCCTGCAGGAGGGAGGAGAGAGCTGCACGGATGCCAGAAAACCACCACCACCCCCGCTGAGCCGGCTGCCTTCTATCTCTCAGTCTCCTTCTGCACTGGCTTGCTGGGCTCTTGGCATTGTTACAAAACAGACACTTAAAATGATTAGGACATTTTACGTGCTTTTACACTGTACTGTGAACTTGGTGCAGAATTCAGTGGCCAAGTTGCTCACGGAGGCAAGGTGGTTTGAGCGTAGAACGCCAATCCTGGCCCGGCTGCACTAGCTGCTAATTAGTTTCCAGGCCCAATTCAAAGTGCTGGTTTTGATGTATAAAGCCTTAAATGGCTCAGGACTGCAATACCTCAGGGATCGTCTCTTCCCATATGAAACAGCCTGGACCCTGCAATTGTTATCTGAGGCCCTTCTCTGTGTTCCTCCTCCATGAGAAGTCTGGAGGGCAGCAAAACGAGAACAGGGCCTTTTCTGCAGTGGCTCCCCATTTGTGGGATGCTCTCCCCAGGGAGGCTCCCCTGGCGACTTCCTTATAAACCTTTAGGCCCCAAGTGAAAAAGTTCCTCTTCAACCAGGTCTTCAGCTGATTAAACCCTATATGGCCTTTTGAAAGTGTTGGTAGGAAGATATTCTTTAATTTTTATGTTATGCATTTTGTGTTTCTATGATGTGAACCACCCTATGATCTCTGGGTGAAGGTATGCCAGACTTATTAAAAAAATCAATAAATAATTGGGGCTTGGGTTTTATCAAGGCCGGGAGCCTTGATAAATTGAGATGTGCACGGCATCTCATAAAACAGGCCTCTTCTCATAAATGAAAAGACAACTGCAGCTTCCCCGTTTAAGTGTGCTTTTGAGGCCGCTCTCTGAACAGCATTTCAGGGCTGGGTGACAAGTCAGTCTTCCATTTCTCAGAGGTGGTGTTATGCCAGGCGTGGGTGTGACCAGATGGAGACTTCATCCCCAGGCAGAGGCAACCAGGTTTTGCAGGGCTTGGGAGGGACTGATTCAGCCAGCCACCCGCCCCCACCGTGGAGCCAAGCCTACACAAAAATCCAGCCAAATCTCTGTCCTTCCATGAGCTCTTATGTTCTTCCCTCCCCACCCCCTAATTCTGCCTGACAAAGAGTTCTGGAGAACAAAATTCAATTAAAACATCATTAAAAAAAACACTTCAGAAGCTTGCTGCAGTTTTGTGACGTTTTGGTTGGTGAAGCCATTTTGAGAGAAAAAGTGGTGGCCCAGCGACTAGAGGTCAGACCAGGACCTGGGAGAGATTAGGGTTCGAATCCCGACCCGGCCACCAAGCTTCCACGGGCTGCCTTTGGGCCAGCCTAGCCTGCCTTGCAGGGCTGTCGTGGGGGTTAACTGAGGAGAGGGAGACCTGTGTCTGCCACCTGGAGCTCCTTGGAGGAAAGGTGTGATAGAAACCCAACAAACAAACAAAGTTTGGGAGGCCTCGCTTTTCTGATGGGCCAAATGTGGCTCCGTTTTCTGCTTAAAAAAAAGGAAAGCGGGTTTTTCTTGTAACTAAATCTCTTTAGACCCTATTAATTCTGCTCCCTTTCCATCCTGGCAGACAATGCACAATCCCAGCTTCTCACTTCCTGGCATCAAGAGAGATACGACACACCCCAAGGAACAAGCTGACCCCCCAATTTGCCCCCCGGTGCCACTGCTGGGCGGACAGGCTCTCCCCCTGCCTTGCCCCTGCCAGCCCTGTGGAGAAGACCTTGCGGGGCTCACTCACCTTTGTCCAGGTGGACGTTGAGGATCTTCTTTTCTCGGATGACCTTCCTGCCGTTGCAGGCCAGGCAGCGGTCCAGCGCCCTCAGCCACTCCCCCTGGCCCTTGCACTGCGAGCACATCGTCTGGATGTGGTGGACCATGTTGGGCCCCAGCTGGTGGACGATGACCTCCACGCCAGAGCCATGGCACTTGGGGCACCGCGTGTCCAGCCCTTCCCTGCTTCCACGGCCTGGGAAGGAAACAGAAACGGCTTGGCGTGGGAGGAAAGCGTCCCTGATCTGACAGCCTCAAGAAGGAGAGCCCCGCAGCTGGATCAGGCCCAAGGGGGCCCTTCTAGTCCAGCCTCCTCTTCTCAGCAGCCAAATGGCCCTAAGAAGCTAGGAATCCAGATACACTGCCTCTGGACCTGGAGGCTCTACAAAACTCTAAGAAGAGCCTGGCTGCCGGATGAAGTCAAGGGGGACCCAATTAACCCAACATCCCGTCCCCACCAGGTGCCCTAATGGGAAACTCCTAAGCAGGACCCGAGCACAAGAGCAACTCTCCCTTCCTGCAGTTCCCAGCCCCTGGGATTCAGAATCATTGCCGCCTCTGACTAGTTAGCCCTGGAAGCCCTCTCCTCTTCTATGAATTTGTCTTCTAATCCTCTTTCAAAGCTGTCCACAGTGACGATCCTCACCGCCCCCTGCAGGAGGGAGTTCCATCACCCAAAGGAGCCCCCGCCACACACTCCTGCCCCCTCCTCGCTCACCGTTGCAGCTCTTGCAGATGACGGACTTCTGCAGGGAGAGTTTCCGCGTGGCGCCATTGTACAGGTCCTCCAAGGTCACCGACAGCTGGTGGACGGCCGTCTTCCCTGAAACAAGGAGGCCAAAGCATCAGAAACCTCTTGCTGTTCACCAAGGAGCTACCGTTTGTTTATTTGGGGCCTTTTGCGTCCTGCTCTTCATCCCCAAAGGCTCCCAGAGTGGCTGACATACAATCAAAGCAAGACCATTCCTCCTTGCAGGCTTACAGTCTTGTTTGGAAAGAAAACCCACCACGACACGCAAGGGAAAAGGGACAGAGAGGGAGGAGGAAAACTCAAAACTCAGGCACCAATTTCTAAACAGTTGTTCCTAGAATGAAAGTTGAGTTAATTTTATTCTGTTTCAGTATTTTAACTTTTGTCTGTTTTAAAGTAGGGTGGTAGTTTTTTTCTTGATTTTACTGTTTTAAGTCACTTAACAATCAAAGGCTTTTAACAATCAAATGGTGTGTAAATTTTATGAAATCAAGTAAATAAACTTAAGAATCACTGATAGGTGGCCACCTAACCTCTGCTTTAAAACCTGCAAGGTAGAAGAGTCCACCACCTTCTGAGAAAGTCCTTTCTACTGTGGAACAGCTTGCACTCTCACAAAGTTCTTCCTGGTGATTAGTCGGAATCTCTTTGCTTGTCATTTGAATCCACTGCTTTGGGTCCTACCCTCTAGGGAATTTCCACCAGGACTGATTGATTCATTTATTGGCATGTTTGTCCCACTTTTTGCTCCCAGGAGCTCCAGGTGGCTTGTATACTTTTATTGTAATGATCCGTATGTTTTAACAGATCAGGTATTTTATTTATATGTCTAAATGTTTAATTGGGTTTTTTTTTAATTATTGCTTCCCACCCCTCAATGCTTTTAGCTGTTCCTATTTTAGCTGTAAGCAGCCTTGAGTCACCCTCAGTGGGATATAAATAAATATTATAACAGTATGGCTCTGCCCCATCTCATTTAATCCCCACAGCAACAACCCTGTGAGGGAGGCCAGGGCTGAGACTACCCCAAGGTCACACCCAGTCAGCGCTTCATGGGGAGGATTTGAACCCAGGTCCCACTCAGGCCCAAGTCTGACACCTCAGCAAGTCTGGCTCTCACAGAGGGGCCTGTATGGATCAGCAGAGAGGGCTATGCGATATCACCCCCTCTTTGTCCATCCAATGCCCCCACCTGTAGGCTGCTGAGAAGCCCCCAGGGCCACATGGCAGCCGTCCTGAAGCTGCAAAGCGCCCTGTCGGCAGGAAGGCAGCATTTCTGAGAGGGTTACTCAGGGCAATTAGGCAGCCGGCAAAGCCTTCTCAGAGATCTCAAGGGAACAGGATGCAATTACTGGGAGCTTGGATGGGGGGGAGGAGGAGGAGAGTCACACCCTTCACCCTGGAAGGAAGAGGAGGACCAGAAGGACAGCCTCGGCCAGTCTAAAGGGGGCACCAGCACAGCCCCCCACCCTCCGGGTTACATCCAGCCACCAAGGCCTACTCAGAGGAGACCCACTGAAATCAAGGGACTGGTGTTTATCCTCATTATGACTACTGTGGAGTTCCCTCCGGAGAGAAGCGAAACTGGCTCCCTCTTTGTTATCCTGCCGCCAGAGGCTGAGACCTTCCTGTCCAGACAGGCCTTTGGGGCAGGCGATGCAGATCCGCTGGGCAAATCGCTGCACCTTAATGACGGGTTCTATCTGTGTTCTAACTATTGCTTGCTTTTATTACTCTGTATTCTAGAATGATGTTGTTAAATGTCAGACGCCGCCTTGAATCCCAGGCAGAATAGGAATACATTTAGTAATCATATAAAGGCGTTCCTAAACGTCTCTTCAGATCTCTCAGAGCCGCTCTCCAGCAGCATACGCCACGTGGGTATTTAGTTGTGATCATAGCTGTCAGCTTTCCCCTTTTCTTGCGAGGAATCCTATTTGGAATAAGGGAATTTCCCTTAAAAAAAGAGAAACGTTGACGGCTATGGTTGTGATTCCTGCACTGCAAGGGGTTGGCTGGGTGGCCTGATTCTACGCCCCATGCAAAAACATACATCCATTACAACAACAATTCAATCTGAAACAAGCACAGCAGCACATCCCTCCTCGCTCTGTGACGGCAGGGGTCCAACTCAGTTGCACCCTTGGAATCAATGGGCCTCAGTGAGCCTATCCGTGTCAATGGACCTCAGGAAGGCCAGAGCAGATCATCAGCTCTCAGGGATTTGTTTTGGCCAGGGATGGGGGATCTGCGGAACTCCAAGACGTTGTTGGAGTCCAACTGCCACCAGCCCAAGCAGCTAGTGGGGCCCACGGGGAGGCATTGCATCTATTTCACAAAATTTGCACGCAAAGAAAAGCCTCAGGAGGTTTACAAAGAAAGGAATAAAATTTATCAGCAAAAACAACCATTTGAAACATTTAAAATTAAAATCAGGAATAAACTAAAAACAAGCATACACCAACGTTCTACATGTCTGGATACAGGTTTGTCTAAACAAATGTGGTTTTTTGGCAGGTGCCATAAAAAACGCAGTGATGGTGCCTGCCTGACGTCAACAGGCAGGGAGTTCCACAGAGCAGGGGCTGCCACACTAAAATATCGATGTGGAACAGGTCAGTGGTGAAGGGGTGGGAAGCGTGCCTTTGGGGACCCCCACGCCTGGCTTAGGAGGATTCCCCTCCCTCCGAACTACCAAGCAGCCAAGTTTCAGGGTGCTGCTGCCATCCCTCAGTGGGGGCCCCGTCCCCACACCCCACTTCTCCCGTATGGCCTGTGAACCACAAACCGCCTTCCCAAAGGGCAGGTGGCCACAAGATTCATTTCTGTTTTTCCATTTTCAGGATTCATTCTATACAACTGTCTCAAGGCGACACCAAAGATTATTCAAAACGCTTAAAAATAGCAAATAAATTTAGAACTCAAAGAAGGTGTCTGGGTGAGAACTTCCTGAGCAGGAAAGTGGAAGGTTCAATAAATAAATGGCAATGGAGCCTGACTCTGCTCCTCCTAGTACAGCCTTCTCAGCAAGAGTCTGTCTCCCAGAGGAAGCAAAGCCCCCCCCCGCCAGGCCAGCCCCCCCTTGCCCCCAAGTACCTCTCCTCTCCACGCGGGGACCGTGGGTGCGGGGCCCGCCTCCGAAAAACAGGTCAAAGATGTCCATGGGGGGCCCGAAGCCGCCCCTGCCGCCTTCCTTCATGGCCCGCTCCCCCCCGCGGTCGTACATCGACCTCTTGTGGGGGTCCGACAGCACCTCGTAGGCCTGGGAAATCTGCTTGAACTGGGGGGGGGGGAGAGAAGGTGTCGAGTCAGAGGACGGGAGAGCCGGAAGGGACCCCCAAGGGTCATGTAGTCCAGCCCGCCCAGCCCCCGGCACCTACCCTGTCCCCCTCACTGGGGTTCTTGTCTGGGTGGTACCTCAGCGCCAGGCGCCGGTAAGCGCGCTTGATCTCCTCCATCGTGGCGCAGGGCTTGACCCCCAGCACATCGTAGTACCCGGTTTCCTTCACCATCTTCCTTGAGGCAGCTCAGCGGTCAGCGTCCGGCAGCGTCAAGTCCCCCTGGCTCACCCGTCCAAGCCCAGAGAGAGCCTTTGCCCTAGAGAGAGGACCTGGGGGTCATTCAGGAAAACAGAAGCAGCTCTTGTGAAAGCCCCAGGATGCTGGCTGCCAAAAGATCCAAGAGGGAAGAGCCCCCTTTAATGGCTGGGCTGGCTCCCAGAGAGTCTCGCTGGCCTTCTTCCCCCAAACAGACACCTGTCAGGCAGGTGGGGCTGCCAGTGCCCTGCTGCTGCGGCTTCCCAATTAAGAGTGCCTTCTCCTCCTCCTCTCGCTCTTCCCTGTGCGGACGGACCGGTTGGAGGAAGCAGGAGGGCGTGGCGGGGCTGAGTGCGTCAGATCCCAAAGGTGCTGATTACCTGGCCCGCCTCACAGGGCGAGCGTGAATGCCTCCTGAGCCCCGGAGGGCGTGGGACGGGAGCTGCAGCAGCAGCACCAAAAAAAAGCCCAGACCAAGCAAGATTCCCCTGCCCTACTTTCCTCTCCGTCCGCTGCGCAACCCAGCGCACCAAGCCCTCCTTTAAGGCCTTAATTGCCACTTGCTAACGAAGCAGCCTGGCCCCGCCCGCCCGTGGCACACTTTGGCCAGGGCCGCCTGTCACTCTCTTCCCCTGGAAACAAAGTAAGATTCTAGTCCTCATCTGGGAACAAGGGCATCTTCCTCAGACAGAGTCAGACCGATTGGTCCATCTAGGAACAGAGGATGCTACCTTCGACTGAATCAGACCACTGGCCCATCCAGCTCAGCAGGGTGGATATGATTTAAATCAAATCAATTTAAATCACGATGGGCCAGCCCCAAAGGGCCACGCTCCAGCCCTTGGAAACACACACAGGCAGAGGACTGTAGTTCATGGGGGCCGCCGAGGGCCAAGGGGCTGCCCCTCTTCTCTGCCCAAAGCTCCTCCAAACAGCTGGAGGAGGGTCTCGGGGTGCCCTGCTTCCCTCAGCTCTTTTGGCAGCACTGAGTCAGCAGAAAAACTCCCTTGGGAAGGCCTTGCCCAAGAGGAGCCAAGCGGCCACGGGTTGCAAGAGGAGAAGAGCCTCATTCTGCAAAGCCCTCTGGCAAACGTGGGTGCCGCCCCCTCCAGGGGCTGCTGGACTCCCAACTCCCAGCAGCCAGGCTCAGCCGCGACAGTGTCGTCCCCACAAGTCCTGGAGGGCCACAGATGCTGTCCAGCCCTGATGGAAGCACAGAGCTGTAGAGCTGGGAGGCATCCAAGGGTCATCTAGTCCAACCCCCGCTGCACTGCAGGAACCACAGCTAAAGGATCCCTGATTAATCTTGATTTAAAAAGCCTCCAAAAGAGGAGAGTAGGCTGTTCCACTGTTGAAGGAATGCTAAACGTCAACTCAGCTGACAGAAGGGGCTGGATATCATCCAACACGGAGGTTACCCAGTCAAAGCACTGGTCCATTCAGCTGAATAATGTCCGCCCTGGCTGGCAGCAGCTCTCCAGGGCTTCAGGCTCAGGGGCTACTAGCCACAATGGCTATGGTCTGCCTCCATTGTCAGAGGCAGCAAGGCTTCTGAGCACCAGTTGCTGGAAGCCACAACCGGGGAGAGGGGTCTTGTTCTCGAATCCTGCTTGTGGAACTGTTCAGCCACTGTGAGAACAGGATGCTGCCACAAAGAACTCATAACCCACCTGCTCTCAGCAGCCAGAAACACCATAACCAGACACTGGAGAGACCTGTCAGGAGTAAGCATGGACCAATGGTACCAAATAGTATGGGAAACAGCCCTACTAGAAAAATTAACTAATAAACTGAAACTGACATGGGGACAAACAGAAGAAGATGCCTTCACCCTGGTATGGCTCCCCTTTATCACATACACAGCCCAACAGGACAACGACAATAATCCACCAACAGCATACAAATCAATATGGCTAACCTGATCCAAAACACCCACCCACCTCACTCACACACGAAAACAAAGATCACCATAGCCAACCACAAATGAACAGCCACACCCTAGGCCAACCCCAACCTCTCTCAGCACCAAAGGAACACAAGTGAACAACACAAGCAACGCTGACCCCAAACTCTACATACATTAAACATAATAGAAACACCGCCACCCGACCCCACCCCCATCCATCTTCCCTCTCTCCACCCCCTTTCTTTTTTCTTTTTTTTCTTCTCCCCCTAATGCCTCAACAAATGAAACGGATTTGTAAAAATGTTACATGAAAAAAAAATACGAGGCACTACACTTACTTCTGTAAAACAAGAAAATCCTTAATGAAATATTAAAAAAAAAAAAAGAACAGGATGCTGGAATAGATGGGAGGTGGCCTGATCCAGGAGCTCCTCTTGGGGTCCTAGGGTCCTCAAGAAGACGGAAGCGGGTTTTGTGCCAGGCAACAGGGTCCTGCCGGAGGGCAGAAAACTGGGCAAGTCACTTGGGGCCCCACTGTAAGTCGGGGGGCCCTCTTGGCCATTCGGTCAGCTGCAGAAGTGGAGGGAATGATGGTCGGGGGCCTTCTCTGTCGCTGCCCCTAAGCGGTGACCCTCTCACCCCACAGAGATGCGTCTGGCACCACCCTGAGTCAGGTCCCGCCATGGGTGGCAGACACACCTGTGCACCCGGCCCTGGGACAGCACTTCTGCGTGGGGCTCAGCCCTCCTGCTTTGTTGTTTTTGCTCAGAGTCCTTGCATTTCTTTCCACAAACTGCCCTACCTCTCTTGTTTTTAGCGGAATGATTATGTCACTGCAACCCGTCCTGGGACCTTACAGTGAAGGGCGGGTAAGAAATCTCTTAAATAAATACGTGAACAGGGCTGCAAGCCCATTCACTTATCCTGGCCTGCCTGGGTGAGGTTTGGGGAAGGAGCACCACAGCTCAATGGGCAGAGCAGGCATCTCTGAGTAGGGCTGGGAGCGTCCTGCTTCCGTAACTCTGGAGAGCCACTGCTGCCGGCCAGTGCAAGGGAACTTCCTGAGATTCCCGGTGAGCAAATGCAGGGGTTGGACTAGATGCCCCATGGGACCCCTTCCAACGCTACAAGTCTACGATCCTATGAATGGGAGGGCTGCCAGGAGTCCACATGTAATGCTTAGCAAGAAAAGCCAAGCCGCATCCCAGACGGGGAGTCTCAGGGAGGGAGCCTGGGAAAAGCTCTTCTTCCCAGGACGACTTCCCAGATTACCCTGAACAAGCAAGAAACCAAGGACTCAGAGAGCCACTTCTGAGGCGCACGGAGGCCACGCTGGGCCTTTGATCTCCCAGGCAAAGCTGGGCGTGCTGGGCTGCCCCACCTGGCTGGCCTGAGGCTCCTGCTCCGGGGCAGAAAAGCTCCTCCGTGGGCAAAAAGCGCTGCCCCACACTGGAAGCAGCGCACAGGGGAGTCGGCAAGGAAAAGCTTTGGGACGGCAGATTTCAGGGTCTGATCCTGCCCCACAACAAAGCCAACGCAAGACAGGGATTTGTTTGTTCCTTAAAGCTTTTCAACTTCAGCACTTTAAAGCCTCCTTCCTGAAAGCCTTTCAACCAAACGCAACACCCTGTCCGACTTCCACGCTCCACTCGTGAATGAGCTAAAACAAATCCGACAGGACAGACGACATGCTGTAAGTTTATAAGATTATGCACGGCATGAAGAACGCAGAGAGAGAAAAGCAGGCAGAGGCAAACTCGGCCCTGTGCCTGGAGAAAAGGTTCTCTCCCTCTTATGACACCAGAACTGGTGGGCACCCAGTGAAGCTGAATGTTGGAGGATAAAGGACAGAGAAAAAGGAGGACTTCTTCATGCAGCACAGAGTTCAACTGTGGAACTCCCTCCTGCAGGGGGCAGCCAGGGCCACCAACCTGGAAAGGTGGAGGAGAGGGCTATGGAAGGCTGCTAGTCCCCATGCCATGCTCTGCCTCCGGAGCGGAGAGGAAGCCATGCTCCTGAATCCCAGGGGCTGGGAGAGTTGCTCTTGCGCTTGGACCCTGCTTGCAGGTTTCCCATAAGGGGCACCTGGTCGGCCACCATGAGAACAGAAGGCTGGACTAGAGGGGCCCCCCTTTGGCCTGATCCAGCAGCAGCAGCCAGGCTCTTACATGCCAAGTGCAAAGGAATTCTCTACATGTTCAGCGCCTGGTTCAAAGCAGGCCTCAAAGGAAATGTGGGAAGAGCTCTCCTGGCCTTGACCAGAACAGCTTTGCACTCTCGGCCAAAAGAGGCCCGGCTATCTCACTCTGGGGAAACCCAAGGACTGGGCAGGAGAGCGGGGCATCCGCTCCACAGCTGAACTCCACCCACCCTCCAGTTGGAAGACAAGGTCGCAGGCAGCCAGGCAGCTTCAGCTTCCAAACGGCATCTCCATGGAGGGCTGAATCCTGGTCTGAAACCCTGGAGAGCCGCTGCTGTCGGTCAGGGCAGGCAATCCTGAGCTAGATGGGCCAATGGCCTGGCTCAATATGAGGCCGCCTCCTATGTCCCCATCCATCCAAGGACATACAAAGCTGCTCTTGGTATCGTCTACCTGGACTGGCAGCAGCTCTCCAGGGTTTCAGACCTGGGTTACGGTGGCCAGAACGGAATGTCTTGTGCCTTTTCCCCCCAAGGAAATTTATTATTGTTGTTGTTATTTCTATACCGCTTTATATTTTGAAGAACAAACCTCAAAGCGGTTTACAGCACATTAAAGCATCAAATAAAGCTATCCAGAATAAAGACAAATTCCACCTTCAAGGAAAGTATTTCAGATCCTTCTCTAAGTGACATTTTGCTTTCCCCAGGCGCCAGCCTGGCATCCAGAGATCTCCACGTGGTCACCACTGGACCCGTGACAAAATGCACCTGGCTAATTTTTAACACTGCACTCAGCTACAGTCCTCCCTTTTAAAATAAAGCAAGATTCCAGTCCTCATGGTTCTGAATAAATGGCCGATTTAAAGAGGAACACACTGCCTCACGTTCAGCAGAGCAGGAGCCTCTCAGCGGCTGGGTGCAGAAACAGCTATCTAGGGCAGGTTTGTGGCGCTGCCACTTCCACTCCTCTCCTTCCCTCCTTGGCCTACCCCGGCCGGCATCCAGCCAAACAGGTTCTCTGGGCGCTTGCAGCTGCACCCGGGAAGAGCCCAGGCGCCACCACAGGCTCCCACAAGCGTGACCAGCACGGCACGCGGAGACTGTGGCTGCGGGGTGAGCGTCTGAGGTGCCAGCAGCACCTCCCTCCATCCCTGGAACAAGGTCTTGGCACGGCTGTGCGATGGAGGCCCAGGTAGGGACGCCTGTGGTTGCTTTTCATTGCACAACTGCTTGCTGGGTGGCCCCTTGCCAGATGATTCCTGCATTGGGTTGGACTAGATGGCTCTGAAGGTCCCTTCTGACTCTTCTACAATTCTAGGAAATGTGCCTTGGGTTGCCCTATTTTTTAAAGGAGCAGGGTGCAATAGATTTCCTCAGAACTTCCATCAGCTGCCGCAATCTGGTGCAGTCAGCTTCAGTTCTTGCTCAAGTCGAGATAGACTGAGCAAGCAGGAGAGCAAGACTCCCAGGACGATCCTCCCCCTCTAAGCCAGGCTGCATCCTGTTTGCTCAGTCAGCACCCTAAAGCAACAGGATCGGGGCCGGCAAGCGACACCTCAGCTGCACCCCAACAAATAAGGAAGCTGACTTATACTGAGTCAGACCTCTTTCCAAGGCTGCTTTCAGAGCCCCACCTGGAGACGCCAGCAGGAACTGAGCCCCAGGCTCTCAGATGCTCTGCCACAAAGCAGACAAGAGCACTCAAAGAGCCTGCTGGATCAGGCCAATGACCCATTTAGTTCAGCCTCCTGTTCTCACAGTGGCCAAATAGTCCAAAGAATCTAGGAACCAAGATAGACTGCCTCTGGAACTGGAGGTTCCCTGAGGACATAAGGAGAGCCTGGCTGCTGGATCAGACCAAAGGGAGGGGGCTAACCAGAGTGGCCAACCAGATGCTTATTGTGGGAACCCCACAAGTAGGACCGCCCCCCACTCCTGCAGTTCCCAGCAGCTCTTATTCAGAAGGCAGACCATGGCCATCACTGCTAGTAGCCATAAATACCCGCTCTCATGAATTTGTATAATTCTCTTTCAAAGCCTTCCAAGTTGGTAGTCCTCACTGCCACCTGCAGGAGCCAGTTCCATAGTTTAACTACATGCTGTGTGAAGAAGGGCTTCCTTTCATCTGTCCTGAATCTTCCCACATGCAGCTTTCTGGGATGTCCACCAGTTGTGTGGGAAACCGGCAAGCAGGATCCGAGCACAAGAGCCTGCTTCCCTCCTGTGGATTCCAGCAACTGGGATTCAGAAGCATTGCTCCCAGCTGACTTTGGATCTGGGGGTCAGTCTTTTTTGGCCTGCCATGCAGAGGGTCAAGGCTGAAAAGGAACCTGAATCATCCTTGGAAAACTGGTGTAAAAAGAGTGACAGTGTGTTGTTGCAGGAATTTATGTATAGGTTGGGGGGGTTGCCCCTCCAGCAGATATCTTGCACATGCAGCCCACTACCAGAATCAGCACCATCACTTTTGTGACTTTTGTGATTTGTCCCCACAAAACACTTCATCAGTTTCTTCCTGCCTATTCAAAGGGCCTCTGCTGCACGATACCAAATGTAACAATTCACTGATAAATGTACAGTGGTACCTCGGGTTAAGTACTTAATTCGTTCCGGAGGTCCGTTCTTAACCTGAAGCACCACTTTAGCTAATGGGACCTCCTGCTGCTGCCACGCCGCCGGAGCCCGATTTCTGTTCTTATCCTGAAGCAAAGTTCTTAACCTGAAGCACTATTTCTGGGTTAGCGGAGTGTGTAACCTGAAGTGTATGTAACCTGAAGCGTATGTAACCCGAGGTACCACTATATCTATGTACTGGCTCACTGGGAAAACTTCAGAAATTCATATAGACATGTGAGCTCAGCTCCTCAGCAGCCCCTCTGCCTGAGTGATAATCCCTGGCATCCTGATACCTGAGTGCCAGACAGGTAATGATGAAGACAAAAGGGTGTGATTAACCGCTGGGAAACAGGGAAATGTAAATATCTCTTTTGCTACACTTGATGGGTGTTTGTTGGAGGGCAAGGGGAACCATGGGGCAGGGTCCAGGATGCTCAGATTACGGCCACCAGACCTCCCCTTTCATGATGTAACCATGATGTATGAGTGATGTAGTTGGGGGGGTGTAACACGGGGATTAGCAGCTAATAAAAGTTTGGGTTCTCTTTTGTTTGGGGCTTCCATCTTGTTCCACCTTGTGGCAGGTGGGAGTCCTGTCGCGAGACAGTCTTCAGTCAAGACCAAGCCGACTGGCTGCTCTGGTATTCCTGGCTGGTGTCCTTGTTTTTTGTCCAAGGGAGCCCTCAGATTTCTCCGTTAACAGTGTTAAGCAACAGATTCATAGAATTGGAAGGGAAGCCAAGGGTCATCTAGTCCAAGCCCAAGAAAGATGCATGGAGGAACAACACAATTAAAGCAGAGACAGGAAGTTGTACGCTGCCCACGGGCAGAGCCTATTTTGCTTCAGCTTTATCTGCAACAAGTCATTTTAAAAATATGCTGCTGAAACATCCTGGCTCATAGCCCTATACTGAGAATACTCCCCCAGGAAGGACCCAGTCTGCAATCCTGTGCGCACTGAGCTGGGAGCAAGTCCCCCTGAGGTCAGCTGGGCTCCCTTCCAGAGGCACGTGAGGAGAAGTCTGGGAGAGGAAAGGAAGACTCTTATCAGCCGGGGACAACAACAGGACGTCTTGTTTGCTTTCTCTGTGTGTGACCTTCTCTCTCCAACTAGGACTCGCTCAAAAGTAGCCAAAGTTGCAGCGGAAATCAAGGCAAGATTTTTGCAGCTCCAGCTTAAAGACTGAACAAAGTTTATTATGGCATTTACAGGAGATTTCCTGGGCCCTAGTTTCTCCTAAAGGAAGTTTATTCAACGCCTCTAATGAAGAAGGAAAAATCACACATGAGTGTGGGAGCCTCCAAGGGGCCACCACCAGAAGAGCCTCGCCTGAGTTTCTGCCCCTAAATCCTCAACCTCCCCCAGTGAAATATTTAAAAGCGGCTTATACAGTAAGAAATTAAGAATTAAAAAGGCACAGCAAAATAAACTTCACAACGATTAAACAGCAAGAACACAATAACGAAAGCAATAAAAACCCATAGCTAAAAAAGAAAAAGAAAACAGAAACAAAAAAACCCTCTTTAAAAATACATTTTTAAAAATGCTAAATACATTCTTGTTTAGGTAAGTCCAACCAGATCCTTAGAATCTGTTTTAATATTTTGACTTTTCGTATGTTTTAAAGTACCATGGTATATTTTTCTTGATTTATTTATATTTCTGTAATCCGATTTGAGGGTGGTTGTTTTACACTCGAGCGGTGTGTACATTTTACGAAATAAAGAAACACAATAAAGAGCGAGAGACGTCAATATAGCCAGCCAGGGCCTCAGAAGGGAGTTTTTCACAGCAGCGGCTGCTGGGTGAGCGCAGGAGGGGAACCCAGGCGTCCGAGGAGCGGCCCCCCCCACACCAGAGGACCCAGGCGTCCGGGGAAGGAGGGGGCGTGGCGTGGGAGAAGAGGGAAAAGGACCCCGGCGTCCGAGGAGCTCCCCGCCCCCCCCCCTCCGGCTCACTCACCCTCCGACGCCCCGACCGCTTCCTTCCTCGAGAGGAACTCTCTGGAAGCGCCGCCCCGCCCCGCTCGGCGCCCATTGGCCGGCGGACGCAGCCAAGGCCCCGCCCTCCCGAGGAAGCCCCGCCCCCTCCCCTGAGAAAGAGGCCGAGAAACTGGGCGGGGTTTTGTTGTTTTCCTTCGCTGGCGCCCGGAGAGGCCGCGCCTCCGAGCCCCGCGATTGGGCGGCGGGGAGAGCGGCCGGGCCTCCTCTGCGGTTCTGGATTGGCTGCGCTCCACGCTCGTCAGCCGCACGGCGGCCACTCAACGGGCGACCTTCGGTTTGAGCGAGAAGAGCGGGAACTTGTCCGTCCGGGAGGCGGCGGTTGGGCGCGCGGGGGAGGGGAGCGCCGAAACTCCCGCCTTTTTCTCCCGCGCACGCGCCTCAGCCTCAGGCGGCCGCGCTGCCAGGGAGACTTGCGCCCAGAACCCAGAGATTGTATTTATTATTATTATTTTGGTAAATATTTCCTTTTGGGAAGGGACCCCGGGGGTCATCCAGTCGAAGCTCCTGCAATGTAGGAATCGCAAGGAGGGCCTTCGGGGCATTTTATAATGTACGTTAAAGCAGAGAGAGCGGCTATCAGAGCGGGTGGCCAGCAAAGAAGGACAAACGAAGCCCTGAAATGAAAGAGGCGCGTTGAAGCTCACAAGTCCTGGAGGGGCCCCCATCCCCCCCCCAGCAGCAGCAGCCCTGCGGGAGGCCGGGCCAAGGCGAGACGAGCCGAAAGTGGCCTCTGCAGAGCAGGCCAGGCAGCCCGCTCCATGGCGGGTCTCCTTCGGGGGGCTGCAGGGAAATGAGGGGCAGGTGGGGCTCCTCCGTCCGGGAGAAGGGAAACTCCCACCCTAAAGCTCCCCTGCCTTGCAGCTCTACTCATTCGTGAGGAAGCCTTTGGGAGCAAACACTGAGGAAAAATCCAGGCCTGCCGGTGCTTTTTTCCTGGGTCTCCTTAAGAGTATACAGTAGCGGCACCTTTTCCGGATGTTCAAAGTGTGGCACTTACGGTGACAACTTCATGGTGAGTACCAGCCCCTTTTTTTCTTAAAAAAAAGTATGATTGTCTTCCATGAGCACGGTTTGAACAGTGTGTCTGTAAGTGCCTGCAGAGGCCAATTCTGGATCCACACAATGTCCTTCCACAGTGGGGACCGAGGTTTCTGATCAGGAGTTGATCATGGTGAGGGTTTGCCAGGTGTGCCTTCCTCTTAACATGTTTCTCCCTTTTCTTCCAGAGTTTGAGCATCTTCAGAGGTATGACACCTTTGGTAAAGGCTGTTCTCAGGGTGATCACAGGCCAATGTTTCCCACTTGTCAATGTTTATACTACTTTTTTTAGATTTGCCTTGAGAGAGTCTTTAAACCTCTTTTGTTGACCACCAGCATTATGCTTTCCATTTTTAAGTTTGGAATAGAGTAGTTGCTTTGGACCCCTTCATGGATCACTGCCTTGCCGTGGCAAAGGGGTTTGAATAACTCAGAGAAGCTATGAGCTATGCCGTGCAGGGCCACCCAAGATGCACAGGTCATAGTGGAGAGTTTTGACCAAACGTGATCCACCTGGAGCAGGAACCAGCAAGCCACTCCAGTATCCCTGCCAAGAAAACTCCATGGACAAAGACAAAAGGGATATAAAAGTTATGACGCTGGAAGATGAGCCCCTCAGGTCGGAAGGCGTCCAACATGCTACTGGGGAAGAGCAGAGGACAAGTACAAGTAGATCCAGAGCTGATGAAGCGGCTGGGCCAAAGCCGAAAGGTCGCTCAGTTGCGGATATGCCTAGAAACGAAAGGAAAGTCCAATGCTGTAAAGAAAAATATTGCATAGGAACCTGGAATGTAAGAACCATGAACCTGGGTAAGTTGGATGTGGTCAAAAATGAGATAGCAAGAATAAATATTGACATCCTGGGCATCAGTGAACTAAAAGGGACAGGAATGGGCAAATTCAGTTCAGATGACTATCATATCTACTACTGTGGGCAAGAATCCCATAAAAGAAATGGAGTGGCCCTCATAGTCAACAAAAGAGTGGCAAAAGCTGTACTGGGATGCAATCTCAAAAATGATAGAATGATCTCAATACGAATCCAAGGCAGACCTTTTAACATCACAGTAATCCAAATTTATGCACCAACTACTGGTGCTGAAGAAACTGAAATTGACCAATTCTATGAAGACTTACAACACCTTCTAGAAATGACACCAAGGAAGGATGTTCTTCTCATTATAGGGGATTGGAATGCTAAAGTAGGGAGTCAAGAGATAAAAGGAACAACTGGCAAGTTTGGCCTTGGAGTTCAAAACGAAGCAGGGCAAAGACTAATAGAGTTCTGCCAAGAGAACAAGTTGGGCATCACAAACACTCTTTTCCAACAACACAAGAGACGACTCTACACATGGACATCACCAGATGGGCAGCATCGAAATCAGATTGATTATATTCTCTGCAGCCAAAGATGGAGAAGCTCTATACAGTCAGCAAAAACAAGACCTGGAGCGGACTGTGGCTCAGATCACCAGCTTCTTACAGCAAAATTCAAGCTTAAACTGAAGAAAGTAGGAAAAACTACTGGGGCGGTAAGATACAATATAAATCAAATATTTTATGAATACACAGTGGAAGTGAGGAACAGGTTTAAGGATTTAGATTTGGTTGACAGAGTGCCTGAAGAACTATGGATGGAGGCTCGCAACATTATACAGGAGGCAGCAAGAAAAACCATCCCAATGAAAAGGAAATGCAAGAAAGCAAAGTGGCTGTCCAACGAGGCCTTACAAATAGCATGGGAGAGAAGGCAAGCAAAATGTGAGGGAGATAGTGAAAGATACAGGAAATTGAACCCAAAAAATAGCAAGGAGAGACAAGAAGGCCTTCTTAAACGAGCAATGAAAGAAATAGAGGAAAACAACAGAATGGGAAAAGCCAGAGATCTGTTCAAGAAAAATGGAGATATGAAAGGAACATTTCGTACAAAGATTACCATAATAAAGGACAAAAGTGGTAAGGACCTAACAGAAGCAGAAGACATCAAGAAGAGATGGCAAGAATACACGGAGGAATTATACCAGAAAGATGTGGATGTCTCATACACCCCAGGCAGTGTGGTTGCTGACCTTGAGCCAGACATCCTGGAGAGTGAAGTCAAATGGGCCTTAGAAAGCAGTGCTAATAACAAGACCAGTAGAAGTGATGATATTCCAGCTGAACTATTTAAAATTTTAAAAGATGATGCTGTTAAGGTGCTACACTCAATATGCCAGCAAATTTGGAAAACTCAGCAGTGGCCAGAGGATTGGAGAAGATCAGTCTACATCCCAATCCCAAAGAAGGGCAGTGCCAAAGAATGCTCCAACTACCGCACAATTGGACTCATTTCATACGCTAGCAAGGTTATGCTTAAAATTCTACAAGGCAGGCTTAAGCAGTATGTGGACCAAGAACTCCCAGAAGTGCAAGCTGGATTTCAAAGGGGCAGAGGAACCAGAGACCAAATTGCAAACATGCACTGGATTGTGGAGAAAGCTAGAGAGTTCCAGAGAGACATCTACTTCTGCTTCATTGACTATGCAAAAGCCTTTGACTGTGTCGACCACAGCAAACTATGGCAAGTTCTTAAAGAAATGGGAGTGCCTGATCACCTCATCTGTCTCCTGAGAAATCTCTTTGTGGGACAAGAAGCTACAGTTAGAACTGGATATGGAACAACTGACTGGTTCAAAATTGGGAAAAGTGTACGGCAAGGCTGTATATTGTCTCCCTGCTTATTTAACTTATATGCAGAATTCATCATGCGAAAGGCTGGGCTGGATGAATCCCAAGACGGAATTAAGATTGCCAGAAGAAATATCAACAACCTCAGATATGCAGATGACACAACCTTGAGGGCAGAAAGTAAGACGGAATTAAAGAACCTTTTAATGAGGGTGAAAGAGGAGAGCGCAAAATATGATCTGAAGCTCAACATCAAAAAATGAAGATCATGGCCACTGGTCCCATCACCTCCTGGCAAATAGAAGGGGAAGAAATGGAGGCAGTGAGAGATTTTACTTTCTTGGGCTCCATGATCACTGCAGATGGTGACAGCAGTCACGAAATTAAAAGACGCCTGCTTCTTGGGAGAAAAGCAATGACAAACCTAGACAGCATCTTGCCAACAAAGGTCCTTATAGTTAAAGCTATGGTTTTCCCAGTAGTGATAAATGGAAGTGAGAGCTGGACCATCAAGAAGGCTGATCGCCGAAGAATTGATGTTTTTGAATTATGGTGCTGGAGGAGACTCTTGAGAGTCCCATGGACTGCAAGAAGATCAAACCTATCTATTCTTAAGGAAATCAGCCCTGAGTGCTCACTGGAAGGACATATCGTGATGCTGAGGCTCCAATACTTTGGCCACCTCATGAGAAGAGAAGACTCCCTGGAAAAGACCCTGATGTTGGGAAGATTGAGGGCACAAGGAGAAGGGGACGACAGAGGACGAGATGGTGGGACAGTGTTCTCGAAGCTACCAGCATGAGTTTGACCAAACTGTGGGAGGCCGTGGAAGACAGGAGTGCCTGGCGTGCTCTGGTCCAGGGGGTCACAAAGAGGTGGACACAACTAAACGACTAAACAACAACAGTTGCTTTAGAAGACGATCATCAGGCATCTGCACAACATGACCCGTCCAACAAAGTTGATGTTGAAGAATCATTGCTTCAACACTGGTGATCTTTGCTTCTTCCAGTACACTGGCATTAGTTCACCTGTCTTCCCAGGTGATGTGTAAAATGTTTCGGAGACACCGTTGATAGAACCTTTCAAAGAGTTGGAGATGACGTTTAGAAGTGGTCCATGTTTTCCTTGAATCACTGTGACCGAATCTATATCCACCGCCCATGTGCTGGTTCATGACTTCCAGATTTCAAGGTCCTGCCCCCGTTACCATTTGCCAATCACCATGGAACTGTTTTTGGGTTTGGGATGGGTTTTTGGAAGACGCCAGTGCGTGCATTTGTTTTATGCGTGTAGATGAGTGCATGCTGACTGTTGCGCAACCTTAGCAGTAAGGCTCTATTCCAATGGCACGAGTATCATGTCAACTGGTAGATTCTTATTTGCTGAAGCTTTCATCTGCCTTCACAGCCATAATATGCAGTCAAGTTGATGCCAAATGTTTTGTTTTGCTCTGCTTTCCTTTGGACCACATCAGTGAGTCCTGTAGTCTGGGCAGCCCAGGCTTGCACCCCGGAGAGGTCACTTTGATGCTGCCCACGAAGCAAAAGCAACGCAGGAGGCAGAAGATATAAGTCTCTGCAGCCAAAGCAGGTGCTGTGATTCTCCAGTGGTTAGACTTCACCCCCAGAGGCACACTCCAGTGTCTCTCGAGACAGACAGGTGTCAACAACAACAATACAGCAATTGGTATATTTCGTCCACTTGCAGTTTGGATTTATTTTAGATTATCCAGAAGTGGAATGTAGGATGCTGTGCTGCTTACATGGCATCCATTTAAGGTGCACTTCCTCACCACCCCCAAAAACAAAGAACTCTGGGAGCTGTAGCTTGTTTAAGGGTGCTGGGCATTACAGCTTTGTGAGGGGCAAAATACAGCTTACCAGGTTTCTTTGGTCGGGGGGGGGGGAAGCACGCTAAATGTACAGTGTTGTTGCTTCTTTAATTTAGGGGATTTGGGCTTGGGTGTTGTTCTGAATGTGGCCACTGTGGGGCAGCACCTGCCTTCTTCTGGACCAGCCAGCCTTTGCTGGAGGAGTCCAGATTGGATCAGATGCTGTTGGGGGCCTGAACCCCACTACTGTTGCCATGGATTACATAATCTTTTAAAAGAGAGAGTGTTTATTTTAGCAAAGAAGGTTTTCCTTTACAGGGTGACTGGCAGCGCCCAGCCACTGTTGCCTTAGGAACGCAGGAAGCACTTTGTGTAGAGTATGACACTGGGGTCCCATCAGGAAAGCCAGCTTGGCCCTGTGACCACGGGTGCCATGCAGCATGCATGGCCCTGGCACTGAAATTTGTGGGTGCCCATCCCCTTCATGGGGAATTTTGTGGGTGCTTGGGAACCCAGGACCCCAGGGAGTTGGCACCCATGGGTCCCACCCAGCCCAGGACTGTCCACGCTGACTGGAGGCAGCTGCTCTCCAGGATTTCAGGCAGGGAGTCTCTTCCAGCCCTACCAGGAGATGCTGCCAGGGATTTGTTTATTTATTATTTGTTTCATAAAATTTATATGCTGCTTGATTGCAAAACAACAACAGTAACCTCAATCAAGTTTGCAAAAAGTTAACAAGAAAATCAAGAAAAAATTACAGTAATTTGTTGTTGTTGTTTAGTCGTTTAGTCGTGTCCGACTCTTCGTGACCCCATGGACCAGAGCACGCCAGGCACTCCTGTCTTCCACTGCCTCCCGCAGTTTGGTCAGACTCACGTTTGTAGCTTCGAGAACACTGTCCAACCATCTCATCCTCTGTCGTCCCCTTCTTCTTGTGCCCTCCATCTTTCCCAACATCAGGGTTTTTTCCAGGGAGTCTTCTCTTCTCATGAGGTGGCCAAAGTATTGGAGCCTCAGCATCATGATATGTCCTTCCAGTGAGCACTCAGGGCTGATCTCCTTAAGAATGGATAGGTTTGATCTTCTTGCAGTCCATGGGACTCTCAAGAGTCTCCTCCAGCACCATAATTCAAAAGCATCAATTCTTCAGCGATCAGCCTTCTTGATGGTCCAGCTCTCACTTCCATACATCACTACTGGGAAAACCATGGCTTTAACTATACGATTCCCTTCATGGATCACTGCCTTGCCGTGGCGAAGTGGCTTGAATAACTCAGAGAAGCTATGAGCTATGCCGTGCAGGGCCACCCAAGATGGACAGGTCACAGTGGAGAGTTTTGACCAAACGTGATCCACCTGGAGCAGGAACCGGCAAGCCACTCCAGTATCCCTGCCAAGAAAACTCCATGGACAAAGACACAGTAATACAAAATGTTAAAATTGAACCTGCGACTTTCTGCATGCTCTACCACTGAGCTACTGCCCTGTCCCAATCTTAATTTGCCCCAGCCATCGGTGTATATAGATTAGCATATGTAAATTGCATGCAGATATGTGTGGTGTCCTGGTACCTTTAAGGACCTGGAAACCAGTCCTCTGTGTGTCTAACCAGTTTTGAAGAAAGCATTTTTTTGGTAGCAGACGGCAAAGAGAGCAAGGTGACCTAAGAGGGCAGTAATCAAGTTGTTGGGGAGAAAGAGCCCTTGGGAAAGTGGGTGCAGCCCAGGGACTGAGTGGGGAGGTGGTGCAAGATGGTGGCAGCTTGGCTCGCTCTCAAAAGCAACAACCGGGCGTGAGAGAGCTGCTTCTCCCCCAGCAAATAAGACCACGGCAACGGGGGTCAGGGAGGGCAGGTGCTGGGCGGGCAGCAAAGGATGAGGCCTGTCATTTTGCAAACAGCTTCTGAGCAGACCCAGACAGATGCCTTTCTGATCACCTCCTGGCAGCCCTCGCTGGGTGGAAGAGGCCCCCTGGAGCCACCTGGAAGCCAACGGCTGAGAAGATTCACAGACAATGGGGTGTCAAGAAGATGGGTCACCTTCAGGCTGGCCGCCCTTACCTAGGATCCCAAAGGCCTCGAACAAACACTCCATCTCCACCACAGCCTTTCTGGGAAGGGCTGTAAGCTCAGCAGCAGAACACCTGCTTTGCATTCAGAAGGTCCAGGGTTCAATCAGCAACATGTGGTGTTCAGTGGCCTAACAGTTGCCTGTAGGAAGCCAGCAAGCAGGATTCAAGAGCAGATTGTTCCTTCCTGTGGTTTCCAGCAACTCGCATTCATATTTTAAGGTTTGTAAGATGCTTCATGCAACAGTTCTGGAAAGCCTTTAAACTTGCTTTTTATAGAATCATAGAATGGTAGAGCTAGAAGGGACCTGGGGGGTCATCTAGTCTAATCCCCCGCAATGGAGGGATCACAGCTAAAGCATCTCTGGTAGTTGGCCAATCCAACTTCAGTTTAAACACCGCAAATGAAGGAGAGTCCACCAGAATATCCTGGTGGCAGGTCCATGTACTCCTGGTGAAGTAAACATTTATTTGTCATCATTTATTTTTTATTTTTTTGCTCCAAAATCTTGAGCTCGGGGAAGAAGATTTTTAAGCTTTCCAACCATGCAGTGGCCCAAATTAAAAAGCCCTTGTGCATTCAACTAGTTGGAGTTAGCCACTAGGCGGCACCCTCCTCCCTTCCTCGCCTCTAAATCAGCTGTCAGCTTTACATCACTCAGACAGCTGTGTCAAATTGGCAGAGATGCTTAAAATACTTTGCTGGCAGATAAGGGCTGTGGCCGAAGAATCTGGATTGAGCCACCTCAAAGAAGAGTTTTTGTTTTTTAGGAGGAAGAATATATTAGGACTCCCCTGGGACCACGTCATACAAAGCGGTAATTAAAGGGGCTGGGTGTCTGAGTTGTTGGGGAGCAGAAGTCTTTCTCACCATTGGGGTGCCCTGGGACACTCTGAAATGCCTGCCTTTAAATAGGATGTGTTAGCCTGTGCCATGCCAAAAGCTCTTTAGAACCTGAGTTAAGTTAAGAGTTAGGGGGCTGAGTGTTGTCCAGAGAACCGCAAGATAAATAAGAAGAGCCCTTCAGCTGGATCAAGCCAAAAGGTCCGCCATCCGGTCCAGCATCTTTTTCTCACAGTGAAACTGATGCCTCAGTGGGAAACCCACAAGCAGGATCTGAGCACAAGAGCATGCTCTCCTCCTGCAGTTTCCAGCAACTGGGATTCAGAGCATAAGAAGAGCCTGGCTGCTGGATCAGGCCAACGGCCAGCATCCTGTTCTTAAAGTGGCCAGATACCCCAAAGATCCTAGGAATCTGCACTGCTTCCCAGACACTAGTTTGGTTTTAAGGGAGAAAATTAGAACACCATAAGAGTATGCTGGATCAGGCCAAAGAGAATGATGTTCCGCACACTATGAACCTTCTGAGTTGCTCTGAGCAACTTGAGAAATTGAATAAGAATGTACATTTTTAAAATAAAATAAATCTTGTATTTGGGGTTATGTTGTTTCCACCTGCAAGCAAAAAGTGGAAAACAGGAAAGAGTCCAAATTAAACCAGAAGCTGCTTTTTCTTTCTTTGCTGCTTCTCAGGATAAAGGCATTTCCAGACCTTTGAGAGAGCATTACTCAGAGTCTGATGTCATCCCATTATCTGAAAAGGGCTGAAGGGGGGGGGGGTCGGGGAGAGATCAAGTCTTGGCTTCGCACTGGTGATACATTTCCTCTTTGGGGTTTGGTCCTTGCCAGCTGCTTTTGCCCTTGCTGCTGGAACTTAACTCTTGAGTTAAGCATAAACTCTCCTAACTAGGCAGGACTGACTGCTTGGGACGTTTGTGACATTATACAAATCTTCAGAGCAATCACGCTTGGAGTCCTGTGTCCAATTCTGCCCTCCTCACCTCATGGCATTGCAGAGCTGGAAAAGTTTCAGAAAAGAGCAACCTGCACAATCAAGGGGAAGGAACGACTCCCCTAGGAGGAAAGGCTGAAATATCTTGGGCTTTTCAGTTTAGAGAAAAGGCAGTTAAGAGGGGACACAGTACAGACTGAACTTTCCAGAAGAGGAATCTGGTTGGCCACTGTGGGAAGAGAATGCTGACCTAGTTGGGCCCCCTTTGGCCTGGTTCAGCACGGCAGGGCTCTTCTGGTTTTCTTTATGGGGCTTAAGTCAAAACTACCATGAATGACTCCTGGAATCCAGTTCACAGCCTGAAGGACCACTGGAACCCCGCAAGGAAGGACTGCCGCTCAGTGGTAGAGCTTGACATGCAGAAGGTCCCGGCCTCAGACCCCACTGGCAGCATCTCCCAGTAGGGCTGGGAGGGACTCCTTGCCTGAAACGCTGGAGAGCTGCTGCCCATCAGTGTAGGCAGTACTGGGCTGGATGGGCCAATGTTCTGACTCGGTAGAAGGCAGAATCTATGTTCCCTAAACAGTGATGTACAAGGGTCCCAGAGTGTGTGTGGGCAGCAAACACAGAGTGCCTAGACTGAGCTCCCTGGTCATGAGGACACAATGGCATAAAGAAGGGGTCCACTTCAGAGGGAAAGGACCACAAACCCTGCTAAAGACACAGAGCAGGTCAAGGGGACTCTGACCAGCCCCACAAGGCACAAAATAAACGTCCCACCCGATTTTCTGTCAACTGACTGTAGTGCAAACTGCGATAGATCAAGCAGCTTTCTGGCATGGAGAAAGTGGAGAGAGAATAGTTTTTCTCTTTCCTAACATTGGAACTTGTGGACTTCCAGTGAAGCTGAATGTTGGAAGACTCAGGACAGATAGAAGATAGTCCTTCATCACACAACACATAGTTAAACTATGGAACTGTCTGCAACAAGAGGCAGCGAGGACTACCAACCTGGATGGCTTTAAAAGAGGACTGGGCAAATTCGTGGAGGAGGAGAGCACTCTTGATGGCTACATGGCCTGGTGATCATTGGCTGCAGTAATGCTTCTGAGTAATACCAGTTGCTGGAAACTGCAGGAAGGGTGAAAGTGCTCTTGTACTCAGAATCTGCTCACTGGTTTCCCACAGGCAACTGCTCAACCACAGCGAGGAAAGGAAGCTGCACTAGGTAGGCCAAATGGCTTCATCCAACACGCTCTTCTTGGGTTCCAGTGATGAAGAAAACAGAATTGCCATCCAGAATGCATCCACGGGGCAGCTGGTACCTGGGAAAAATGTCTTCTGATTGCCATCACAATCATTTTATAGACTGCCCTTCATCAAGGAACACTCTGAGGTTAGCGCTACACAAAAACACTATAATTACTGCCCAACAGTAAAACTTGAAATCAACATTCACAATCTTTTACGGTTCAGTGTTGCAGCAAACATCTCCTTCTGGCAAACCCCCAATAATTCTTCATTATTGCCATTTTCTAGCTGCCACTACAGAGGGATACTGCACCACATGCAGAGGGCTGCCCCCTTCCTGCCAGGGGACAGCAGGTGGGGCCGAGCCCTGACCCCTTCCCAAATACCCCCAGAGATCTCTGGGGATGCAAAACCATCTCGCAGCAGGAAAGGAGCCCAACTGCTCTGAGCCTGACCGCGGCTTCCACCCTGCTCAAAAGAAGCTTATCCATCTCTGCTTCTTGACAAGCCCAGAACTGAAACCCTACCCAGCCAGACAGTTGGCAGCCAACTGGTGTGAAAATAACCCTGTCTCTCCTCAGTGGAGCTGACCAGCTGGAAGTCTCACTCATGTGTCTTTTGCAGGGGTGGGGAAGGGGGCAGCTTCTGTGATTTGTGATACTTTGGAAGGAGGCTTCTTGGCTTTCTCTCGACTCTCCTTCACTGCATGTTTCTTAACAGAGGCTGGATGGCCACCTGTCGGAGATTCTTTAGCTGTGATTCCTGCATTGCAGCAGTGGGTTGGGCTAGATGACCCTTGGGATCCCTTCCAATGCAATTCTACGATCTGCAGCTGGGCTAGCCAACCTTGCCAGTGACAAGGGATATGATCAGACCAAGCTGCCCCAGTTACCATCTCAAAGCAAGTGGCTTTGGGGTTGTTTTTTTGCCTGAGTTAGAGGTCAGCTAACTAACCCAGAAAACATCTGAACCCTAACCCAGCCATCATGAGCTAACCATCATGGCAAGTAGCCACTGGTAGCTACGTATCTCCCACTCCTTTGTCTAATCTTTTAAAGCCATCTAGGTTGGTGGCTGTCATTGCCTCCTGCAGGACCCCCACAGTCCCCCCACCTAAAATGTGGACCTCACCTTCTGTCCTCCCCTCTGCTGCCACTTGTGCAAGAATGGCTTCCTCCTTGTCCTGCTTTAGGATGAATGGGGCAGCCAAGCTTTTCCTGCTACTGGTTCCCATGTCCAGTGAGGGCCCCTCCAGGTCTTCTCTTCTATTGTGCATTCAAGATTATTTGTGCCCACGATGCTATCGGGGCGATCGCCCATGATCTCGCTTCCAACTCTTGTTTACACCTGCGAAAGGTTTGAAATGAACATCCTGCTTTGTTGCCCATCAGGGCACATCCTGTCACTTCCCGCTGAAATCCTGGAACTTTTCATCCTACAAATGTCCTGGGATTCTTGTGCTTATTCTTATCCTGCTTTCTTGTGCTGCTGTACCTCCAAACAGCAATAATGCAGAAGAATCAGGGAAAGCAGAACCACTAACAAAGCAAAGTGATGTGTGGACTGTCCAGTACAAATACACCACTAATGCACATTTGCTGGTTGAAAGAATGGCTACTTCTTGAAAACACTGACATTTTGGACCTAGAAGGTTTTAACAATGTATTTGGATGGCATGCATATCTATGGTATGATAAGGTCAAAGCACATAAAGCATTTAAAAACCACATTGTCAGGAAAGCGCTGTTTAATGTTTGGATAAGATATAAGGATTTGTTAGAAAATAAAACCCCAAGGTGGCTGTCACCAATGGAAGCGAGAGCCTTGAAAAAGCTCAATATGGAGGTCAAATGGCCGAAATATTGGGAAATTTTGGAACAAGATGGAGATAGACTGAAATTGCAGAGTTTTGAAAAACTAAAAAACAAAGTGCGAGACTGGCTTCATTATTTTCAGATAATGGAGGCATTTAAATTGGACAAGAAAATTGGCTTCCAGGTGGAAAAATCAAAATTAGAAACTGAACTGTTAGAACCCAAAACTAAGAATCTATCAAGAATGTATAACTTGCTGCTGAAATGGAACACTCAGGATGAAACGGTAAAATCGGCTATGATTAAATGGGCTATGATTAAATGTGCTTATTCTTATCCTGCTTTCTTGTGCTGCTGTACCTCCAAACAGCAATAATGCAGAAGAATCAGGGAAAGCAGAACCACTAACAAAGCAAAGTGATGTGTGGACTGTCCAGTACAAATACACCACTAATGCACATTTATTGTGTCAAAAACAAATGGCCGAGTACAGTGCCCCCCTCCAAAAAAACCCACACACACCCCCAAATCTGGAGGAGACCTTAACAAAATCTCATCTGGGAATGCTGCCCTGAAATCCCAGAATCTTAGAATTGGAAGGGACCACAAGATAGATCTAGTCCAACCCCTACAATGCAGGAAAGCTGCCCCAGTTTTCTCCCCTCCCTCCTCCTTTTTGGGTAAAAAAGGAGAAATGATTAACTGAGCAAATTTTAAATCACAGAACCACTTTCCACATTTTCAGAGGCAAGGAACACTAGATTTCCCTTTCCACAAAGCGAAGAGGGCCTGTTGTCATGGTATGTGTCTGGCCCCACATGGGGGGGGGGTCTCCCCCTGCTGCTGACTTGCAGCTTCACTGGGGACTGGCTCAGCTGGTGTGAAGCAGTCAGCCCATCCCTGACCCCCAGGCAGAGTCAAGCGCCAGCAGGCAAATACTCCACAAGACCCTTGGCACCTGCTCCCTGGGGCAAAGGCCTCCCTGCAGTCCAGTCTCTTCTCTACCCTCCATGGGGTGGGGGGCCATGGGTGCTGCTGGTGCAGCAGAGCAGCCCACCCCAGAGTCCAGGCATTCTGGGACGGGATGCCATTCCAGTCTAATCTTTGCTCCGCAGCAGAGAGCCAGCTGCTTTCTGCCCTCCTGGCCTTCCCAAGCTCACTCCCTGACAGAAATAGAATTTTGGGGCAGGGGTGCTGGTGTTGGGGTAGGAGTGCTCCTCTCTCACCACTAGGGGCTCTGTGAGGGGCAAACCCCCTGGGGGGGGGGCCAGTGGGCCTGGCTCTTTCCCTGGGACCTCAAACATTTCTGGGTGGGTGATGAATTGGGGGGGGGGATTGGATCCTAGGGAGGAGATGAACAGTTGGAGGCAACTGAAAGGAAGTGGGTTGCTCTGGAGCAGGCTCTGTTGAGGAAAGGGTTAAAGGACCCGGTTTGGAGTGAACTGGGCTGAAGTTTGAATCACTTTAAGAAGGGATGCTTTAGTTGTGATTCCTGCATTCCAGGAGTTTGGACTAGATGACCCTTGGTGTCCCTCCCAACTCTACAATTCTATGATTTAGCCAGAGCAATGCAAATGGGAAATTGGTTGGCTTGCCTTCTCTGGCATTTGAGTTAGAGAGGCCATGTTGCTTAGTGGTTAGAGCAGCAGACGAGGACCTGGGGGAGACCAGGGTTCAAATCCCCCCACTTGGCCAGAAAGTTCTCTGGGTGTTATCTTGAGGGCCGGTCACAATTTCTCAGCCTAGCCTACCTCACAGGGTTGTTGTGGGGATTAAATGCCACCTTGAGCTCCTTCAAGGAAAAGGTGGGAAATAAATGCAGTAAATAAATTGAAGCCAAAGTTTGGCTCTGTAAATTTGCACCTGCGATTCTGTGGCATTGAACGAATCTTGTCCCGAATCTTTTAAGAGCCTGGAGACACACAAGCCTCCATCCACCCACAGACCTTCTTCTCAGTGGGGGCAGCCTCTGGGCATCCCAGTGGACCTTTGAGGAGCCCACTGCCTCAAAGGAACCTTAGTTGCCCTCTGCCCCCCCCTCCTCTGTCACCTTTCCCTTGGGAGGACTTCGGTCCCAGAGCCCAACTATTACAGGGAAACCATTGTAGACTCCCCTTCCCTGAAAGTCTTTAAAGAAAGGCTGGGTGGCCATTTTGGCCACCTGTCCAGGATGCTTTAGCTTTGACTCCTAACATTGCAGGGGATCCCTCCAAACTCTACCATACTAAGATTCTGTGTGTTGTTTACTACTATTCAAGAAATTACTGTTTCCTGATGGCAACGAAGGAGCTTTGAGAAGATGCTTAGGCGCACAGAAAGGTCTTTCTTTTTATCTTGCCCTCTTGTTTTACGTTTGCCGAAATCCACCAGTCTCCTAGCTCTCAGTGGACTGGAGACACAGGACTCAGTGGCAGCTTCTTAGCAACATCGACTCATCTCTCTCTCTCTCTCTCTCTCTCTCTCTCTCTCTCTCTCCCTCCCCCCCCGCTCCCCATGCAAGATGCACCCAAGATAGCAGGGGCTGGACTAGATGGCCCTTAAGGGGTCCCTTCCAACTCTACAGTTCTAGGAACAGTTTGACAGTGGAATGGGCTCCCTCTGGAAACTGTGGACTCTCCTTCCCTGGAGGCAGAGGTCGGATGGCCGCCTGTCAGGGATGTTTTAGTTGAGATTCCTGCATTGCTGGGGATTGGACTATTGGACCATCCTGGATTCTGCAAACTCTCCACTGTGAGCCGTTTTGCTACCTCTGAGCGACCGGAACAGCTGAAGCAGCAGGACCCGCCATTGTGCCCCCCTCCCCAATTCCTCCCCCTGCCTGATCTGGAGTGCGAGAGAGGGGCCTGGGTCTCCAAACAGAGGAGCAACATCTGCTGCCTGGTCCATCTCCCCCCCTCCCCAGTTTCCATGAAACTGGAGAGCTCTGTCAGTCTCCGTTGCTCCCCTTCCTTCGACCCCCTTCTCCCCCCACCCCTGGGGGGCTGCTGATGGATGTCTCCGAAAGCGCATTCCAGAAAGCGCCCCCCTCCCCACAGCTGAGGGGCTTTAATCCGTCTCCATGGAGTCCAGTCAAAGGTGAGGGGGCCTCTTGTGATCTTTTGCTTTCTGGGGTTTAGACACTTAATTTTTTTTAAAAAAATAATAAACCTACCCCCCCTCCTGCTTCAACTTTTCTGGGGCCTTGGGCTGGCAACAGCTGCAGATAGGGAGGGGCTGCCAGGGGATCAACTGGAGGATGGGAAGCCCCCCTGCTCCAAAGGAGGCCCTATTTTAGGAGAGAGGGGAGAGCAAAGGCTGAGCTAACCTGCCTTTTCTGGCTCTGGCCAGAATCTCCATCGCTGTCTCCTGATTTATCACTCCTCACTGTTGCTCAGACCAAGTGGGCTGCCTGGAAGCTGCCTGAGAGATCCCTCATCTCTGGAAAGTCCACACGGCAAGGGTGGGATTCACACAGCCACCCTCCCTCGCTTCTTCATCATGATCAGTGCCTGAAAAGAAACTCCTGTTCAGTAGAAGCATAGAATACTAGAATGGTAGAGTTGGAAGGGTCCCTGAGGGTCATCTAGTCCCACCCCCTGTGACACAGGAATTGCAGCCATGACATCCTTAATAGATGGTCACCTAAGGTCTGCGTAAAAATCTCCAATGAATGAGAGTTGCTGAGGAAATGGTAAACAAAAGCTCTAGTCCAGTGGTTCCCGAACCTTTTTCAGGACCACTGTCCCTTGGTTCTGGAAACTCATTCCCAGTGCCCCCTAAAAAACCCCAAAGCAACGTTCTCCAGACGTTCCACAACCCACCGAAGAAGATAATAGCACAATAAAATTCAAAATGGTAAACATTAATTGCTGTTTTCTAGGCTATCACATTTTGCAAAGTCATAATTTGAGTCAGGGAAACTGCAATACTGTGGGTTTTCCCCAGATAGCTCATTCATTGTCACTGCTCTCCTGCTGCTGAGTCTCTCATTCATTCTCATATATATATATATATATATAAAACTCTGAATTTGCAAAATGCTTATGATCTTTTTTTATCCTGGTGTGCTCTTTCTTTAGGGATGAGGCATGACTGGGCTGTGGCTCCTCATTCTCCTGGCTCCATTAAGAGCCTGGCATCACTCCGGCTCTTGGGACTGAAATCCCCACATGCTCAGGAGATCCCATGCAATGCATGCTCCCTGCTGCAACGCAGGCTGCGCTCTGAACAGTTGTTCCCCAATACGCAGCAAACAGCCAGTCTTGGTGTTGGGAGGAGAAGAGAAAAACAAACCAGCCACCCAGACAATGTTGTCCTTTACCATTTTTCGTTTCCCTTCATTTTTTCCCTCTCCTCCTCCTCCTCCTCCTCGACATTCCTCAGGGGCCGAAGGGAATCCGCCCGGGACGCTTCCTCACATCTCTGCCCCCAGTGCCCCATCCCTTGAAACAAAGGGGCCTCCATTGTTGAGTCCCTCTTTGGGAATGAGTGGGGGGGGGAGGCTTTTTCAAGGAATTGGGGCAGGGGGAGAGAGAGAGAGAGAGAAAGAAAGAAAGAAAGAAAGAAAGAAAGAAAGAAAGAAAGAAAGAAAAAGAAAAAGACCTGGCTAATAAACAGAACATCTCACGCAAACAGACGACTTGGACGAAATAGCAGGATGTTAAACTCATTCCAGAGAAAAGAAAAGAAAAAGACTTTTATATTTAGAAGCCCCAAAGGATGGGGAGGCGTGGTGGTGGGGTGTGTGTGTGTGTCTTTTTCTTCCCTTCTTGCCCCTCCTCCAAATCTAGCCTTATAAGGCCTGCAGATTTGGGGAGTTGTGCTGAGTGAGGTCATTGCACTGAGGTCATCGTCTCTCCCCCCCCCTCCGCAATCGCCATCCCATCCCCCTGCAGAGCTTCTTTGTGTGGGCCTCCATTGAAGCAGCCATCACAGGAAACAAAGCTCTTAATTGTCTGGATTGGGGCCAAGAGAGGAGGGGGGGGCATCAGCCGCCTGCCTGCTGGAAAGGGAGGCTTCCCTCCATTTTCCATGGCGATGTGGCCTTGTCCTTGGGTGGGATGATGGAGGAGGTGTGGATGGTTCGGTTCGGAGGGAGGCCACAGCCAAGGATCCCCTGGAAGTACAGAAGGGCATTTTGCTTTCTCTCATTTCCCCACATCTCCACATAAGACTGAGGGTTTTTTAAAAGGATGAGCCCTCATGAAAATTCAGCATCACTTTTGTGCAAATTCCTCCCCATGCCCACCACAATCTTGCCTTTCCCATACTCATCTATGCAGGGCTATTCCGCCTGATGTCATGCATCTTTGTATGTCGTTCTTCCTGCTTCACATGTGCACATGCACTTTTTCACACATTACTTGACTGGAGAACTGCATGCAAATTTTGAAGGGTGTCTGTGTTTCGGTCTTGAGTTGTTTCAGAAAGTGCAAATCAGGCAGATTCTCCCATCAAGGTCCACTCCCACAGGTGGCTGTTCTGGGTTAGATCTCTCCCTCCTTTCAGTATTACTTGATGTGAGCAGCAATGAAAACAAAAAAGAAGTTGTGTTAGCGAGATGCAGCTACACAGTGAATTATGACTCCCTGGACCATGCTCCATTTTACTCCTGCCCCTTCAGGTTTGTGTGCTTACTGTTCTTGCTATGTGGATTTTGTGCGTCTAAGCTAAAATAAGGACATTTAAAACTTGGGAGTCACCTCATTAGAATCTCTCAGGCTGCAAAGCACATGTTTCTCTGTGACGTCAAAACTGGAAATGCCAAACTGAGGGTTACAAATGGCCCACTTTGCACCTTGAACTTCAGGACCGCAGACTTCTCGTTCCCCTAGGTTGAAATGTCACGGATTCATCGATTGTGCATTGAGGGCGGCTTTGTGCCGTTTTTAAGCTCCCTCCTGTTTTCAGAACCACTTTTGTAGATCAGGAGAAGGACTGTCAGGTGCGGCACTTCTTAAGTGCGGTTGTGTTGTGGTCCGCACCCCGTGCCCAATTGCGCAGTGCTGTGTTTACTGTTTCCTCACGCATCCCACAATCCTGCTGCAGACACATGCACACCCACCAGCACCACTTGCAAATTAGATTAAGTGTGCCCCAACGGCTTCATTTAACAATCCCCAACCGTCTGTCCTGGCCCATGAAAGAGGCTTACATTTGCTCCAGTGGCTCCTTGTGACCAAAAAAGGTGGGGGCGGCCTTGGGGCTCATTGTTTCCAGGAAACCTCATCCTTCGTGCATTTTGGGTCCGGGTCCAGGTACAGAAAGCTCCTCCTGCTGCCATCTAGCCTCCTCCCCTCAGACCAGCGGGAGCTGGATTGTTCCCTTGTGATATGGAGGAGCAGGCAGACTGTTTTTATTTATTCAGAGCATTTGCGCTTCAGCCAAAGAAGCTCCCAGAGTGGCCCACATACAATCAGTGCATGTTAAGATAATTTACCTGTTTACAGCATGAATTCCTCACCCATTAAGCCACAATGGCTCTCTGGGAGGCCTACAAAAATCATTTCCAAGACAATCGCTGCCCCTCAGCTCAGAAAGACATGACACACAAGGAAGAAGGGACTAGGAAGAGGGAGGAAAAAACCAAGCTCCTACTCAAGTTTTTAAAGTCACAGCCAATGACTGGGCTCTGCCCCTCACTGCTGGAGGCAGAAGTGTTTCTGAGTGCTAGTTGCTGGAAACCACAGCAGGGGAGAAAATGCTCTTGTGCTTGGATTCTGCTTGTGGGCTTTCCTAAGAAGCATCTGGTCAGCCACTGTGAGAACAGGAAGCTGGACTAGATGGGCCATTGGCCTGATCCAGCATGCTCTTCGGATGTTCTTATGAATCCTCCAGCTCCAAAGGCACTGTGTCTAGATTCCACTGTGAGAGCAAGAGGCTGAACTGGATGGGCCCCCTTAGGCCTGATCCAGGAGGAAGTTCTTAGTTTCTCACAAGGAGGGTTGTTCTTGCCCCCTCTCTGGCCCCAGCTCACGTCCAGGAGCAGAGATGGTGGCAACAGGGTCCAGGCCAAGAGGTCAAGGTGACTCCTGCCACACAGCCCCCTCCTGACAATCCGGCCTTGCTGGGCAAGCCCTGCCTGCTGTGCAGCTCCATGGCAAACGCCTTCCTGCCCCACAGATTCCCTGAGTCCTCCCCACCCCCATTTTCCCCAACCCACCAGCTTCCATGGTGCCTTTTTGCTCCCTTCTCTTCTTCCCTGGGGAACAAAGTTCGCCAGCAACAGCCATCTGTATCTCTCTGGCCCTCATCTGTCAGCATTCAAAGTGGTAAAGAATGTGCTTCAGTTTCACCAGCTGGTATGTGGCCTCCTCCTGCCCCCCCCCTTTGTATGCCTGCCTCTCTCTTCATTCTTCACTCCCCCAAGATGGGGGCAGGCAGCTCAGCTCTAGCTGCTCAGCATCCTCCTCAAGGCTCCCTGGCCAGCCTCTTGCTGCAAAAGCTGCTCACTGGGACAGGAGGTCCCCACCAGAGTACTATCCTGTTGCTGAAATGGTTACATTGACTGCCAGTTTGTTATGGGGCTACGTTCAAGGTGCTAGTCCTGGTGAACACTCACTCACTGGGCTTATCCACACTTCCTCCTGTCCTGCTTTTCCCCAGGGAAATCCTTTTTTTCTCGGGATTGACATTTGCTCTGCTTTAGCACTAAACAGAGGGGTTTCCATGGGAAAGGAGCAGGGCAAAGGGAAAGACCTGTGCTTTGTAAGTGTGGACAAGCCCAGGGGCGCTGGGAGATTGTTTCACGCCTTATATCCCCGGCTGATCACAGAAAGGGGCCTCTGGCAGATGTCGTCTTCCATAAACTGGGCCCACCCTGTGTGCCTTCTAAGCTCATGCCTTCCTGAACTTCCTTTAGATTTGATTCCTGCCTTGCTGGGGGTTTGACTAGATGACCCTTTCAGCTCTACAGTTCTATGAGTCTCATGATTTATATTGTCCATCATTTTGATGTGTTTTCATGGGAAGTGAGTCCTTTTTTAAAATTTACCTTTATATACCACTTTTTTCTCCATGGAGCTCAAGGCTGCTCCCATAGTTCCCCCCCCCCATTGTTTAATCACCAAAACAGCAACCCTGCGAAGCAGGTCAGGCTGAGAGAGGCGGTGACTGGCCCCCAGTCAGCTCCCCGGCCGAGTGAGGGTTTGAACCTTGGTCTCTCCCGGGTCCTAGTTCAGCACTCCAACCACTGTGTCATATGTGAAAAAAACAAACGGGTAGCTCTGTATGCTCCCGTAAGTTTGCTCCTTTGGTCTCTCTTCGTCCCTTAAGAGTCTGTCCCCAAAAGCTGGAGGATAAAAGAGCCGCACGAATGGAAATCGTTTATTGAATATTTACAAACAAATTGTAAACAAATTAAGACATTAGCAGGATTCCTGTAAAAACTTGCAGTTTCTAAAACATATGAAATAGATGAGGAAAAGAATGAATAGAGTTAATTGGGATATGCGAAAGGGGAAAGAAAAGGTAAACTCATCGAACTGTTGAAAGAGGAGGAGGAAAGTCGAAGTTTGATATGTGAGAATTGTTTTAATTTCTTTGTTCAAATGTTTATTTGTTATAAATTAAAATTATGAACAAACATTTTAAAAAAGAAAAAGAGCTGCACGTGAAGGTCCGGCCACATCCATCCAGGGAGAGGCGGCGTCTGAAAGGGCTGGCTGGCCAGCACATGCCCACCAGGGCGCCAGCACTCCTAAGGAACCCAGACTAACCCTCAGTCATAACCTGTCCCCTACCCTACAGAGACTCAACACGTCTAGGGTGTCCATATTTTGCCAGAAGGACCATGTACAAACATGTGGACTCTGCAAAAGATGAGCTGCTTGAAGAGGCTGGAGCTCAGGCGCCCTTCAGGTGAAGTTGCACAGCATCCTTAACTTAAGCAAGGTGCACATTGCAGGATGCCCCTAGAATGCCCTCCAAAGCCAAGACTCGCGGAGGCAGAGGTGGAGAGGGCAGGCTGTGATCTGCACCCTCAGCCAGCGCCCCAATGGACAGAGAAAACACAGCTGGGCTTGGCACGGGCCAGGGAACACAGAGACCTTGGGGTCAGGTCTCGCTCCTGAGTCAAGAGCGGGACTTTGCTTCCTTCTCTGGCCTTGCAGTTTGCCCTTAAAAGGAGCTCGGTGTCTGCCAGGCAGCCGCTTATCAGGCCTGGTCAGGGCAGCTGGAAGGGGCCTGTTAGCTTAGGCTCCTTCCCCACCAGCTCCGTCCAGCACGGCTGAGCACAGGAGAGGGGGATCCCTGCCAGGCAAGGCTGGCCTCTGGATGCAAAGCCCCTGGGATCAGGAAAGCCCCAGCCTCCCATTTGGGACACAGGAATCAGCCTTGTAGCGTCAGGACCTTGAAACACTCCCCCTCAAAGACCTACAGCCCTCCAAGGCAAGAAAGGAGCAATGCCTGCCTCAAACCCTGGGAGCTGCTGCCAGCCAGAGTTGACAGCACTGATCTGTGGTAATTATATTTGAAAGAGTATAGCAGAAGTTCCCCCGGGTCGTTTGACCCTTTTTAATAGTTGCTCTTTTTTTCCTCTCCTAGAAAAGACTGTGCAAGATATGTACGTTATTTAAAGTTTAAAAATCACACATGACTTTTGCTTCGTATACTGGAGCACATTGACATGGATGTATACATGGGACTGACTAATATTTACAAACTGATTTAGAGGCACACATAGCATCAAAACAGCCTCTGCTGCTCTCACAGTTAAAGGTCCCTCTCTCGATAGTTGATAATGGACCTCACTGAAAAAACTGCTGCCTGTGTTGTGGCATCATGGGATTCTGGTATTCGGAAGCATTGCTGTCTCCAGGGGTTTATGGGGTGTTAGGGGAGGGAAGGCACATCTTGCTCCTTCTGGGGCCCTTTGCCCACCTTTGGTCCCCACCCTGCACTCCGCTCTCACCTGCGGCTCCTGGAAGCTGTCAGCAGCCACACCCCGGGAACGGCATCAAATGGCCAGCTAAACCAGGTGAGGGCAGCCGATGGGTCTCCAGCCCTCAGTGTGTTAAGGACTTCCCCTGTATTTGAAGACAGGCTCTGGCATATTGAGTGGACGGGACCAAGAGGGTGTCCAGTGGTCAAGAAGGTGGCTTCTGCATGTGCTGTAGAGGGAAGTGAGGGACAGGCGGGGCTCGTCCACCTGGAAAGGGAACCCCTCCAGGAGAAGGAAGACTCTGCTCCTAAACCTCCTCTGCCTTGCAGAATATCTTTGGGAGAAGAAAAGGTTCACGAGTAAACCCTGCACAGATCCAGAGTGGAGTCCCTAAGGCGGTAGGATGGCGCTTTGTACGCCTCCTGGCAGCCAAGCTGGGGCCAAACATCTTTCTCTGCTTTCCTTTGGGCCACATCAGTGAGGCCGAGAGGGGGGTCTTGTCGTCTGGGCAGCCTCCAGACCCACTGCCCAGGCTTGTGTCCTTGGGAGGTCCCTTTGGTGCTGCTAATCCAGAGGTTTGACTTCACCCCCAGAGGCCACTCCATTGTCTCTCAAGACCGACGGATGCCAACAACAGCTGCGTCCAAGCATGGAGGCAGAGCATAGTCATCTTGGCTAGTAGCCATCAATAGGCCTCTTTGCTATGAATTTGTCTAATCCTCTTTTAAAGCCATCGAGGTTGGTGGCTATCGCAGCCCCTTGAAGGAGGAAGTTCCATAGTTTAACCACGTGCTTCATGAAGAAGGACTTCCTTTTTTGTGTCCTGATTCTTCTGATGTTCAGCTTCATTGGGAAGTCCACAAGTTCGAACATTAGGAGACAAGGAAGAGAAACTTCTCTCTTATCCTCTTTCTGTTTATTTCAAATTTTATTGGAATTTTTTTTAAAAAAATGTTTTCCATTGTTTTTGTGCTGAAATTGTTGCCTCCCAGCACAAACACATGCACAGATGCTAAAGTCTTGTATGCAGTGGTGCACGTGGCATCAAAGCAGATGGGAAATCTTTTACATTATGGATTAAGCTCACACCCACAGTGAATAAAAAGGTAAAGGGACCCCTGACCATTAGGTCCAGTCGTGGACGACTCTGGGGTTGCAACACTCAACTCGCTTTATTGGCCAAGGGAGCCGGTGTACAGCTTCTGGGTCATGTGGCCAGCAGGACTAAGCCACTTCTGGTGAACCAGAGCAGCGCATGGAAACGCCGTTTACCTTCCTGCCGGAGCGGTACCTATTTATCTACTTGCACTTTGACATGCTTTTGAACTGCTAGGTTGGCAGGAGCAGGGACCAAGCAATGGGAGCTCACCCTATCACAGATTTGAACCCCCGACCTTCTGATCGGCAAGTCCTAGGCTCTGTGGTTTAACCCACAGCACCACCCTCGTCCCCCCACAGTGAATACTTTGAACTAAAGTGTTAAAAGATAATTTCTCCATAGTGGCTGTTGTGACTGAGAATACAAGGGACCTCAGGGCACTCTTGTTAACTAATGCTTTAAAGCGAGACCACACTGAGTCAAGCCCATCTTTCTTTTCTCTATCCCCCGTCTCCAAACTGCACAAATTCATGCTGTCCATAACTTGACCACTAGTCTGTGTTTCTCTGTCTTGGTCATCTAAACAGAAAAGCCAGAGAGAGAGAGAAATCCTCGTCACATACACACACACACACACACCCGCCTGTTTTTATTCTCCAGCCCACCCAGCCACCTCCAAGCCAGGCTTTGGGTGACTCAGACCCTTTCCCCTCCAGGGAGCACAAAGGCAGCCCTTTCTCTGCCTCCCGTGACTCAGCGGCGCCATCACAAAAGGCCCAATTGAGGCATGCCATGTAATGCGCTTTTTGGAATGGCATGCCGTGGCAGTGCCAGGGGTGGGCACCGCATGCCATACCTCAAAACAGCCTTGTCATTTATTTATTTAAAGCGTTTTAATTTATTTATTTTGAAGCCAATTTCTTTTGGCCAGCCAAAGAAGAAGACTCCCCTCAAGGCAGTTCCAAATACAATATAAAAAGACCACAGCACAAAAGGGAAAGGGATTGGGGAGGGAGGAGGAAAAATAGGTGAGTTCGGCCAGCAGCTCTCAGATGTAGCATCCTTGTTAGCACCCAGCTGGGCTGGAAAGAGTTAAAGGAGGTGACAAAAGTTCTCCTGCTCAGATTCTGCTTGTGGGTTTCCCACAGGCTACTGTTCAGAGGAGGCTGGACTAGGTGGGCCATTGGCCTCATCCGCAGGTTCTGCTTATGTAGGTTCTCAGAGACATTTGGCCACTGAGAGATCAGGAGGCTGGACTAGATGCAACAGTCCCTTCAAAAGGATGGCAAAACCTCTCTTTCTCTCGCCTTTTGGCCAACAGAATGGCTGCCATCCTAAAAGTTATGTTTCGAAAGGGAATAAAAATTAAAGAGTTTGTACTGTAATGATATATGCTTTTTATATGTTATATTGAATGTATTGAATATGTGGTAACCCCCCCTGGGGTCTCAGCTGGTGAAGGACAACTGAGGAATAGAGTAAATAATAAGATGAATGATTGATCACATTAACAGTTAAGGCTGGTACGATTTATCTCCGAGGGCTGAGTGACACACACACACACACGGTCTTCCTTTGTACCCTCCTTGCTGGCCTGGATAGATGATGGAGAAGTGGGGAGCAGAGAAACCTCTGGCACATCCATGGCTCCGCCCACTTTAGCCTCTGGCCACACCCACCCAGCAGGTTGCCCATGAAGGAATGTGGCCCTTGGGTTGGGAAAGATCCTGCTCCCACCTTGGATTTCGTGGTGGTGGTGGGGAGCCAGAGCCAGAGCTGAGAAAATTGGGTCACTGTGTCTTTGCCAACTCCAGCTGCCAACCTGCCCCTCCCCTCTGACCCACAGACACCACGATGGCATCACCTCTGGCCAGGGCAGAGAGACTCGTCCCCTTTCAGAAGGATCCCCAACCACTATGCCCTATGGCAACAAGTCACTTGTCCTGCCCATCTTGTTAGTTTGTAGAAAACCCTCCTCCCAACAAAAGGGCGATGGATCATGGTGTTTACTTAAATAAAATGATCTGCGATTCTCCTCTTATGTAGACTCCAGTCATACAGCTATACAATTCACAGGGCTGAAAGGCGTCCTGAGAGGACATCCATCCCAACCCTGATCATTCTGGTTGTTTTGCCCTGCGCCTTCATGGGCTCTCTGCCTTTTTCCAATCCAGTCACCATTTCATAAACCTGCTGGATTTCTTTCCTTCTTTCTAGAACATCGGAAGCCGCCTTCTGCTAGGATAGAGTCGACTCTTGGATCCACGCAGATCCACCATTGCCTACTTTTGTTTTATTTATTTTCTCTCTCTTTCTTTAGGGCTTTATCAGTATGTCAGTTTGTTTTCGAAGTGTATAATATTGTGTCACCAGATGTAATGTTTTTTTCCTTTTCATGATTTTTAAATTAATTAAAGGAGAAGAGGAGAAGAAATGGGGACCCAGGACCTCAAAGTCAGCCTCACAATGCAGCCGGCAGGGAAAACCCTTCTGCCTGCCCCCAGGGGATGCAGGGACCCTCATCTCAGCCCCACTGGCACTGCCTGCTCTCAGTCCCAGCAGGGGGAGAGAAGTCGGAAGCATTTAAGTCCCTTCCCTGCTTCCCAAAATATTCCTGCCCTCCAGGGAGATGAGCGGGAGGTTGCATCAGCCACCTGCATATCTGAGGCCCTCCATCAGTCCTGCTTTCTGGCCCTAGCTATAAAAAGACGCAACCATCTCCCCCCTCCCTGTCTGCCACCCTTTCCACAAAGGCAGGATGCTGGCCAGGGAACATCCCCACCAGGGGAGGGAGGTTTCTCCTCTAGGGATCCTCCTTGGCTCAGAGACTTTAGGAGGCTTCCTCATGGTGAGTCACGTTTTGTAGAAATTTGCTGTGTTCCCAGGGGGTCTGGGCTGAAGCCCCCTGAAGCCAGCCAGACGTACACACACCCCAGGTCTGCATCTGTGCCAGGATGGGTGGCCAGTTTCCATTCGGGTCCGTGTGAATGAGCACTGAATGAGCACCACTTGGAGTTCTAGGGTGGATGAAGAGGCAGGGGCTAAACTGTAGGGGTGGATTGATTGATTGACTATATCACCTTTCTCTTCCAACAATCTCATGGTGGTGTACATGGTGGTCCCCCTCCCCATTTCACCCTCTCAACAACCCTGTGAAGAGGTAGGTTGGGCTAAGAGATGGTGACTGGCCCAAGGTCATCCAGTGAGCTTCATGGCTGAGTGGGAATTTGAACCCTGCTCCCCCGGTCCTAGTCCAACACTCTAACCTTCATGCCACACTGCCTCTCCCACTCCGCCTTTTTCTCCAAGGAACTCAATGTGGAATGCATGGTTCTTACCCCCAACCCCACATTTAATTCCGCCAGCACCAACCCTGCAGGTAGGCTAGGCTGAGAGGTCACACCCAGTGAGCTTCATGGTCTCCCAGGTCTTAGTCTGACATACTTCCCACTGTGCCACAGAAGGTCCTGCAGCGAAGCTGAACACTGGAAGATTCAGGATGGGGGACATTTTTCACAGGCAGTTAAATATGTGGAAGTCGCTGCTCTCGGATGCAGTGGTGGCTTTCAAAGGGAGCCAGACAAATTCACAGCAGAGGAGAACAAAGTTGCTTAATGGCTCATGTTAGTCATGATGGCTAGGCACAATCCTCTAGGCAGGAAGTGGGGTCATGCAAGAAGGACCGGGCAACACCTGGGCTCCTGACCTCTGGCGTATGGGCTTCCCATCAGGGCACCTGGTTGACCACTCTGGGCACTCTGGGAACTGCTGGCCTCAGTAGGCCCTTGGCCTGATCATCATGTCTAAGTTCAAGGAAGGCACCTCTTTGTGGCAGGGAGGGTGGACTGTACTGTGTCCAGTTCTGGGCACCACAAGCTAAGGAGGATGTAGACAAGCTGGACGGTGTGCAGAAGAGGGAAGCCAAGATGATCAAGGGCCTGAAAACCAAGCCTTATGAGGAATGGTTGAGGGAGTTGGAGAAGAGGAGACTCAGAGGAGATATGACAGCCATTTTCAGATAGCTGAAGGGCTGTCACATAGAAGAGGGAGCAAGCTTGTTTTCACCTGCTCTGGAAGGTAGGACTCAAACCAATGGATTCAAATGGCAAGAAAAGAAGAACTTTTCTTAGGAAGATTCTGAGGGCAAGAGCCATTTGACAGCGGAATGGACTCCCTTGGAAGGTGGGGGACTCCTTCCTTAATGGTATTTAACTAGATGCTAGTCAGAGATTCTTTAGCTGTGGTTCCTGCATTGCAGGGAGTTGGACTAGATGGCCTTTAGGGGTCCCTATGATTCTATGACATCTGTGCCCCTCCAGATGTTGGCCTCTGTATCCTACCAGCCCCAGCAGCCAGCACAGTCGATGGAAAGGGTCGTTCTGCAACCCCGGGAGAACCACAGCCCCCCACTTTGGAAATGAAGACTTGCATTCAAAGACCTTTGAGATCACCAGCCTATTTTCTTTGACAAGCCCATGTGCCCTGTGTTCTCTGTCTCTCTCCCTCCCACACCCACCCACCCAAAGAAAAAGCCACATCAAAATATAATGCTTTGCAAATCACACATTCTTTGTAAAAGTCCAGTTTTAAAAAGAAGACGCTGTGAGTTTGCAAGTGGTGGGAAACAAATTGCTTTTATTAGCTTATCAAGGAGGCTCAGTCGTAGGAAGCCGGGGGTCCGTCTTGCTGACTCCATATCTGAAGGCAACAAAGCAGCAGAATTCTTAAGTCCTGCACCTCAAGGCCAGGGAGCAGCTGCATCTCTCTCTGCAACTAACAGGGTCCACGCCAAACCACCAGCCCCTCCACACCCCAGGATCTGCTGCCTGCCCCAGTCCTTCTGCAAACATCCTCTTGCTGGCTTGCTTATAGGGTGAACTTCAAAGCAGCCCCTGAAGACGTACACTCCCTTCAAATTTGCACTTGGGAGACATTGGCCTGACTTGCACAGAAACCAACATTTTTGCAGCTTAAAACCCACTTTTTAATCTCCATAAACTATCAGGCCCCAAAGAAGCAGGAGGCGGTCAGACAGCGAGGAAGGTGGGACCCAGCTCAGCGATACCTTGATCTGTGGGTCGAGGAGCTTAAGAATTGCTGTGCCAGCCACAAAATCCTGGAAAGGGGATGTGCCAAGCTGCGTTGGGGGTTTGTTTTTTGCAACGTAACTTGGGGGAGGCTGACGGTTCGAGGGTTGAAGGTGCTAAGGCCCAGAGGGCTCGAGGGTTGGCCCTGAGGTGTTGGATCCAGCTGCTTCCCCCACAGTGGCAGCCAGTCACACAGGTGTCACAAGGCTTCGGACTGCCCCCTCTCCCAAACAAGTGGGTCCACTTTAAGGGGAAGGGGAGCCTATCATGATTAAAACCCTGGCCCTATATTTTGCCACCCTATAAGGCACTGGGCTCGAATGCTCACTCCAACAAACAGGAGGTTTTTAACAAATCGCTACCATAAAGTCTCAAAGGAGGTTTTTTTAAAAAAGAAGAGTTCTATCTAATCAAAGCTTTTGATTGTCAATTTGACGGCCTATTTTTATTTTTTAAATGAAAAATGGTAGTGTGGCATCTAGAAAAACAAAATTTAAAAAGGTTGTGGAGGTTGTGGGGCATGGGAAGAGAGTGATCTCCTGGTCCCCTAGAGATCTTGCTTTGCCTCTGGCAGGAGTCAGCTGCTGGGAGGGACAAAGGCAGGGTTTCAGTTGTCTTCTGAAGACCATCTCTGCTCCTCCTCCTCTTCCGTCCGGAAGTTCAGGTGCTGGTTGGACTCCAGGCGGAGAACTTCATCCCCAAAGTGTGGTGGGATGGAGACGGCCCCTGGATCAGCGCCCTTCCCCCCTTTGACACAGGCAGCCTGCAAGATGTCGACAAAGAGGTTCTCATTGGGATCCGTGGCCTCCAGGCCTTTGCCATGTCCCAGCAGAACCTTCTCATGAACTTCCGGCTCCACATCTTCGATCCTTGGTGTCTCTTCATGGGACGGCATTTGAGGCGATCTCTGGTCTGCTGTCACCTCCACCGCGGAGGGCTTGTCCAGCTCCTCCCTGAGGAACTGCTGGGTGATGGTAACCTTCTTCATTGGTTCTTCCTCAGAGATGCCACCATTGCACTCTGTCTCACCAGGCTGGAGGACCCCAATCCCATTCAGGATCTCCTCTGTGAAATCAGCAACGCCGGGGTCTTGCTGCAGCCCATTAGCATTGCTGTCAGCCCACAGAGGACCTGATTCTGTTGGGTCTTTGGCATCGGGGAAGGAGATTTCTGGGGCCTCTGTGGGGACCTGGGAGTCACTGACATCGGGCAAGGCAATTGGTGCAGCCTGGCTCTCCTCTTCCTCATTCTCCAGGGATGGACCTTCCTCCCCTCCTGTCACTGTTGGTTCGGTCTCAACACACGGCTCAGCTGCCTTGATCAGCTCCTGGTTGAACTCCAGAGCTTGTTCCACGATCTCCAGGATGTCAGCATCTTTCATGCTCTCTCTTGAGATGCTCGCAACTGTCTCACCTGGGAGATCCTCGCCATGTGGGTCCCCCTCAGCCACATCTTCCTGTGGGACCTGATCTTCTCTTCTGCAGATTTCAAGGTCCGTTGTCTCCTGGGCACAGGGCAAATCTTCATCCTTGCCACATGCTGGAGCCTCTGGTCCCGTGAGGTCTCCTCCCTGCATATCCAAAGACCCTTCTTCCCCCTCCAGCACAATTTCACCCAAGTCAGCCACGCTGGTCAGGGGAGAAACCTTGTGGCCACCTTCAGCCTCTGTGTCGCCCTGGTCACCCAGCTCCAATGGACCGTCCCCTTCTACAAAGGCATTTTCCTCCACGTTGCTGGGATCCAGCCGTTCTACTTGGAAAGTGCTGTCCTCCTCTGGTCCCCAAGCAAAATCCTGGCCAAGTTCTTCCTCACAGAACTGTTCTACAAACTGGGCTTCTTCTTCTACCTCGCCTCCTTTCTGGGGGACTTCCCCACCAGCCAACTCTTTCTCAGATTCTGCGTCCAACTGTGCAGAGTCCTTTGCAACCTCCTCCCCTCTGAGCACTTTGGAGTCTTCTTCAAGTAGGTTTCCATCACTTCCGATGAGTTCCAGAGCATCTGTCGTAGGTTTTTCTGAAACTTTGGGATCGTCTGTGCCTTGGATGGGAGCAGCTTCTATGGCACATCCCCCTTCCTCTTCTGCACCTTCTTGTTTGTTGATGTTCTCCTCTGTTGGGGGGCTGTGCAAACTCTCGTCCTCTGCTGGAGGATGTTGCACCTCCTCTAAAGACGTAGATCCATCTTGGGTCACAAGAGGCAGTTCTGCAGCCTCTTGGCTCTCTGGAGGCGTTTGTTGGGGCTCCCCAGAGGCAGGCAACATCTGCCCCTCATACAGATGCAAGGGGGTGTGATCCGGCAGAGTCTCCTCTAGCATAATCGCTTTGCCACTTTCCAGGCCCTTCTCAATCCCCTCGGTCTCACGGCTGGCATTTGGGGAGCTGTCCCAGGATTCAAGGGAGTCCTCAGACCCCAAAGACTCACTTTGCGACTGACCATAGCTGGTGTCGGCCTGGTCCTTGCCCTCAAACCCGTCAGTGGGGCTGCCCTGCACTTCTGGGGGAACCTCCACCTCTTTGTCAGCAGGGGGGGCCAGGCTTTCACCCAGGTGGGTGGCCAGCTGACTTTGGAGAACCTCTACTACTCTGGCCACTGCTTGCTCTTCTTCCTCTGCCTGCACATCGGCCTCGTCCTGTTCCGCTTCCGGGCACCATGGCAGGTCCTTTGTCTCCAAGGGAGCTGCTATTTCTTCCATCTCTAGAATGCCTGCCTCCTCCTCCGCCTCTTCCCTTTCAGCCTTGGAGGCTTCTGGGCCCACCACCAAGCTTCCCTCCTGGATGTCTCTGTCAGCGTCAAGAGCAGCTGCTGGGATCTCTCCTCCTCCTTCTCCTGCTCCCTCCTCCTCCTCTGCCAGTTGCTGCTGCTCCTCCAAAGCATCTCCTGCCACATCCTGCTCCTCTGCCTTGGAGATCTCTCCTTGCTCCGGGACATCCTCGCCTCGCAAGGCAACCTCCATCTCTTGGGAGCAGACAGGCTCTGTGTCTGAGAACCCCTGCTTCTCCCTGACATCCTCATTCCCCAACCCATCCTCTCTCGGGGGCCTGGGGATGTCTTCCTCCTCCTCCCCCCTTTCTTTGCCCCCCTCAGCATCCCTTGCACTTTCCACCATTCTGGGCTCCCCTTCCATGTTCTCTCCTTCCTCCCTTGCGGAGTTTTCTTCTGCCAAGGGGGTCTCCTCTGCAGGAAAGGCGTCAGGTTCCTGGGATGCCTCTCCCACCTCTCCCTCCCGCAGGGCCAAATCCTTCTCTTCCAGAGGGGCTCCTGGTGCCTGGAGCTGTGCCTGCTCCAGCTGAAGAAAGGGTTGCTCTGAGCAACTCTCTGCCGCCACATGGCTCAGTGGTGCCACGTTCTCACAAGCAACAAACTCTTCTGCCTGCAGGAGCTCCCCCTCCAGCACCTGCAAGTCCTCCTCCTCGTTCTCCTTGGAGGGGCTCCACAGCTCCCTCCTTTCCTCGTCCTCCGACAGGTGCAGGGCTTCTGTGCTCACCACCTCCAGGTCTTCCGCTTCCTCCAGGTACCCTCCCGTGGCACCTGCCTGCTCCTCTGGGGGGCTGCTGGCGCCAGGGGCCCAGCTCTCCTCCCCCTCCCTCACCGCCACAGCCGCATCTTTGCCCAGGGCACCTGCCCCTTCTGGGCACTCGGGCACCTCCTCATTGCTGTGCCCGCCCTGCTCTGTGCTACATGGCGGCGGGAGCTCCTCGCCTTCCTCTCCCGGAGGCACCACTTCCTGGTAGGCCTCAATCCTCCCGGTGACCGGGACGCCGTCTGCAGTTTCCCTGGCCTCCCCTTCTACCTCCAGCAACTCCGTTTCTTGTGGAGTTGGGGGGTCTGTTGCCAGAGCCCCCTGAGTCTCTCCTTCATGCTGCTCTGCGCAGGCCTCACCGGGGCTGCCATTCGCCTCTGTGGGCTCTTCAGAGCCTCGGATGCCCCCCATAAGGTCTGCCCCTGACAGAGTGTCCCCTGTGGGCTCTTTCAGCACTTTCTCTGCAGCTTCTTTCACCAACTCTGTACTGGGAGGAGGGTCTGCTCTGCCTTCATCTTCTAAGGGGGGAGAGCCGTCCAGAGGGAGGCTGTTTGGGGAGTTGGAGCCCTCAAGGAAGCCGGTCTCTGCCCGGACATCTGCCCCGTTGACTACTTTGAGTGCGATTTCCAATGCTTCTGTGACCAGCCGGTCAGGGTAAGGACCATTCTGGGTCGTGGTCTCCCCTGCTGGCTCATTGCTGAGACACTCCGCTTCTTGCTCTTCCTCCTCTTCTTCTTCCTCCTCCTCCTCACAAAGTCCTTCCTTCTCTTCTGCTTCAGTCTCTCTGCCACCCCTCATGGCTCCGGCCGCCTGGAGTCTCTGCTCTGTGCCCAAGCTGGATTCTTCCAAGGCGCCAGGAGCCGCAGCGTCGAAAGGCGGAAGGGACTCGTGCAAAAGCGACTGGGAGACAGCTGTGATTTGGGTGGCCATCCAGACCTCAGTCTGCTCAAAAGCGGGCAAGTCGATGGGAGCCAGGACGTCTTTGGCTGGCAAGGGGTCCTCAAAACTTATGGTGGAGGGATCCGGGAGGATGGTGCTGGCCTTCTGGAAATCCCTGGCCAAGGGGCTCCTGCTCTTGGGGGGCACAGAGGAAGTGAAGCTGCCCACTGAGGACTCATTCTGGACCCTGGGCAGCCGGGGCTTTGCGCTGGCCTTCGGGAAGGTGGCTGGGCTCAGCCAGGGGTCTCGGGGGCCCAGGGGGCCTCTGTCCAGGGACAGGCCGTTGCTCAACTCCAGCTTCCCATCTGTAGAGAGAACAGAGACACAAAACATTTCTTTAGCTTGTTGTCAGAGCTGCTTCCAGATCCTAGCTCACAGAGGATCACGCTAGCCAGCGATCATTAAACAAAAGTCTTTATTGAGTTACAGTTTCCATTCTCAAACTGCTGCGTGCAACTCTACGTCTCATGGTTAGACCGGCGAAGCTCCGTCTGAGTCTCCGCCCCTTGTACACCAACTTAATATCCTAGCCCTGCTCCACCTTTTCCGCCTGACTGTTCTTCTCTGGGTCCCTCTGCCCCTGGGGTCTCTTCTTTCCGGGATTCCTCTGACGCTGACGCTGACCCCCCTGACTCTTCTCCCTCCTTTCGGCGGGCTTTAGGACCTGGCTCCCTTTCCGGGCTGCCTACTGTGCCACCTTCCTGTGCATTTGAACTTGGCGCGCGCGCCCAACCTTCCACCTTCCGTCTGACCGTTTCTTCGCTCCCCGATGGAGGTGTGGCCACTCCTGACTCGTGCCCTCCCCCCTGTTGTGAGCTGCCAGCGCTTGATCCCTGGCTCCCTTCCTCTTCCCTGCTCTCTGGCGGTGACGCTGGTCCCGATTTCCAACTGCTCCCCTCTGAGTCCCCTCTGGCTCTATCTTCCTGGGGCGTCCCCTAGGCTCCCCCTTGCCCTGGCCACTGGTGCTCCTTTCTGTGAATCTTCTGATTCACTGGAAAGACTCGGAGATCTCGGGTCGTCGTCATCACTCATCTTTTCTTCTGCCTCCTCCCCCTCGCTCTCTGTTTCCTCCCTTGCCCTTGCCTCTGCTCCTGAACCCCTGACACTTGTGATCCCTGCATTCCAGTGGGGTTGGACTAGAAGACCCTTGGGGTTCCCTTCCAGCTCTACAGTCCTAATAAGCCTCTTTTCTCCCATGGGATTATTGCCATTCCGATCATTCATTCTCCCTCCATCTTTCTCTCTCTCTGCCCTGCTTATACATACCTCTGATGCCACTGATCAGTTTGAAGTCGGCAGCTGGGCTCTGCAGCCTGGTACTCTCAGCCTCCAGGAGGGTCCTGGAAAGAAAAGTGGGAGAGGGGCTAGTTGGTTTGTGGGGGTCTCTTGGGAGAAGACAGGGCACTTGCCTGCATTGGGGGCACTGCAAGCTTCTTTAATATCCCAGGCCCCTCTAGCTGGCTTCCCTTGGCCCTGACGGGCAGCAGCCGCTCTGCAGGGGAGCCTCTCCCCAGCCCTGTCGGGAGATGCTGCCCACGCTGCACTGGACCTTTGGCCTGCAAAAGGTGGCCTTTCTCACCACAGAGCCAGCCCCCCTCTTCCCCCTCCATTGAACCGAATCCTTCAAGATTTGTTCTCGCACAGAACCCATTTTAGAGGGGCAGAGGAAGGCCATCAGAACCTCGGAAGAGCCTGCTGGATCCGGACCCTGGCCCAGCCAGCCCACCTCCTGCTCCCCCAGTGGTCAAGCAGGTGCCTCCATGGGAAACCGCAAGCAGGATCCCAGCACAAGAGCATGTTCTCCCCTCTGGCCATTTCCAGCTACTGGGATTCAGAAGCACTTTTGCCTCCAGCTGTGGAGGCAGAGCTTAGACATCAAGGCTGGCGGCCGTCAGGAGCCCTCTCCTCCTCCTCCTCCATGGACTTGTCAGCCCACTTCTAAAGCCACCCAAGCTGACGCCCCCCCCCCGCCTCTTCAGAAGGGAGTTCCACAGTTTATACAGGGTGGGGAAGCCCTTTCTTTTATCTGACCTGAGTCTTCCAGCAAAATAAGCCGCTGACGGCTGCAGTGCCTGTGGAGGCCTGGAGCCTGCTAAGCCCCCACCTCGTCACTTAAAACACGCCAGGATATTTCTGAGCATGTTAAGAGAGTCATTCCCAGCCACACAGAGGGGTGTGAAACCTTGCTCTGACATCCTTTGCAGCTGCATTTGGGGCCCATTGGGGTGATGCCATGGGCAGCCTCTGCTGCCTCCTCTTCCTCCTCCCAGACAGGGCCCCCCTTTCTCATGCTAATGGCAGTGCTGAACCCCCTCAGCGGCCAGCCCACTTTTGTCCTGGAGGAGCCATGCGGGGAGGGGGCTTGTGAACCAGAGCCCAGTTCCCAGGAGGAGGAGGGGTCTCTGGGGGTAGAGGGAGAAGAGAAAACAGGCCCCAGGAATGGAGAGAAGGGGCTGTGGGTGTTTTTTTGGGGGGTCCCTTTTCCTTCTCCTTGGGGGGGCACCCAGAACACAGCCTGGAAAGCAGGGTGCCAAAGCCCAGACGCTTCACCCAACTGGGGAGAGTTAGAGGAGACGCCTGGAAGCGGCCTTTTATAGAGTCTGCTTCTGCCTATACAGGAACAAGTGGTGAAGAAAGGGGGTTTTTTTAGTTGCTGTTTTGTTAATATTATAAATGCCTTACTGGTTATTTGTTAATCATATAATGCAACTTATGTTGTAATTGGGATGCTTGCCTTTGTAGTTGTTATTTGAGTTGCTGAAGTTTTAGTGCAGTTTTATAGATCAAAATTCTTTTATTGATTATTTGTTATTTATGTTGCACTTGTGATGTGCTGTTAAGTTACTGTTGTTTATCAGCTACTTTGGGATTCGCTTGAATGGAAATTGGTGTAGAAATAAACTACAGAATCACAGAGCTGTAGAAATCAATGAAATCAATCAAAATGGGGAAGGGTCTCTGGAAAGGTGGAGGGGAGAGTTGCTGCTGCTCCCCTCTTTTTCTTTTCTTTTTTAAAGAGTTGTATTGCTTTTTTAGCTGGGGTGAGTCAGTCTAACATTCACATGTGGCAAAGTTCCCTACTTGCCCTTCCCTGAAGGAGGCAGCGGCTGAGATCCAAGGGACGCCCCCCCCCCCGGCCTCCTCTGGGCCTCCAAGATCAGAAACAGAGAAGCTTTATCAGACCAAGGGCCGCCTCTCCTTGTGAGGAGCCTCCCAGGGGCCGCATGCCAGCAATGGGTGGGGCCAGGGGCAAAAGGTGGGCAGAGCAACTGAGATGCCTCTCCACATGCCAGCCATGCAAAAGCCGGAGGTTTCCACACCCAGCTCCCTCTCCCTCACACATCCCTCTCTTCTCCTCCTGCACCTTCACTGAGGCAAGCAAGAGGCAAGACTCACCACTTGAAGACACCTTCCTGGCAGGCCACCCACTTGGATGACTTTTAAAGAGGATCGGGCAAATTTGAGGAGGAAAAGGCGGCTCTCAATGGCTACCAGCTGTGCTGGCTCTGCTCTGCCTCCGTAGTGAAGAGGCAGCAGTGCATCTAAATCCCAGTTGCTGGAATCCACAGGCGGGGAAAGGGTTGCCCTTGTGCTTGGATCCTACTTGCAGGTTTCCCTAAAAAGGCATCTGGTTGTCCACTGCGAGGACGGACGGCTGGACTAGACGGGCTCCCTTTGGCCTGACACAGCAGCCAGGATCTTTGTGGTCCTCATGGAACCTCCAGCTCCAGAGGCAGTCTATCTAACTTCCCAAGCTCTTTGGGGCATTTGGCCCCTGTGAGGACAGGAGGCTGGACAAGATGGTCCACCTTTGGCTGGATCCAGCTACAGGGCTCTTTTGAAGTTCACTCAAGGAGCCAAGCCAGGGCGGGAAGAGGCCAGAGGGCCAGTCTGCTCCTGTGTCTCACCCCCCAGGCATCACGTGGCCCCACCCTTCCCCAGAGTAGCCCTGGGGCAATGAGCTCTCTCACCGGTAGGTGGCCACTTCCAGGCTGAGGGACATCTTGAGGTGCATCAGCTGCTGGCGCTCCTCCAGGACCTGGGCGATCTGGACCCGCAGGGACTGCTTCTCCTCCTCCAGGGACTCGATGGCCAGCTGTTGAGGCAGAGGAGAGACAGAGGCGTCTGTCAGCCAAGGGGGCTCCACGGCAAGCGGACTGGAGGGGAGGACGCAGCTCCTGGCCCTGGCCTGGGGATTGCCAGAGGAACCTCCACCTCCCATAGAGCCCCAAGGGTTCACCCCCACCCCCCGCAATGCAGGAAGGACAGATAATCTCATGGTGCCCACTAGGATGATGGGCACGGCAGCAGGGAGAGCATTTCCTCTGGGTGTTTTGGCTCAGGAGACACCCTTCGCCAGGGCACATCAGCCAGGGGGGTGGACTAAATGACCCCTGAGGTCCCTTCCAACCCGACAATTCTAGGATTCTGTGATTCTTCCAGGGTCTGCCTTGTGACAACGTGACACTCTGCCTTGCAGCACAGCATCACTTGGACCTGCTGAAGGGGGAATGGAGACAGGCTTCCCCAAAGAGCTTACATGGGGGAACCTTTAGGGCCCCCCCAATGTGATCAATTGAAGCTTCCTCTCCCCCCAGCATGACCCATTGTCAAGGCTGAAGGGAGCTGGAGGCCGGCAATATCTGAGGACCAGAAGTTCCACACTGCCACTTCCTGGCTATCTCCAAAACCACCCCTCTCTCTTTCCAAGTGAGCGAGAATTAGCAGAAATCCCAATCCTGCTCCTGAGCCACAACCTCCCTGCCCTCCTGTCCCCACACCCCTCCTTGCCCCAAATCTCTCCCCGATTCCACACCTGGAGTCCAAGCCCATGTCGGCACACAAACCACAAAAGAGGCACAAATCACAGAATGGCGGAGTCAGAAGTGGCGCAAAGGGTCATTCAGTTCAGTTCAGGAATGATGGGCAGCTGGGCAGCCACTCTGAAGACAGGCGGCTGGACGAGGCAGACCCCCTTTGGCCAGCTGGACCTTATAGTCTCTCATGCCATGGAGGGAGCAGTGAGGGGGCCCTAAAACTCCACCACAGGTGAGGAGAGGGACCATTTAGGCAGAGACCCTCCCCGCGAACAGCATACAAACTGGAGTAGAAGTGAAACCCACCCTAGGGCAGGCCGGAGGTCCAGCACAAATGAGAATATTTTGAAAAGAAGCAGCAGCAGTCTAGAAAGCTGATGCAGATAGGAAAGAGAGAAGGCTCTCATTCCCCCCCAGCAAGGGCCAGGCATGTGTAAAAGGGTCCAAGGTAAAATGGGAGTTTTCTTGTCCTGGGAAAAGCCAAAGCTTTGCCCCTCCCACCCCCGGCACAGACGCAGACTCTTGGGATCCCCCCTCTTCCTGCACGCTCAGAGTAGGGAGTCTGGCAGGAGACCCCCCCCCCCAGACGGGTCCAGGCGCAATGTCCTGCACGTGCAACAGACCCCCTTGGAAGGTGACAGGCTCTCCTGGGCTGGATGGTTTTAAGCAGAGCTGAGATGCCCCCTCTTGGGGATTCTCTGCGCGGGATTCCTGCATTGCCGGGGCTGGACTTGACCACACTTGAGGTCCTAACTCTATTGCTCTATGAACCCCCTTCCCTCAGTGACCGGGCTTGGCTTCAACCCTCTTTGACTCATGGGCAGATAAAACCCACAGGCCGCCCCATCTACCCAACATCTCCGCTCGGTTCCCTAGTGGGCGGGTCACTTGGACGCTAGAGGAGCCGCCTGGCAGTTCTCTCGCTGCTGCTGCCGCTCCTCGGGTGCCTTTCCAAGCAGAGGGGGTCTCTGCCCCCAGCCCCCAAATCGCACACGCTGCACCTGGAACCATGGGGCCGGAAGGGACCCCCAAGGGCCATGTAGCCCAATTGGCTTCAGTGCGCTGGAGGGCCGCCCCACCCCGCCCTCCTGCTGACCCACCTGGAGCTGGCCGGCCTCGCCGTGCTGCTGCTGCCACTGCTGCGCCAGGCTCTCCTCCAGGACCTCCTTGCGGATCTTCAGGCCGGCCAGCTCCTTCTCCAGCTGCTGGAGGCGCAGCTGGCCCTGCCGGTTGCCCTCGGTGGCTCTCCAGAGCTTCTCCTTGGCTTCGCCCAGGGCGGCCTCCAGCTGCCAGACCTCCGCCTTGTAGGTCTCGGTGGCCCCCTTCCAGATGCTGGAGAGGCGCTGCGCGTAGTCCTCCACCTCGGCGGGCTGGAAGCAGCCCTCGGCCGTCGGGGCGCCGCGCCGGCCGCTCTGCAGACTCCCCAGGGCGCCGGCCGCCTCCTGGCCCAGCGCCGCCTTCTCGTCCCGGTGCGCCTCGTCCAGCGCCCGCACCTCCTGCTCCAGCTGCGCCGCCTTCTCGCGGAGCCACAGCTGCGCCCGGCGCTCCTCCTCCAGCTCCTTCCTGCTCCGCGACAGCATCCTCTTGGCCTCGTCGCGGGCCGCCCTCTCCCGCTGGCACCGGCCCGTCGCCTGCTGCACCTCGTCGCGCAGCGCGTCCCGGGCCAGCTCGGCCGACGCCTTCTCGCGGAAAGCCTGCTCCAGGGTGGCCCTCAGCGCCGCCACCTCGCCCTCGTAGCGCGCCCGCCACGAGCCCTCGACGGGGCTCAGCCGCAAGCCCTGCACCTCGGCGCGCAGCCCCTCGTTCTCCTCCTCCAGGTGCTTCACGCGCGACAGGTAAGCCTCCAGCCGCTTGTTGAGGTCCCACATCTGCAGGGACTCCTCGCCCAGGGCGCGAGAGCCAGCGAACGCCTCCATGGCCGCCGGGGAGCCTGGCTGGACGGCAGCGAGAGCGAGACGAGACCGAGAAGCAGGCGGAGTCCCGGAGCTAGGCGGACGGTCCTGGGCAGCGAACAAGCGCCCCGGCGCAACAGCACCGCTATTCATACTGGCCGGGGGGAGGAGGAGGAGGAGGGCTCCGAGGGGAGGGGGCTGGCCTTAATCCCTCCCCCCCCCCTCACTCGAGGGAAGGCGGACGAAGGAGCAGCGCGGAGCCCAGCAGCAAGTGCCAGAGGGGCTGCCCCAGGGGAGACGGAGCCAGCTGGTCTTCTGCTGCTCCAGAGGGCAGGACCCCGACTCCAGGGGCAAGGAAGGAGATCCCGACCTTAGGAAGACCTTCCCGATAGTAAGAGCAGTTCTACACGAGAAGGGGCTCCCACATTCCTCTGCAGTTTTTAAGCAGAGACTGGATGGCCACCTGTCATGGGCGCGCCAGCGGTGCTTCCTGCGTGGCTCGGGGTTGGACTGGATGACCCTTGGGATCCCTTCTAACCCTGAGATTCTAGGATTCCAAGGCCAAGAGAAGGGAAGAGCCCTTCCTGCCCCCTCCTGCTTCAGATGGCAGGGGGTGGCCAAGAAATCTGGGGAGGAGAGGAAATTGCGAGCCTCTGACAACTGCCAGCGCCCGGTACGCGGGGCGGTTTGTGCGTATGTCGATCCAATGCGCTGCTCGTTGGATCGTTGAGCTGGGAGGGGCACCCAAGAGGTCATCCACTCAACCTCTCCCTGCTCAACGCAGGAATCTTGCGAGTCCAGCCAATACCTCCAGTGAAGGGCAGCCCTCAACCGGGGGGGGGGGGAGCAGCTTCTGTCCCCCTGGCGGACCAGCTGCTCCCGTTCACTTTCTGCGACGTGCCCCCCTTATTCTGCCCGCCCCCACCCCGCGATGAATTTCTGAATCTGCGCCTCAGTTTCTTCCCCGTTCTGCCTCCTCTCCATTCATTCACCACGTGACGAAAACGGGACTAAATTTGGAGAGGAGAATACAGGTTCCTATCTAAATTCAAAGCCCTTGGCTTCCTGCAGAGAATCCTGGGAACGGTGCGGAAAGCTAGTTCCCAGAAACCCCCCTTTTTAAAAAGCCTACAGTTCCCAGAATTCATTTTTTTTGGGGGGGAGGGGGATGCGCTTTCACTGTATGGTGTCGAGGTAGCCAGAGGGACTGAAGGGGAAAGTAATGCCGAGCAGGCTCAGAAGGCCCCCCGAAAGAGCCCAGAGGCCGGATCAGGCCCAAGGAGGGAGGGGGCATCACAGCCGAGCCCGAGGGCAAGGGCAGCTCTCTCCTGCAGCTGCTCTCCAGCACATGGGGTGCAAAGGTAGGCGTGGCCACTTAGGGCTGCCATATTTCAACGAGTGAAAATTGTTTTTAAACAATTGTCAGACTTGGGTTGCCATACGCCCGGGGTTTTCCGATTTTCGGAAATCCCGCCCAGACGCTATTTCCGACGGACGAATCCCACATGTGCCCGGGAAATCCCGGACTTATGGCAGGCCCGCCCGCCCTTTGCGTGATCCCGCTTTCATGCTGCCTTGAAACCTTGTGGCCGCGAGTTCCGTAGTTTGACTCTACGCTGCGGAGATGTGGAGCCTCCCCGTCAGCCGAACTTGGAGGGAATATCCGTCCCTGGAAAGCAGACCCCGAGGCCCACGAGGAGCGTCCACACCTGTCCTGGTCAAGGCAGCTTTTGCGCAGCAGGGGCAACGGCAGGCGGATCAGGGGGAAAAGAGGGGCGCGTTGCAAACAGGGGCTGACATCCAGTCCCGCCGCCGCCGCGAGTGAATAAATGCGGACGAGTCCTCCCGCCACGAACCCCATAAAAGAGTCGCTCTTGGGAGCTGCTCCCCAAACCATAGGCAATGGCGCCGCCTGGTGGACAATGCGCCCACAGCAGCTGCTCAGAAATCCACCTTCCCGGGGGTTTCCGGGGGGAGCGAGTCCGCCCCCTGCAGAACAGCCCAGGACAGCCGCCCTGCGCCGATCTTGTCTCCACTCTGCCCACCCTGACTGGCAGCAACGGCTCTGTTGGTGATTTATAGCTTCATAGTAAAGACTATACCAGGTCCAGACTCTTTATATTCAAAAGAACTTTGCTTTCCAAAACATATAAGTGAGAAGAATATCTTTACAATCTCGTGCTTATTCAAACGTGGGTGTTCTCAGTTGAATTGTAGACTGAAGTCTTAGTTAGACTTATAAGCGAAACTGTCTTGAGACTTGCACCCAACTTGCCTTACAGCTTCTTATAAAGGTTTTCACTTTCACTTTCACCTCAGCAGTATTCACTTTGTTTCTTATAGAGAGATTTGCACAGGATTCTCCCTGTTAACATTTCAGGATCTTCCTGTCTGCTTGACTTCAGGCAGGTCACCCTGACAGGCGCTCAGCAGCATGAAGAAACCTCTCTCTAGCACCCATTCTCCCTCACACAGAGAGAAGAAGAGAAAAAGCAGTTTAAAAAATGACAGTTGCTGGAATAACAGTCACAACAGAATGGAATGCCTTTCCCATGTGACTTACAGTCAGCCAATCACATAAGAGAGCTACGGCCAAAGGAAAACCCCCATGCTAAAAAATACACAGCAAATCCACCTAAGCAAACATTCCCATTTCAGGAAATTAAACCATTATCCTTAACAATGGAGCCATTTCAGGGATTGATTCCTCATGGATAGACCCATTACTCAGGAGTAGGGTAAAAACTGGGCCCCTAGATGCAGACTGTGCTGTTGCTCTTTAGCCTGGGCCCCAGTTTAAGGCTTTTAATGGTCAAGATTTGCATCACACTGTTGTGACACTTTGGGGATGCTGTGGGGTCAGGAGGCAGGTGGCTCAGTGGCAGAGCAGCTGCTTAGCATGCAGAAGGTCCCATCGGCAGCATCTCCAGGAAGGGCTGGGAGTGAGTCTCCTTACCCTGGAGAGCTGCTGCCAGTCAGTGCAGGCAATGTGGAGAGAGTTGGACCAGCAGTCTAACTCAGCCTAAGGTGGTTTCAGAGGTCCCTCCCCAGAGAATAAGCGGGACAACTTTTCCGAGTTTCCACTAAACAAGAGTGGAAAACCCAGTATGTTTATTGAACATAAAACTTACTAACCAATTTATTTGAAAACAAAATAGAATTATTTCCCCCACCTACCTGCAAAGGATATGCAGACATATTACATCTTCAACACTGTTTCTTTTCTGTATAAATCAGAATTTAAATGGTCTGTAAAAAAAAGCAAGCAGACGTCTGCGATGTCAACTGATCCGAAGGAGACTGTTGTCTGTGCTTCCAACTGATCTGAGGATCCTGGCAAACGGCTCACCTGGTCTCCTGGGAAACAGACATTCCTGATTCTGCAGTCGATTGTGAGGTCAGAGCCTGAGCAGGGTCTTCCCCTGCCAACTCTGGGCCCCGGGGGAAACTCCCTTTCCCTGGCCTGTGGCCCCACCTGCCACGTTGCCCAGCTCTTGGCCCACCCTTTAATTTACCCCCACCAAGGGGGGGGAGGCAGCTGGATCTAGGCTCCCCTTAGAGTTCCCCCAAACACCCCCAGCCTTGCAGGAAGTAAGGGGCCTCAACTGTGGTCCAGTTTCTGGTGCCTCCTTAAAACTCACCTGTCCGCCCAGGTGTTGGCTGGCTGGAGGTTCTCCATGGGCTCCTTGTGGATTGTCGGTTCCAGCAGTTTGAATGTTCTTGCCTTTTGATTTTAGTGTGGAGGCTGAACTGCCTTATGGAGCCACCTTCTCTCTGCTTGGGTGCGCACCCCCACTCACCACCTCTGGGTATCTTTCACAAAACACGTTTGTGCTCCCACGTTTGTGTATTTGATTACTTATTTCCATGTAATATTCCACCTTTCCTCTGGGAAACTCAAGGAGGTGCTCTCCCCCTCTGCAAATTATCTTCACACCCTGTGAGGTAGGCTAGGCCGAAAGCCTGAGACCAGGCCCCAGGTCGCCCAGGGAGCTTTGTGGCCGAGTGGGAATTTGAACCCTGGGCTCTCAGGGATGGAATTCTAATTTTTAACTACCCTGGTTTTTCCATTTCCGTTTTCTTCCTGTATTTCAGTGCCCATCTGGTCCAGCCTTGTGTTTTTGCAGATGCCTCTTATGCGAAGCCCACAAGCAGAGCTGTCCCCACTTCCAATGGGTCCCAGCAGCTTGTGTTGGGGGGAATTTACTGCCTCCCTGTACTGGACACAGCAGCACACAGCTATGGGGGGAACAGCAGCCCCCAAGGGCCTTGTGCACCTCCGTGAATTCATCTAAACCCTTTAAAGTCCTCCAAACACTGGAGCCAGTGTGGTGTAGTGGTTAAGAGCGGTAGTCTCGTCATCTGGGGAACCGGGTTTGCGTCTCCGCTCCTCCACCTGCAGCTGCTGGGTGACCTTGGGCCAGTCACACTTCTCTGAAGTCTCTCAGCCCCACTCACCTCACAGAGTGTTTGTTGTGGGGGAGGAAGGGAAAGGAGAATGTTAGCCGCTTTGAGACTCCTGAAGGGGAGTGATAAAGCGGGATATCAAATCCAAACTCTTCTTCTTCTTCAAACTAGAGACCACTGCAATCTCTTGCAGAGCATTGTACAGTTTAATGTGTTTGAATGACATTCTTTCACCTGTCCAGTCCTCAAACGTTCAGATTCCTTGGATGACCCCATTGCAGTCTAGCATCAGGGGACAGCTGCACATTTCCTGCATTGCAGGGGGTTGGACTAGATGATCCTCAGGGTTCCTTCTGACTCTACAGCTGGAGTATTCTATGATTGCAAGGTAGAAAAACCTCTCTCCATCCTTGCAAACATTTGGGCTGCCCTTTGCTGAACGCCTCCCTGCTCTACAAGATGCCTTTGAGGTGCAGGAAGAAGAACCAGAAATAGTGCTTTGCAGGATTGCTCATGGGGTCCTTCTGGATTAAAAAATGTCTGTTGGGGCTGGAATCTGAGACAGGTCCCCCCCCCCAGATTCCCACTTCACCCTGTCTAGTGCCACTCAGCTTGGCTCAGTTATCAGCGACTGCAGAGCACAGGAGGACACGCTCAATGGCCTCCGCTTCAATCATCTTCCCCCTTTGGGTGATTTCCAAACATAAGGAGGGCCTGGTTGCTGGATCAGGCCAAAAGGGACCCATCTAGACCAGCATCCTGTTCTCACAGGGGCCAAGCCTATTCGGGAGAACCCACAAGAAGGATCCAAGAACAAGAGCAATTCTCCCCTCCTGTGGCTTCCAGCACTGGCATTCAGAAGCACGGCTGAGCGTGGAGAGCAGAGCCCAGCCATCTTTGCTAGTAGCCATCAATATCCCTCTCCTCCTCCATGAATTTGCCCAATCCGCTTTAAAAACTATTCAGGCTGGCAGCTATCGGAGCCTTCTGTGGGAAGGAGGTCCAAAGTTTTAACTAGGCAGGACCTTCGTCTGCCTTGTCTCCCAACATCCATCTTTCCTCTCTCCCCTTTCTCTGTGCCAAGTGCAATTTTATAAACTTCTATCATGTTGCCTCTTCTCTCAACCAGGCATGTCCAAAGTCTGTTTCGGGGGGCCTAATCTGGCCCGCCGGTTGGTTTAATCCGGCCCCTGTGGCAGTTTATTTCCTGGGGTAAAATCCTAAAAAAGCTCAACAACTATGGCTGGCCCTCACGGCCCTTCACTTCATCAAATCTGGCCCTCTTTGAAAAAAGTTTGGACACCACTGTAACTAAAAAGTCCCGAAGGGTGCAACCTTTCCTCCTGGAAGTCCCTCCACCCCCTTGATCCTTTGGGGGCCCTTGGCTGAATCTTCCCCACCTTCCTTCTCCTTGCAGGGGGGTGGCCCCAAAGCACCACCAAACGAGTTGTTTGAAAGGAAAAAAGGCCAGCCAGCAATCGCTGCACTTGCCCAGAGTCTTCCAGGAGCCCCTTTTGGCCAGTGGGGGGGGGGGTGAGCTCTGGGGGACGTTGGCAGGCTGTCCCTGCGTGCCCCCTGCCCAGCAGACGTCAGCCACCTGCGTTGAGACAACCTGGGGAGGGGGATGCAGATGGCGGCATTGGAGGCTCATTTCATGGGGTTGAGGGTGAGGCCTTGCACACCCAAATGCCCTTTATTCCACCCCACCCCCCACTTTGAGAAGGTGCAAAGGACCAGCCCCCCTCCCAATTTCACCCCAGAGCGCCAGGAAGCAAATCCAAAGCCATGGTTGTTTTTTTAAAAAGGCATTCAACTGCTTTTATTTCAAAGTGGCTGACCAGCGTTTCCCAACCCCCTAGAAAGGACTAACTCAAAGCGCAGGACCCGCAAAATGGCGGGGCCAGGAGAGGAGAGGAGAGGGGAGAGAGAGATGGGGGGGGGGGGACAGAGGGAGGCGGCTGGGAAGAGCCATTTCCTTCCGCTTCCTTCCGCAGAAATGTGGCTCCTGGCCCCCCTCCCCACGAGGGGCACAGGCAGCGGGTCGGAGTCTGGTTCTGAGCACCCAGGGAAACCGCCAGCAGGCCGGGATCGGGTCCGGAGAAGGAGGAGAAGAGCAGGTCGGGTCGGCCGGCTACAGGCTGCGAGAGAGCAGAGGGGGAGCATTGCAGTGGGCTGGACTGGATGACCCCTGGGGGTCCCTCCCCCCTCCAGGACCCTTCCTTCTCCTGACCCCGGGGCCAGGGAGCCCTCACCTCTCCTTGTGGTCTCTGCTGGCCTCGTCCTCCTTCTCGTTGTCCTCGTCCTCTTCCTCCTCGTCCTCTTCCTCCTCGTCCTCCTCCTCCTTCCCCTCGCCTCCGGCCGGCGCGTCAGCGGCTCGGCTGCTGTTCTCCTCCTTCTCCCCGCCATCGGGGAGGAGGCTGCTGGGCTGCGGCTTCTTGGGCTTCTCGCTCTCCTTGGGGGCGTCTCCCTCACAGCCCTTGGGCTTCTCCCCCCCAGCGCCCTCCTGGTCCTTGCTCTCCTTGGCGCGCTTGGGGGAGGAGTCCTGCAAGGCCGACAGAGGGGGTCAGGGAGGTCCAGCCCGTCTCCCCCCAGCACTTCTTTGCAGCTCAAGAGCTGTGGTGCTTCTGGCGCTGCAGGGGTTGGGCTAGATGGCCTCGGGGGGTCCCTTCTGACACTACGGCTTTATGGCTCATTGGAGGTTCTTCAGCAGAAGTTGGAGGGCCATTTTTCGGGGATCCTTGACTGCGACTCCTGCCTTGCAGGGGGTTGGATCAGCCTTGGGGATCCCCTTCCAACTAGGAACCCTTATTAATATATTGGGGGGAGGGGCAAAAGCTGGGCGCCAAATTAATAAAAATGCAGGAGATGGTAAAGCAGCAGCACAGAATGACGTGACGAGAAACCCAGCCTTGAGTGTCATCGGCCTGTGGACCTCCCTGCCACTTGAGACGCAGCAGTCGCCTTCTGTGCCAACTTCTCAACACCTGCCAAAAACGTTTCTATTCCTATGCAGGCAATTAAAAGAGTGCAAACCCCACAACTGTTTGTCAATCCTGGCTTTTAACCTTTTTTACTCTGAAACTGCTGTTAATATTTTAAATGCTTTCACAAAAATATTTTTAACGCTATTTTAACACTTTGGTACGTTTTGTGATTTAGCGGCATAGCAGTACTTTTATAAAGAGATGTGGGGACCTCTGGGGCCCCAAGACACAGCACCCAGGATCCGTCCCTGGGGAAACACTGCAGATGGGGGCAGACGTGCCTCGCATGAGTAAGACCCCCGGCTCACTATCCCACACCAGAGGCATCTCCAGACAGGGCCGGGAGTGAGACTTGTGCCTGGGGCCCCAGAGAGCCCCTGCTGCTTCCAGTCAGAGCAGGCAACACTGACCTGGATGGAGGCTTGGCCTGAGCTGGGATGAAAGCAGCTTCCGGCACCAGCTCCCGTCTGGAGAGCAGGAGGAGCCGATCCCCAAGAGATCTGCAAGGGGCCTCCAGCCCAGAGGGGGACCTCACCGCACCAGAATGAGCCACCTGCTTCTGGTGCTCAAATGGCCGTGGGGGGCCAGGAAGTTCACTGGGTGTGACCTTGAGGGCCAGTCGCTGGCTCTTGGCCTAACCTACCTTTCAGGGCTGTTGTGGGGATTAAATGGTGAGGGGGGAGAACCATGTACCCCACTTTTAGCTCCTTGGGGGAGAGAAGGCAGGACAGGAACACAATCGATTGATCAATGAACCCCTCTAGTATCCCGGGAGAAGGAGAAAGGGAGCCCCACGGGAGGAGCCGCCCCAGACCCTTTTCCCGCCCTGGCTTTTAACCCTTTGCACCCCAGCCGGCCGCTGCGAGAGGGCTGGCTGTGGGGTGGGCCACGTGTGGTCGTCCCCCCCACTCCCCACCTACCTCCAGGAGGGGCCCCTCTGCTTTCCTCTTGCTCCCGGCCTTCTCGTTCTTCTCCTTGGACTGCTCGTCAATCACCAGGTTCCCCTCCTCGTCGCTGCTCCCTTCGGGGGTCTCCTTCTTCTGCCCTGCTTCCGGCTCCCGCTCGGCCCCCGCGTCCTCCGTGGGGCCCTTCTTCTGGGTTGGCTGCGGAGGAAGCGGCAGAAAGCACACACTCAGCCTCGGTTTCCCCACCGGGAAGCCACGGAACGAGGCCTCCCATCTCTGGGGCCCCGGAGGCCGGGAAGCCAGCCCCGCAGAAGGAGCAGCAACCCTGGCTGCGCCCCACACTTAAGGCGCACGGGAATCCCGGGAGCTGTAGCGTGTTTGGGCCGCTGGGAATTGCAGCTCTGCTGGGCGGAGGAAGCAATCCTCCCCAGTGCGCACCTGGTACCCGGACGCCTTGACGGTGGGGTTGTTCTCTATCTCCCAGAGGCCTTCGCTGAAGCCTTTCCGCTTGTTGGCCTTCCCAAATTTCCCCTTGCACTCTTCATACGGGAAGAGGTCTTTCGGTCCCAGAAACGCCCTGGGTGGAGAGAGAGGAGCCGCGAGTCACACACACAAACAAGGGCCGTAGGCTGGCCCAGACCGGCCCCTGAAAGCCCCACTGGAGAAGCCTATACACGTGGTAGGCTTTGCTTCAAGTTTTTTAACTTATGCGTTTCTGTGGAGCATCTGTATGGCCTGCTCCTCAGCCAAAAAAATGCTCCCAGAGCGCAACAAGGCAGTCTCTGCCTGCACAGGCTTACAGTAAAGGAACGTAACACACAAGGGAAATGGGATAGGGAGGGAGGAGGAAAACTCAAAACACAGGCAGCAATTTGTTAACAGCTGTTTCTATAATGAGAAGGTTAGGTCTGTTCAGACTGGAAAAGAGGAGAACAAGAGGTGACATGATGGCCAGCTAATATCTGAAGGGCCATCCCATGAAGCCAGTCTGTTTTCTGCTGCTCCAGAGGGGAGAACTTGAACCCGTGGCCCCTTGGAGTCCCTTCCAACTCTACAATTCCAATAGGCTTTCAACATTTTGTCTCACAGTCCTGGCCAGGGGGTAGTGGAATGCCTTAAAAAAAATAAACTTAAAAAACTTAATTATAATTATGATTATCCGGTATTAGCACGCTGGCTCAATATTCAGAATTTCCCAGTGGCAATCGTACGCAGCCATTCTCCCACGACACCCCCATGCTGGACCCCAGCCCCAAATCACACGGGAAGCAGCAGCTCCGAAGTCTGAGATCCGCACACGCAGCTCTGTTCAGGGGCAGAGGCGAACCCCCCTCGCAAAGGAGAAACTGGCTGCTTCCTTCTACTCACGTTTCATGGGTCCCGAAGAAAAAGACCTGGTACTTGTTGGAAGCCGATTTCACAGCGGACTCTGGCATCTCATCGATCTGGACAGAGAGGAAAAGGAATAAGAAGTTTTTGGGAGTCACAGAATCGTGGAGTCGGAAGGGACCCCCAGCCGGGAATCAGGTCATTCTCTAGCTCCAGACTGGCAAGGAGGGCTGCCTTGAAAACAAGGCTTCCACTTTATATGTAACAAAATCACACAAAAAGGTTCTGCAGGTTCTAGTCTGCACTGAAATCTCAAAGTATCTCCTAATTTTCTCCACAATAGCTCCGCAATGGTGCTAAGCGCCCAGTGTCAGATTTTGGGACTAAGGTTGCAATGACTATTTGAGCTGCTAAGATCACAGACAAGGCCAATTCTTTTGGCCATATACCTCTGCTGGTATCATCAAAAAGATGGAGGCGCATTAAGTCCAGGCAAAACCACAGAGGAGAGAGCTAGAGACCACAATGGAGCCTCTGGGCTCAGGGGCAGTCTATCGCAGAGGACCACTGGAAAGAGAAAGGAAAGCAGCAAGCGGGTGGGGAGGGGGAGGGACTCTGCATCCCGCATGAGGGCTCTGAATTAAGCTGACTGGCCACGGGGGGCACCAGGACATTCTCCACCCCCCAAGTCTGATGGGGGGGGGAGAATAAATATATTTTTAGGATATTTATATAAATATATTTTTGGGGTTTTCAAAAATAAGTTATGTGAATTTGTTGCTCAGTGTGATCCTTTTGCATTTTTAATGTCTTCCGACTTGCTGTTATTTTTATCAGCTATAGTTTATCAATGATTTGTTCCAACTCTTCTTCTCTATTATTAATCACTGATCTTTTTGAGTTAATCTTACTGTGTCAAAGTGCAAGTAGATAAATAGGTACCGTTCCGGCGGGAAGGTAAACGGCGTTTCCGTGCGCTGCTCTGGTTCGCCAGAAGTGGCTTAGTCCTGCTGGCCACATGACCCGGAAGCTGTACGCCGGCTCCCTCGGCCAGGAAAGCGAGATGAGCGCCGCAACCCCAGAGTCGGCCACGACTGGACCTAATGGTCAGGGGTCCCTTTACCTTTACCTTATATTTCAAATGGATTATTGGACATTATGTGATACAAGTTCAAAGAACCACAGAATTGTAGAGCTGGAAGGGACCCCACAGCCATCTAGTCCAACCCCTGCAAGGCCGGAATCTCAACTGTTTAAGTTGCTTAACGTCATATTTTTATATTATGACTTTTTGACATGGGATTGGATCATTATATGTGACTTTTATTGCATATGCTGTTGTTTCTTCGGATTGCAAACCGCCTCAGGTGTGGCAACAGAGGAAGATGGTGGACAAATGAACACTGAATGTTGAAACAAAAAGCCCAGCAGTTGAGTTCTGCTTAAAAGGCCCCGTCTTACAGGTTGCTTTGGGGAGGGGGGCCGGTGGGGAGGGCCAGCCTCCTGGGTGCTAGGGAACACACATGGGGGGGGGCACTGATCTGGCAGGCAGCCACTCTTATGTTCGGCACAGGGCCAGGACTGCAAGGGGACAAGGGCTCCCTGCCCCCTTTTGACCAATGGTAAGCTCCTGTCTAGACTGCAGCGCCAATTTAGCTCAGCAGATTCTGCAGCTGGGGGGGGGGCAGCAGCAGGGATGGGGGGCAGGGAGGAACAATGGCCAGGCTGCTCCCGGCCCCTGCAGATGGGAAGAGAGGAGGAGCACTTCCAAATTCCTGCTGGATTTTCTCCTCTGCCTAACAAAGGGCATCCAGCCCCCTCCCTCCCTCCCATGTGATTTTGGCACTGCAAAGCCACCTGCCGGCCTGGGGCCGCTCTGATCTGCACAGCTGGCCCCCAGGGGCTCCTTTTGCCACCTCAAACCAAAACCCCAAACCCCCGGCTCCCATCACCCCCAGCTGGCTTGGCCAACAGCCAGGGACTTCCGCAAGCAAAGCAGCTGCCCTGCAGGCTCTCACCCTAAACACAAAGCAATATTCTAGTCCTCACTATCCCAAGCGAATGACTGGCTTCTGCACAGGAGAAGAGGATGCTGGCCTTGGTGGGCCACTGGTCTGATCCAGAAGGTTCTTATGTTCTTAGGGAGCCTCCAGGTCCAGAGGCAGTCTATCTTGACTCCTAGCTTCTTAGGGGTACTGGAAATCAGGGTGGGGGGCTCCATGGGCCCCTAGGATGGCCACCCCCCCTGGCTACTTCCATGGCCTGCCTGAGGCCTCACAGGGGCAGGAGTCTTCCTCTGACCCAGATGGGTGCTTCTTAAGGGGGGCGGGTCATGATGCTGAAAAGCAAACCTAACTCAAGCAGGGGTGAATGGGCAGATCCCCAAAGGCCAGCAAAGCACTTTGTGCATGAACTGTGGCCTCTGTCTGCCCCTCCAGGCACCTGTCCTGGATGCTTCAGCTGCCATCCCTGCATTGCAGGGGGTTGGACTAGATGACCCTTCGGGGTCCCTCCCAACTCGACAGTTATTTTATGATTCTGTCCAGAAGCTGTTTGCTGGCAGCCTGGCTTGAGAAATGCCCCTCCCCTCCATGTGGGCCCCTCCCTGGCCCAGACAACAGCCGCCCCCCCCATCTGGTGATTGCTAAAAAGAAAAAAGGTTGGAGAGACAAAAGGCTTAATCCTGCTCCCAGGTCCCCTGGGTGTTTCTGAGCTGCAGGAAGAGGCAGGTGCTGCTTCTCCTGGGGGAGGAGGAAGGTGTGGAGGGAAACCCAATACCCCCAACCGCAAAGGGGAACAAAGGGGGCTCAGAGGGAAGGAGGCAGGTGGGCTGCCAGAGGAGGAAGAGGAAGAGGCCCAGCGCCTCCAAAGGGCACTCACAGAACCCAGCAAGAGCCCCAAGGGGGCCCATCTCTCCCACTGGCCAAATGCCCCATAGAACCTAGGGGTCTAGATAGACTGCCTCTGCACCTGGAGGCTCCATCAGAACAAGCTCCTGCCAGAGGCAGCAGTGAGGGCTGCCAAGCTGGATGGCTTGAAAAGAGGAGGAGAAGAATTCACAGGCTCTTGGGGGGCGGCCTTTCCTTGGGAGCCGCTGGTCGGCCCCTGTGAGGCCCCCTTAGGCCTGATCCAGCAGCCAGGCTCCCCTGCTGTTCCTATGGAGCTTCCAAGTCCAGAGGCAGTCTATCTGGAGGGGGGTTTGTCCACTGGGAGAAGAGGAGGCTGGAGCAGAGGGGCCTCTGGCCTGATCCGGCAGCCTCTCCCTCTGGCCCGGCCCTGCCCGCCTGACTCACAGGGGAGGGAGGAGGAGGAGGAGGGGCCTCCGCCGCCACCCTTGCTGAGTCACTGCCAGGAGGCCCCTTCCTGCCTCTCAGCCTCGCTTGGGTTTCCTCAGAGGGAGGGAGGCGGCCACACGCGCCAAGGGGGGGGCACCCCAGAGAGCGCCCTTTGTCCCACCTGGGGATCTGGCCAAGGGGGCCGGTCCCATTCACCCTCCAGCCGTTATCAGTGGGGTGGGAGGAGAGGGAGAGGAGCAACAGCCGCCCCCACGGAGGGTCAACAATGCCTCCCTCTTCCGCAGAGCAGCTGCTTGGCAGGCAGAAGGTTGCAGGTTCCCGCTCCGCAGGCAGCAGCTCCTGGTAGGGCTGGGAATGCCTCCACCAACCCAAATCCCTCTAGTGAGCAGCTGCTGCCGGCCCGTGCCAACAATACTGAGTGAGACAGACCCGGAGGCAGCTCCCGATGTTTGGAACCGTGAGGATTGGGACCTTAACTGTGTTTCCAGAGGGAAGGCCACAGATCAGTGGGGGAGCAGACTGCCTGGCCTGGGAAGGGTCCTGGGTTCAAGCCCTGATGCCTCCCAATGGAGATGGGGAAAGGCACCCCCTGCCCCACGCAGACAGCTGGGCAAAGGGGCTCTTGGACCTCAAGAGCAGCCATGGAGGGCTGAAGGAGATCCCCAGCAGGGCCTGGGCACCCACAGCCCCAGCACCTGCCAAGGCGCCCTGGGCAGCCTCACCCCCCCCCCGAGAGCAAAGGGGCAGGTGCAAAGGTTGGCTGGAATCTGCAACTGGGTGCAAAGACAGACCTCACCCAGGCAGGAGGCCTTTCCCAGAAGAGCCCGCTGCAGCCACCCAAGGGGCCCATCTAGCCCAGCCTCCTGAATCCAGATAGACTGTCTCTGGACCTGGAGGCTCCATATAAACCTAAGAAGAGCCTGGCTGCTGGATCTGGCCAGGGGGGGCCCATCTAGCCCAGCCTCCGGTTCTCACATCTACTCAATATAATCTGGAAACTTAGGGATTGTGATAGACTGCCTCTGGACCCGGAGGTTTCATAAGAACACAAGAAGAGCCTGGTTCCTCTTCTCACAGGGGCTGGCAAGCAGGATCTGAGCACAACCACCTAGCCTTCCATAGCCCTCTCCTCCTCCGTGAATTTGTCCAATCCTCTTATGAAACCACCCACGTTGGTGGCCATCCCTGCCTCCGGTGGGAGGGAGTTCCAAAGTTTAACTCTCTGTGTGAAGGCCTTTCTCTTCTCTGCCTCTCTTTGGCCTGACAGGGGAGGGAGGGGAGCCCAGCCAGAGGGCAGAGGGCCAGAGCAGAGCAAAGCAAAGCAAAGCAGGCCTCTGCCCTCTGCCCCCCTGGCACTGGCCCCACATTAACACACGCATGCAAGCACACACAGGCCAGGCACCTCCCCCCGGAGGCTGGGCCAGAGGCACACTCAGCCTGGCAGCAGCAGCAGCAGGAAGGAGACCCACAAATCCAGCTCCGCCCCCCAGGCCTGGCTTTGCCCTGCCAGCCCCATGCCTCTCCACCTGGGGCCTGCCCACTGTGGGGCAACCAGGCAGGGCAGACGGGGGGGGGGTCCCCCCTCCCAAACACTCTTTTCCACACAAGGTTTTTTGGGAGCCTGATCAGCATTATCTGGAAAAGGATGGGGTGGGGGGCACCCTAAGGAGCACCTGGGTGTCTGGTGGGTGGGTGGCGGGTGATGGAGGAGACCATCTGGGCCAACAGGAAAGGCCGGCTGGGAAACAGGTTTCCCTGGCTGGGGGGGCCAGAGCCTGATTGCGACAGGGAGGCCAGCAGGCAGGGGCCTCAAAGATGCTCAGTGTGGGGGGTGGAATGGGGGGTGGGCAAATTGGGGGCCAGAGAAGCCCCTTTCCCCACTCCCTGGTTGATCCCAAATGCAACCAGAGCGGACCCTGATCAACCCAAATTGTAGAGTTGGAAGGGACCTCCAGGGGTCATCTGGCCCAGCCCCCTGCAATAGGATGTGCAGAGATGAGGCCCCTGTCACTCCGCAAGCGCAGAGCCTGCGCAAATGGAGAGAGAGTGGCTTTCCTTTTGCTCTTTGCAGAAGGAGCAGGGTTCAAAAGCAGCCTGGAACAGAGGGACGAGTTCTGCCTGCTGCTCCGGCTGGGAGCCAAGCCTGGAAACCTGGGGGGGGGGGGAGAGCCAGCCTGGCAAGGTGGGGGCAAGAGGCCCAGGCCCACCTGCGGAAACCGCTAGCCACCTTTCCAAGAGTCACAAGAGGGGAAAACAAGCCCTATTTGTTTCCCACCATCTCATAGGGACCTAAGAAGAGCCTGTTTCCTGGATCATGCCCAAGGGGGCCCATTTACTCCAGCATCCTGTTCTCACAGTGGCCAACTGGATGCATCCTTTTGCTAAGAAACCCTCCAAACAGGTTGATTTGCTCAGCATCGAAACAACAAACACTTCTGAGCTGCCTAAATGGAGACGGTTAAATCGGGTCTGCTGGGTCAATCTTCTGTGCTCATTTAAAACTTCTGATGGGTTTTAAAATAGACTGCAATTGTTTGGGCTGGTAATGTAAGATGGCCGAGTGTTAGAACTGCACAAAATGCATCAAGCACATAGAAAAGAGAAGACGAAATTGCATCAGGAGGATGCACACGCCCAGTGGGGGCCAGGGAGATCCAGCAGGCCCTGTGGGGCATGGAAGCCCAGCCAGGCCAGGGGTCCTGCTCTGCTGGCCTCCATGGGGTGGGGGCCCAGAGGACCCTTGGATGTGCTGAAACAGGAGCACCTCTTGCAGAGCCAGCAGGGACCATCTGTGCGTGGAGGACAGAGCCCCCCTCCCCCCAAACCGCAAGGCTTTCCTGGCTCCCTCTTGGGAGAGGAGGAGAGGCCTCCTCCCCCCCTTCTCCCCCAACGGCCACAGCAAGGAAGGAAGAAAAGAGGCGGCAGCAGCAGAGAGCCAGGCGGCTTCTGTTTTGTTTTGCAAGAGCAGCAATGACAAAAGGCAGCCATTCCCAGGCCCCGTGGCAGCAGGGTTTCCAGCAAACCCTGCGGCCGGTGCAGGCAGAGGCAAAAATGGCTGTGCACCAAGGAAAGCCTGGAGGAGGAGGAGGAAGTTTTTGCTAGGTGCCCATAACTCCCTTGCTTCCAAAGAGAGGCCTGAGCAGGCCTCCACTTTGCAGCTGGGAAGTCTTCCAAAGGCGCCCACACAGGACCACTCGATTCCTGCCATGGCAACCTAGAAATCCATTTCCCCATCGACCGCTCTGGGTGCGCCTGGCCCCTCGCAGCAAATCAAGCCACGACCCTGAGAAGGTTCCCTGGCAAATTAACAGGCCTGCCTGGCAGACGCCACCATAGGGCACCCCACACTTCCAGTGGCTCCCAGCTCCCTTTGGAGCAGCGGAGGGAGCTGGGTGTGGGGAAACCCAGGCCCCATGGAATGAAACATGGGGGAAAGTGCCACCCCAGGATTGGGGGCAGGGGACGGACTCAGGACCCCCATGGCCAGCTGCAGCAGCTGCGTGGAATGGTGCATTAAAAAAACCCAAACCAGGCTTTTCTGAAGTTTAATCCGGATTATTTTAGAAGTGTAGCTACATTAGCACAATCCTATTATGCATGTCTACTTAAAAGAAGAAGTCTCTTTTAATTCAGTGGGGCTTACCCCCCGGTAAGTGGCTTTGGGTGTGGGATTGCAGCCTCGACACTCCTTAACAACATGGGTTGAAATACCTGAATGCAAAAGAAACGCATTTAGGTCATAGCTCATTTCACCTCTCTTGCGTTTCCTGACTAGCTCATTTATTGTTTATCTTTATGTAATGTTTAATCAGTATAACATATAAAAGGAACAGGAGCTTGTCACTGTCGCCAGAATCCGTGGCCACCTTTCAAGCACAGTGCAGGCCCCGTTTCCTCTGTAAGAGAGTGAATCCGGAGCAAAGATGAGACTCTTGAGCTCTAGCACCATCAATATGACACAAGAGGCCGTCTATTATTCTACCATTCGTTTATATCGGCTCATGCCAAACGAACAGCGTGGTCATCTACTTTCCTTATCGTGGAGAAACACTCCTCTGCCCAGGACCTACCAGCCGCCCTTACTTCTGGAAAGTTCTTGGCACTTTGCCTTCCAGGAAGTGATCTTGCTTAGAATCATAGAATGGAAGGGGCCCCTGAGGGTCATCTAGTCCAACCCCCTGCAACGCACAGTTTCCCATCCAATGTGAAGCCATATCGGACCTTCCTTAGTGTCCTTATACGCAATGGCTCCCCTAAGCAGATACAAGTTCTGCGATCATATGGGGTTGGACCAGATGACCTTCGGGTCCCTTCCAACCCTATGAGTCTATTAAATTTTGCAGTGCAAAACCTTTGTAGGCTCCGCTGCTGGAGAGGTTCTAATTATGCTCCTGGGTAGCATTCAAGGTTCAGTTGGGCTGGAAACAAGATACCCAGTTGATGTGCATGCTTCCACTCCAGAACATATATATTAGAGTGGAAAACTGGAAAGTTTATTTGATCCAGAGATTTAAAAGTGATGCCTTTGGGGAATGGAGAAATGCTGAATTAAAATTGCAAACAGCCCTGATGTAAAACATCCCACCCGGATTATTGGAATTAAATACCTGTGAAAATGAAATTAAGTTCCTGGGGGAAAGCTCAGCGCTGGGGCATATGCCCTGCAGCTGCGACTCCCGGCATCACCAGGAAGGGCTGGGGAAGCCTGCCAGTCAGAGACCCCGAAGAACATCTGCCAGTCAGTCAGGTGAATGGCCCGAGTCAGTATAAGGCAGCTTCTCATGCTCCTCCCTTTACCCGACACCCCCTGATGATGCTGAACTCCAACTCCCGTGGGACCCAGGCAGGATTGGCCCCAATGCTAAGGGACTGGGAGAGTTGGAGCCCGTCGCGCAACATCTAGGGAGCTCCAGGCCAGCCACCCCATCATAAAGCTTTAGGTTAGACAGGTCTCTTCCACTCCCTGTATAGGAAGCTGCCTTATACAGGCTGCTGGTCCGTCTAACCCAGTACTGCTTACACTGACTGGCAGCAGCTCACCAGGGCTTCAGGCACGGGTCTCTGCCAGTCCTCCCTGGAGATGCTGAGGACTGAACCTGGACTGCTTGGCATGCAAAGCAGCTGCTCCAAGCATCGAGCTGCGACCACGTCCGTGTTAGAAACTCAGATATATAAGGGAGGAGCCAAATGGCTCCTTAAACCAGGTTTACAGACGCCAAAACGGAATGTCTAGGTGCATTTGGGGCCAGACGGCTGGAAAGTCATATTTGTCAGAACAACTTTTTGGTTTCCGAAATATGTTCCGATTGTGCAGATAAAATATAACAGACAGAATTCTACAGGATGTGTTGTTAGTGTGTGAAAACAGGCAAGGCCCGAGGATGCCCAGATGGGGGGAGCGTCAGGCGCCATCCTGGCACCCGGCATCTTCACTTGGTCACAAGTGGCCGACAGCCAGGGGCAAAATGTGCCTGGTGAATTGTGAATGCTGAGCTGTATCCCTTCTGCAAGCGGAAGATTCTAGTCCTCATGGTTTCCCACAAAAGTCTGGTTTAAAGAGGAACAGAGTCGGCCATTGGGGCATCTAGTTCAGTAATGTCCACACCAGGGACAGTGCTCCCATCATCGACGGGGCGTGTGGCACTGGCTGACAGTGGCTCCCTGCGGGGTTTGGGCCAGGACATAATGTAATTAACAACCAACAGCAGACAAGCTTCGGAAGCGTGCTGTGCTGGTTTGCGTGAACAAGGAGGGGGTGTGTGGCAAGATTTTGGCAACGCTGCTGGAGCTGGAATATTGAATTGATTAAAGGAAGGCACCCCCTATAGCTTCTTGGAAGAAGGAGGGGGATCCTAGATTGACAGGCAAAACACACAAAGTTTATGGGCTGTATCCAACTTTAGCCACACAAATATTTACGCAAATATATGCAGGTTTCACTGCTCATCATGTCGATGGTCATTCGAGGGCCATGGAGCCAAGTTCTAGGCACGTTTACTCAGAAGTAAGTACAAAAGTGTTTCTCTCGCAGCAACAGACCCATAGAATTGTGGAGTTGGAAGAGACATGACAGGGTTAGAAACTTGGGTATATAAGCTAGGCGACAAATGGCAACTTGAATCCAGGTTGCAGTTGCTGCAAAGGAATATCTATTCACCAGGGGGTTGGACTAAATGACCCTCAGGGTCCCTTCCAATGCTACAATTCTATGAGCTCAACTACATTGCTTGATTGTAGCTTCCTCTTACAAAATTCACTTGTCCCAGTGTGCAAGAAGGAGGAACGCACACGGTGGAAATGGAAATTACTATGGAGTAAGTCTCCACATGGAGTAATTCTCTACATGGGCACAATTGGATCCACAACAGTAGCAAAACGCGCCTGGTTAATTTTGAGCACTGCCTGAGGATCGTCTCGTCCACCCCACTGCGCAATGCAGGAATATGCAGCTATCCCATACGGGGTTCAAACCTGAAACCTTGGCATTATCAGCACCACACTCTAATCAAATGAGCTACTACTGAATTTCCCTTTTTTCATTTTGATAAAAACCCCAAGCTTCTAGCCCTCATGGTTACAGGAATAAACAGAAATAATTAAATAACTGAAGACACAACAAGTAAAAACAAGAAGACACACATGTACTTATACAGAGCTTTTTAAAAGGGCTTAACGGGCTAAAACCAAACATTATGTCAACAATCCTCTTAACATCCCTGTAAGGTAGGCTGGTATAACTCTGCACTATTACAGATGGAGGAAATCGAGAGGTTTAGCTTTTGGCTAATGCTCTTGACCAGCGTTCGAAACTCCTGTTGTTCTAGGTGCCTTCTGCGACAGAGAACCTCTCTAATGTGCAGTACTGCACTTAAGATTTCAGATTAAAACTGCCTTGGCTGGAACGAAAGGAGGACCTTTTGCTGCCTTCTCTATTTCAACCACTCTCTGAGGATTGGAGAAGGGACCCTCATAAGAATATTAGGGGAGACGGGCAGGGGAAGTATGGCTTAGTTTTTTGCAGTCTTCAGATGAGGACTAGACCATGTGAAAAATGAACATAAGATTTGAGCTGCTGTTCATTCATTTTCAGCTTTGTATTCATATTATAAAAAAAGCATGGCTAGACATTCCATTGTTGCGCCCATAACCTAGGTTTAAGGTGCCATTTAGCTCCTAGATTTCATATCTCACTTTCTAACGCTGCCCTTGACCCAACAAACACTACACTCGCCCCCCTTGCGTAGGTATCCTCATTCAAAATGGGGTGACACCCACCCAAATCCAACTGCCATAAGCAAAGGAAGTAAAGGAGTCTTTAGAGGCCAATGTGGCAGCTCAGACCCCTTTCCAAAAATCACGCAGGGGAACTCTGCGGCGGCACAGGAGGTCTGCATGAGGAAAGTGACACCCCCCCCCAACACAACATCCAACAAGGAACAAGAGTAGTTCTTTTAAAAAGCAACTAACAACTATTATTATTTTTATTAGAAATAATCATCATAAAACACCATGGGAAGGTGGTGTATTCTCCTTCCTTGGAAGTTTTTATGCAGAGGTGCTGCCAGGAATTATTTAGTTGTGATTGGGGTGGGGGTGGGTTCAATGACCCCTAGGGTAACCTTCCAGCTCTACCACTCTATGATCCAACTCCACAAAAAAGGGGGCGCGGGGTTGAAACAAACAGCAAGGCCAGCAAAGAAAGTTGTTCAAAGAAAGTCAACTGAAACAAAATGCTCCATGATCTGTTTTTGAGAAGTCTGCAGAGAAGCTGCCCAGTGGATCTCTCTCTCTCGAGGGAGATTTCCATAGCCTTGGGGCCATGCCAGAGAAGGCCCTGCAGCTCTGAGTAGAAGCTAGCTCCGCACCAATATAGGATGAAATTTTGAAACAGGGAGATCTGGTGTAAATGGGGGCGGGGGATTAGTTGTTTTGGCTGCTGGTGGGAGGAAGCCTCTGACCTCAGAAACCACATTCCTGGGACAGACACATCAGTGCCACCTCTTGCATGCTAGCCTTCCTCATTCACAGCCCAGGGTGGCTAAGAACACCCAGAAAAAGAAGAGAAACACCACACCATGTAGTAAACTTAAAGGTAAAGGGACCCCTGACTGTTAGGTCCAGTCGCGGACGACTCTGGGGTTGCGGCACTCATCTCGCTCTATAGGCCAAGGGAGCTGGCATTTGTCTGGAGGCAGTTTTTCCGGGTCGTGTGGCCAGCATGACTAAGCCTCTTCTGGCGAACCAGAGCAGCGTGAGGAAATGCCGTTTACCTTCCCGCCGGAGCGGTACCTATTTATCTACTTGCACTTTGACGTGCTTTTGAACTGTTAGGTTGGCAAGAGCAGGGACCAAGCAACGGGAGCTCACCCCGTCGCGGGGATTCGAACTGCTGACCTTCTGGTCGGCAAGCCCTAGGCTCAGTGGTTTAAACCACAGCACCACCCGTGTAGTAAACTTAGCCTATGACAAATCAGTGGGATTCAACAGAAAGGGCTGGAATCATAGCACAGTCTGGTTGGAAGGGACCCCAAGGGTCAGGTAGTTCAACCCCTTGCAATGCAGGAATATCAGCTCAAGCATCCCTGACAGATGGCTGTCCAACCTCTGCTCAGAAACCTCCAAGGAAGAAGATCTCCCCACCTCCAGAGGGGGTCCGTCAAACTGTATCCAGTGTTAGTTCAATTCACTGAAATGAATGATTGTGACTTAACTTGGGGCTGTTATTTTCAGAGGGTCTGGACTTAGTTGGGCACTGCCCACCCAACAGCGTTCTGGGTCAGGAATAGCCAACATGGTGCCCTCCAGACAATGCTGGACTCCAATTCCTATCAGTCCCTGCCTGCCACCATGGAAAATGGTGAGAGGTGATGGGAGTTGTAGTCCAACAACACCTGGAGGGCATTATAACCACTTCCTCCTTTTAGGTCAGTGCTTCCCATACTTGGGCCTCCAGGTCCTTTTGGACTACAACTCCCATCATCCCTACCTAGCAGGACGAGTGGTCAGGGATGATGGGAATTGTCGTCCAAAAACACCTGGAGACCAAACTTTGGGAAGCAGAGTTTTAGGTTGAATGCACCGGGCAGCAGCCAGGATTTAGCAAGTGCTGCGGCCACTTGGGTTTCTAAGCAAATAACTGGACGCTTTTCTATCCCAAAGAATTCAGCTCCTCAGTATTAGTATATTGCTATAATTGCAGGCAACTATTTCTCCCGAATGAATGACTACTAAAGCAAGGCCTCCCGTTCCCCTCCGAGCAGAAAGCGGCGCAGGTGAGGCGGCCGGGCCGCGCGGAAGGAAAGGCGGCTGCCTGGAGCAGGCCTCACCTGCGCCTCGTGCTGCGACCTGCCGCCTTGGCCGGGCAGGGCGAGGCTGCTCCCGGACCCGCCTTGGGAACTCCCGGCCACGAGGGGGCTCGGCTTCGCGGCCCCACCTCCGGCGAGGGAGCCCCTCTTTCTCCCTCCGCGTGGAGACATGTCCGCCCAGGGACGCAAGCCCCAAAGCCCGCGCGGCAGGCCGAAGGGACCCCTCCGGGCCCTGGAGGGCGGCTCTGGCCGGCAGCGCCCGCCTGGCGCTCGTCTGCGGCCCGCCCGGGCGCCCGGGCCCTGCTGCTTCTCCCGCCGCCCGGCCACGCGGCCTCCTTCCCGCCCGAGGCCCGAGCGACGGGGCGCCCTGGCGGGAGCAGCCGAGCCTGAGCCGCGCTGCGAGGCCCCTTCCCGCCCCTGCCGGCGCTTCCCCGGCCTCCCGCGGCGCCTTACCCGGGCGGGCCAGTGCGGGTAGCCCTTCATCTTGGCGAAGACCAGGTCGCCGCACTTGTACTCGCGCTGCCGGTTGGAGCGGGACATGGCGCGGCGCGGGGGCCGGCGGGCGGCCTGCCTCTGCCTCCTCCGGGCTGCCTGGCGCCGCGCCTCCTGGGGCCGCTGCTGCCGCTGCTCCGGCTGCTCCTCCGGGCCGCCGCCGCCGCCGCCGCGCAACAGTTTGGCTGGCGGAGGCGCGCCTGGCTCCCCGGGGGCGCTTGTTTGTGTTTGAAAAGCGGTGGCGAGGCTGGCGAGGGAGGCCCGGCTCCGCCTCCTCCGACGAGGCCGCTGCCTTTCCCCACCCCCGGCCGCAAGGAGGCGGGGGCGCCCCGAGGGAGGCGGCGCTGGGGAGCCGCTCGGGGAGCCAGCCCAGGAGCCGATGGCTGCGCGGAAAACACGCGATCCTCACGGCCGCCTGCGCGCACGTGGAGCCCTTGAGGCAGCCAGGAAAGCCCTTCGCGTCAGACGCGCTGCTTTATTCTCCCTGGCTCGCGGCGGGGGGATTTGTACCGGCGCCTCCCCGGCAGAACCCCAGTGGCCCGGCGACGGGAGGGCGCTGCTCGGACCTGGGGCCAGCAAAGCGAGGGGGGGGGTCTGCTCGCTTTTACTCAAGGGTGGGGGGCAGAGATCCTGAGGGGTTCGCAAACATGAGCCGCCCGGCCAGTTGAAAAGCAGCCTGCTTGCGAGAAGTCGCCATTCGAGGCTTCCTCCGCCTCTCGAGGGCGAGGCGCCTCAGGCGGCTGACAAAGGAGCCCCGCCCCCCCCCGCCCCCGCCGCCATTTTGACTCTGCGGCAGGTTTGAGCGCGGGCGGGCGGCGGGCGAGGTGCCTGATGGGAGCCGTGACATTCCCTCCCTGGAGGTGGGAGGCGAGGGAGGAAAGGGAAGCGGAGCGGACGCCACCCAGGACTCTGCTTCCCGGCAGCCACCGCGCGCCACCATGCCGGTGGCCCAGCGGCTACTTCCGGCGCGGCTGCTCCTGGGAGTCGTAGTTTCTCCCTCCCCGCCTCCGCACTGAGGGAGGAAGAAGGCGAGAGCCCCCGCGCCGCCTCCTCCTTCCACGGCGGCCGCCATTGCCCGCAGCCGAGTCGGAGGTTGGAGCGAGCCGCCTCTGTAGAAGGAAGGAAGAAGGGAAAGAGGGGGCGGGGGGAGCCCAGAGCCCGCCTCCTCACCCGGCCTTCCTTCCGGCGGCGGGGGCGTTGCCATGGCGACCGCTGCGGCCTAGCGGGCTTCACGCTCAAGCGAGCGCGGCCTAGTGCGGCGGGCGCAGCCTCGGCCTCGCGTAGCAGGAGCAGCCGGCGGTAAGGAGGGGGAGGCCATGTCCTTGGTGGCCTACGCCAGCAGCGAGGAGGAGGAGCAGGGGGAGAGCGACGCGGCCGAGGAGGAGGGAGGAGGAACAGACGGAGACGACGACGACGAAGAAGAAGCGCCAGAGGAGCAGGAGAGGGGCCGGGAGCTGGGCCGGCGAGGCGGAGGCGGCCGCGGCCTCTTCTCCGCCCTCCCGCCGCCCAAGGCCGGCGCGGGCTTCACTTCGCAGCAGCAGCACCACCGGCCCCTCACAGCCGGCCTTCCGCTTCCTTTGGCGCCGCGGCCTATCCCGGCCTCGTCCCCGCCGCCGCTTCTGGCCCCGGCCGCTGCCGCCTCCGAGCGGGCCCCGGGCAAGAAGAGGACGCAGCCCGTGCGGATCGCGGCGCCTCATCTGGGGGACGTGAGTGTCCTGGGGGCCCTTCGTGGAGGAAGAGCGCAGGATCGGGCCCGCCCGCCCGCTTCCTCGGCAGGGAGGGACAGGAGGAGCCCGCAGCCGCAAGGCCGACTCGAGAGTAGACCCGTGGCAACGGAGGCATGGTGCCACTGGCGTCCCCGTTTGGCCCTGTCCCTTATCGTCAGTGGGTCTCCTCCTGAGTAGGACTGGTGTGCAGTGCAGCCCAGAGGGTCTCATGGTAGCACCTTGAAAACAATATGCTTGGAGCTGACCCGACTCTGCTGGCATCTTCCCATCTTGCCACATCTTTCTGCAGGAAACATGTACAATTTAAGAACTCGCTATTAAATCAGAAAGCAGTTTTTAATACTGTAGCAAAATACACAGCATAAAATGCTAAATGAAATATTTAGTATCTTTATGAAAGCTATCAACAAGCATTAGAATAACAGAGTCTTAGAGTTGGAAGGGACACCATGGCTCATCCAGTCCAACCCCCGGCAATGCAGGAATCTCAGCTGGAGCATCCAGGACAGATGGCCAGCCAGCCTCTGTTTAAAAACCTCCAAGGAAGGAGAGTCCGCCACTCTCATGGGAGTCTGTTCCACTGCCAAACAGCTCTTACTGTCAGAAACTAAACATTCTGAGATTTAGTCAGAATATCCTTTCTTGTAACTTGAATCTATTGGTTTGAGTCCTCCCATCCAGAGCAAGAGAAAACAAGCATGTTCCCTCCTCCATGTGACAGCCCTTCTTGAAGATCGCTGTCCTAGCTCCTCTCAGTCCCCTCTTTTCCAGGCTAAGCATACCCAGCTCCTTCAACCGTTCCTCCTCAGGCTTAGTTTCCAGACCCTTGATCCTCTTGGTTGCCCTCCTCTGCACACCTTCCAGCTTGTCGACATCCTTCTTAAATTGTGGTGCCCAGAACTGAACACAGTATTCCAAGTGTGGTCTGACCAAGGCAGAATAAAGCAGGACTATTACTTCCCTTGATCTGGACACTATACATCTGTTGATGCAGCCTAGAATAGTGTTGCCTTTTTTTGCTGCTGCATCACACCTTTGGGCCATGTGATCTACCAAGACCCCTTCTTCTTCTTTGGCGATCACTCATAGCCGAGTAAGATTGTCTTCCATAAACATGGTTTTAACAATGAGTCTGTAAGTGTCTGTGGAGGCCAGTTCTGGATCCACATGTCCTTCCACAGTGGGGACATTGGTTTCCGAGCGGGAGTTGATCATGGTGTGGATTTGCCAAGTGTGCCTTCCTTCTAGCACGTTTCTCCCTTGCATCCTGAGTTCAAGTGTCTTCAAAGCCCATGACACATTTGGTCAAGGCTGTTCTCCAACTGGAGCGCTCACAGGCCAGTGTTTCCCAGTTGTCAGTGTTTATACTACATTTTTTAAAGATTTGCCTTGAGACAGTCTTTAAACCTCTTTTGTTGACCACCAGCATTACACTTTCCATTTTTAAGTTTGGAATAGAGTAGTTGCTTTGGAAGACGATCATCAGGCATCCACACAACATGACCAGTCCAACAAAGTTGATGTTGAAGAATCATTGCTTCAACACTGGTGATCTTTGCTTCTTCCAGTACACTGATATTAGTTCACCTGTCTTCCCCATGATCCTTCTCACAGGTACTACTGGCAAGCCAGGTGCCCCATCTTATATTTGTGCAGCTGGTTCTTCCTGCCTAAGTGCAGAACCTTACATTTGTCCTTTGTGAAATTCATTTTGTTACTTTGGACCCAAGTGGGATCTTGTCCTACTCAGAGATGATGACTGACAGTGGCTATCAAGTCCGTTTGCTTCAGTGGGTCTGGGTGGGCTGTCTCCAGGTGGGACTGGCAATGTCCGCTGCCTGAAACTCTGGGGAACTGCCACCTGCCAGTCTGGACAGTACTGAGTAAGATGGACTCAGTATTATTTAGAATCATTATTTAGAAACATGAGGACTAGAATCTTAACTTTATTTGGGGGAAAGGCCTGCAGCCTATTGCTAGAGTATCTGCTTTACATGCAGAAGGTAGGAGGCTCAATCCCCTACGTCTGCAAGTAGGACTGGGAATGTCATGTGCCAGTCAGTGTATATGAAGGGAGATAGACTTGGTAGATTGCAGCTTGTTGAAAAGCAGAGGGAGCAAACATGGGCAAGTGGTGAAGAGTTGATGAACTCAAGGCTCCCCACCCGCACCTCTCTGAACCCGCAGTGGGCGCTGCCCAGCAACTGATAGGTTTTGTGAGAGCTTGGGAACCTGCTGCTTTTTTTGGAATCCAAGATGCTCATCACTCTGCTTGGCTGGAGTGCCAAGGTTTGCCTTTTGTGGTCCGATTCCTTCCTTGACCTTTGGATCGCACTTCTAAGCTAAAACTGGAGGGTGAAGAAGGAAGGCTGTGGTGATAAGGGCACTCCTCAGGGAGTGGTGCTGGTGGAGGAGCTCACTGGGCCCTCTTGCAAAGCTCCACACAAAGACAGCGGCTGTTTCTGCTTTCTAGGAGCTGCTGGATCTGTCCTTATCACTTACTTGCAGCAGGAGGGAAGGGAGGATAGTTTCTTCCTATCCATGCAACAGGGAAACCTTCTTTTGTTTTTTAAGTAAAATTTATGTGCACCCTTCTCATGTAGAAGTCATCCAAGGCCCACAAGACAAACAATACTTGGGTTCTATTTAGCTAAGTTAGACTAGACCAGTTGAAATTTTGGACCCTATTTAGTCACATCCATTAGCTTCAGTAGGTGACTCTGAGTAGGACTAATGTAACGTAAGATAAAGCTGTACTGCAAATACAGGTTTTTGCAGTCCACATGCCTAGCAGTGTTAAGATCCGAGTGAATTAAGTTGAGAGAAGGATTGTTTGTTACTTACTTTATCGCCTTTGTGATTAATTCCCATAAAATTTCTCTAAGGGGTAGCATCAGTGTTAGAAGCAATTTCATATATACAAACAATGACAAAACAATTCCACATGTTCACACAATTTCCTGTGTAGAAAACTATTTTGAACCCAATACAGATCTGGACTGGGACAGAGGTAGATATATATATTAGTTGAAAATGTAGAGACCTTTTGCACTGTCTACCTCTGTCCCAGTCCAGATCTGTATTGGATTCAAAATAGCACGCTCTCTCCCTCTCTCTCTCTCTCTCTCTCTCTCTCCCTCTCTCCCTGCACTCAGTTCTGCTCTCTCTCTTTCAGTCGGATTCCGAGGAAGATGAACCAGCAAAGAAGCATCCCTCTTTCCAGGTGAGGACTTGGGCAAGTGGTGCTCCTGTAAAGGGGGGGGGGCGGGAGCACCTTGCTTTCAGTGAAAAGTGTTTGCCCCTAGTCAGGCAGAGGCCCCTGAATATCCATTCTGGACCTCAGGGGTTGAGTTGCCTCTCTGGATTAGTCATGTTAGTGAAATCTCACATGTGAGACAAAGTTCAGTCGATCTGTCAGTGCAGGCTTCACGGTCAGCCACAGCTCGTGTCTTTCTGCGAAGGCATGGCTAGTTCCTGCTTGGCTTCTTCCCTGAGGCAGCTATGTGGCCTGGCTTGGTGTTGCTTCATGGTGCAGCTTCCTGGGTGAAGGAGGGGCTGCTGTGGCTCCCGCCGTCCCCTTGCCAGCAGGCCCAGGTGGATGTAGTCCTTCCTGCCCCTGCCTCACCTTCCCCTATGTCTTCCACCCTCCAGGCCCAGAGCGAGGGCTCCGGCTTGTCTGCTCTACTTCCTCAGCCCAAGAACCTGACGGTGAAAGAGACGAATCGGCTGCTGCTCCCTTATGCTTTCTCTAGGAAAGCGGCTGCTGCTGCCGAGAGCTCCCCGGAAGCCAAGTCTGCCAAAGGCCCGCTCTCCTCCAAGCCAAAGCCTCCCCTCAAGGCACCCTCGGCCGTGACAGCGACCACGACTCCCTCCCCATCAGCCATCAAGGCGGCCGCCAAGAGCGCCGCCCTGCAGGTGACCAAGCAGATCACGCAGGAGGAGAATGACAGCGACGAGGAGGTGGCCCCCGAGAACTACTTCTCCCTGTCTGACCGGAGCGATGCACCGGCCCTCAGTCCAGAGGCCTACGCCTACCCTGGCCCTGTGGTGCCGGATGATCTGCCCCCTGGGACAGAGCCGGAGCCTGAGCCCGAGAGCCAGGACGCAGCTGCCAACGCCCCTCTGGAGTTCAAGACGGGGCCGGGGGCCAGCTCAGCTTCCCACGGCTGGGCCCCAAAGCCTGGTGAAGACTATGGCGGGCAGCACTATGCGCTCTACCCTGGCTCCAGCGATGCAGGCGGCCCCAGCCCCTACTACCAGGTGAGAGGGGCAGAGCCAGAGGCTCCTTCTGCAGCTGGTGGGTTGAGCCTCAAGGGTGGCTGGCACAGTGGGGAGGGCGAGCGGCTTCCGGGAAGGAGGCTGGGATGGGCATGGGGGGTGGCAGCAAAGTGGCTGGTCCTGCAGCAGATTCCTCTCCTGGTGCTAAGGAGATCCTTTCCCCCACCTGGCTTCCTCTGCAGCAGGATTACTACAGCAGCAGCAGCTACTACTCGGACACAGACCCGGAGCTGGGCCCGCCCCAAGAGATGAGCAGCGAAGGCGCTTCTTCCTCCTTCATGGACGATGAAGCGGTGAGAAGCTGCTCTCAGCAGGGCCCCCTTTCCTGGTGGGGTGGGGCACCCTCTCCTCCGGCTGTGGTGGCCCTGTCAGCGTTGGGGGGTGGGGGGGTCTCTGGTACTTGGCAGGGACTGCAGAACTTGGATTCAGAGGCTGCTGGGCAGGTAGGGACAAGCAGCCCCACCCAAGAGGTGTGGGTGCAGGTCTGACATCTTCTTGGCTTCTAGCTTTCAGCAACTCTAAACAGGGCCTTCTGCTTAGAACCATGGGGCAGGATAGGACCCCCAGAAGTGGAAGGTTTTGTTCTCTGGTCTTATGAAAGGATGGCCTCTACCTCCCACTTCCCACCCCCATTTCTGTCCCCTGAGTGAGGGTTAGAGGTTGGTTTGGGACTGCTCAAAGGAGGCAGTTCATCTGCATCCACTTGCTCTTCCGCAGGAGGTCCAGGAGGGGGGCTGGTTGGCTGTGGACACTGCAAAAGGGGCGTCTGGCTGTTTCAGCTCCAGCCCGGCCTCAATGGGCCTGGGATTAATCGTGTTTGGGATGCTCAGCAGACTGAATCCCTCTTCCCTCCTCCCGTCCCTTGCTCAGTTCAAGCGTCTGCAAGGCAAGCGGAACCGCGGGCGGGAAGAGATCAACTTTGTGGAGATCAAGGGGGACGACCAGCTGAGCGGCGCCCAGCAGTGGCTGACCAAGTCTTTGACAGAGGAGCAGAACATGAAGTCCTTCAGCAAGGTGAGGGGGCCCCTCCGTTCCCCCCCCCCCGGGGGAGCCTTCCCTCCTCCCTCCTGCTCTGCTGGTAATCACAACTCCTGTCTCTGTTTCTCTCCAGAAAAAAGGGGAGCAGCCCACGGGGCAACAGCGGAGGAAGCACCAGATCACGTATCTGATTCACCAGGTGAGGCTGCCGGGTTGCCCCCTCCCTGCCCCCCTGGTCACCTAGTTTGGATCTTGTGCCCTGGGAGCCGCAGCAGTTGGCAAAGTGGGTCCTCTTCTGCCCAGCTGTCAAGATCCTGCCCAGGGCTCCCATGGGGTTTGCTCTAGAGCAGGGGCCGTGGGCCATCCATGGCCCACCAGACATGTTGCCAATTATTTTTTATTGATTTTCCAAACTATTACAAATTAGACACTTTGGGACTGCAACATCCACCGTCACCTCCAGGCTGACCGCTGGGGCTGATGGGAGATGCAGTGCAGCATCCTCTGGGAGGAAAATCATGTGTCCTGCCTGATGCTCAGCATTGCTGCCCGTTTGCGGCTGAAGTCCAGAAACCCCAAACCAAGCCCTGTTTTCAAGAGTGGGTCAGGCCACTGGGGCAGTGCGGGTGTCTTGGCTCTTGGTGGTGCGGGTGGGACAGGCGCCCTGCCAAGCGAAGGGCCCTGCTTCTGAGCCTCCACCTCCTCCCTCTCTTTCTGGGGCAGGCAAAAGAGCGTGAGCTGGAGCTGAAGAACACGTGGGCCGAGAACAAGCTCAGTCGGCGTCAGACGCAGGCCAAGTATGGATTCTAGGGCCCGTCTGCCTCCTCGGAGCCCCTTCAGGCAAAAGCTGCCAGCCCCGGACCACGTTGCGTGAAAGGAAGAGAGGGGCCTGCGGAGGGAAGAAGGGCGCAAGGCCATGTGCCGGGGGGGGGCATCCGCTGCCTTTCCCGGCAGGGGTCTTCGGCAGAGGGATGCAGAGGGTGCTCTGGCCCACTAGGCTGCCTGGCCCCCCCAAGCCCCTTTTCTTTCCAGTAGCCAACGCGACACGGACGAGGCCCCTGTCAGCTGGGGGGAGACCAGCGCTGCTCACTCCCTTGGAACTGCCCACCTTGCAGGAGGTGGGGCAGCCCAGGCAGTCCACCCAACCACGGGGGTGGGGGGCAGGACTGTCCCTGAGTGCTCTTCTGTAGCTGCCCCCCACCCTGTTCTTCTCGTGTCTCTCTGTGTTTGTGCTCCAGACCGTTTGCCCTCCCCTTCCGGGCTGAGGAGAGTTCTCATCTTCTGTGGGTTTGGGGCAATCCCCTCCTTGTGTCTCGTCAGAAGCTCTCCTGGCAGCCTCCTCGATGACAGTGTTTGGGTTTCAGCACAAGACAGGGCTGGAAGGTGCGTGGCCTGTGATCTCTCCCCCAAAGCCATAAGGACACATCACTGTTAACAGTACTTGGGCTAAGTGCTAGCGGGATCCGTGCACTTCCAGGAGGCTGGCTGCTTTTCAGGCGCCCCCAGCCCAGGGCGAGGGGGCAAGCAGAGCCTGCTCCAAGGCCTGCAGCAGCACCCACCCTCTGGGCTTCCCCCCCTGGATGAACCTGGGCTTCCCACTCCCTTGGCTTCTGGGGCCTCTGCCCAGACCCCGTTGTGACTGTGGGGCGGGCCCTCTCTTGCCACCCCTCCCCTCCCCAGATTCCAGGTGGGAGGAGCCAGATGGGGAAATCTGCTGGGGCACACACACTTGCTCTCTTTCCTTGCTGCCCCACCTCAGATTCTTCTGCTGCTGGGCCTGATCAAGCAGCCCTCGAAATCCCTGGTCTTCTGGTCTCACATCCTCCCCTTTGGGGTTGTTGTGTTCTCTTCATTGTTGTTGTTGTCTTTCAAATTGGAGCCTGTTTTCCATTTTTGGAGGGCGTGTCCCCCTCACTGTGGCAGAATTTCTGGGTGAATGATGATGTCTCTGTATTTAGGGTATTATTATTTTTTTCTAAACAGAAACAAAAAAAAAAAAGCAATTTCTAGTTTATTTCCCTTAACATTTTAGTACTTAGAAAAGCCTCTCTTTTTTTCAGTATTCCAAAATAAAGCTCTCATTCAGTAATTTATTCGTTATCTTATGAAACTGTCTGGAAAGAGATTTTATAAAAGAATAAAACTTTTAAATGAACTTGCCCTCCCTCAGAACATTTTAGTGTGGTTTGTTTGGGCTCCCCTCAGTCTCCACCCTCCGACTCCCTTCGGACTCCTTTTCCTCCCTTTCTAACCCAGGGGCTTCAGGCAGCTTCTGTGTTTCCTGGGGACGCTCCATGCTTCCAAGGGGCTTGCAGGGTGACAGCTGGGCCCCGATGTGGGGTGGAGGAGCAGCACCACACTACTTTGAGCAGCCATGGATTTCCCCCAGGAATCCTGGGAACTGTAGTTTGGCCAGGGCACTCATAGCGGTTGGGAGAGCCTCTGAGCTACAGTTTGCATTTTGTAGGTTTTATCTCTGTGAGCAGAATAGGACGTGGGAGGTTTCTCCTAACAGCTCACTGCACCTTTAACAATCAACGCCAGGAGGCTGTGGTTGAATCTCTCCTTCTGGCCCAGGGGCAGAAAAGGGGCAAGGGCCTACAGTGCCTCCTCTTCCCCGTTGCTCTCTCCCATCCGGCCCTGAGAAGCCGTGTTCCTTCTCCTGTCACCAGCCACGTCTTGGGGGAGCGTCTGCCTTCCTGTCCGTTCTGATAAGGAGTCCCAGCCAAGCAGAAGTGGGCAGCAGGCGCTAGGCCGGTTCAGCCGGATTAAAAATAACTCCTCTCCTGCCCCAGGTCAGGAAGCACTAGGAGGTGTACAGGATCAGCAAGTTGGGGGCTGGAGGAGGCATCCAGAGAAGGCGCAGTGGGCCAGCTATCCCACTGGGCAGTGGGGCTCTCTGGGCTGGCTCAGACACCATTTCATGCATTTCTGAACTCCTGAAGTGCTGTTCAGCTCAGGTCCTGCTTCTGGGCTTCCCCTTACGGTCCTTGTGGTTGACCATGAGAACAGGATGCAGGCCTTTGGCTGGGTCCAGCTGCAGCCAGACTCCTCTTAGGTTCTCTGCCTTCACCTTGCCTGACCTTAGCCTGGGTTTTTCAGAGCCGCAGCTACAGGTAATTGCTCTCCAGCACCATCCAAACCTACCCCTGAGAAGTGAGGATGGGATTTCTGCAGAAATCAGAGCAGCCCTGGCCCAAGGAAGCGTTTCTAGCACAATATGAAGTCAACCCCCCCCCCCGCTTGGTATTCTGCACTATTCTGCTCCTAAACAAGGAGGCTCTCTTGAGCTGCCCGGGCTGGTTACTGTGTGCAGACCAGGCTTTCCCAAGTTTGCTACAGCCAGAGGCTCTCCAAAAGATACCTACTGCCTTGCAGCTGGTCAAGGGAGGCAGAGAAAAGCAGAGTGGGAAGGGTTAAGAGAGTTTTAACTTCACTTTCAGTCTGGGTGACAGGTCTTTAAGCTTGGGCCACCCGCGTCCACCCCTGGAAGGGTCTGTGCCCAGGCTGCTGGAAGTAACGCACATGCAGTCCAGGTGGGTCCCAAGTCAGCAAGAAACCTTCCCTGTTCTACACACCCAACAGCTGGTTGACCGCCTTGCTCCAGGGGCTCTATCCGAGCTGCAGCTGGGCGCGTGCAGGGAGAGGCTTGCTGGCTCCGCAGCGGGAAGGATGGAAGGTCCTCCACTGGGCAGCGCTGGGAGGCCTGGTCAGGAAGGGGGCTGCGGCCGGGCCTCTCCTTGCAAGCGGAAAAGGAGCCCCTCCAGGGCCCTCCTCCGCCGGCTGGGCTGCTGGCCGGCGAGCTGCGGGGAGGGAAGGGACTCTCCGGCCGGAGCGCGCCCTGCAGCAGCCCCCGAGGCGCCCACGGGAAGGAAAGGGTCCCGGGCTGGCGGGGCGGCTCCTCCTCTTCGGAGCGAGCCAGGACCAGACCGTCGGAGCTGCGGCCGGAGCAGGAGGGCTGGGTCGCTCTCTCGGCCCGCGCTGCTGGACCGGAGGGGAGCGCCCTGTCTCTCCCCCTTCGGGGCTCGCCGGGCTGCGGGAAGGAGGGCGGAGAGCGCCGCGGGCGGCTGTGCTTCGGTCCCGCCGAGGGGGGACCGTTGCCTTTCGTGGGAACTCGCCCCGTGCCGCTGCTCTGCGAAGGGATCCCGAGAGCAGGGGATCGACGCTGCCTCCTTCCCCCACCCGCAGTGGAGCTGCGCCGCATCCAAGGCCAGGCAAGTCTCCTCCGTCCCTGAAGCAGGCGACCCCCGCGGAGACCACGGTCCCCCTAGGCAGCGCCTTCCTCGGGAGTAAGACCCTTTCTGCCGCGCTGCCCGGCGGGCTTTTCTCCCAGGAAAGCGGCGGCCGAGGATCGCAACTCGGCTGCTCTAGCGCGCTATCCCGAGGCGGAGGTGCCGCCGGCCCGCCTTCCTCGCGCCTCGAGAGCGCAGCTGAGGCGTCTGGAGGGGAGACGATCCGCCCTGGAGGGTCTGTTCCAGGGTCCCCAGGACCTTTTCCCAGCGCGGACCAACGCCGCCTGGCTGGTTCCTTGCATTTATTTGCTTGCCCGGGATTATCCGCCCTCCTTCCCCGGAGCTGCGTGTTGGGAGGCGCGCTTCGCTCCCTCCCTCCCTCCGAGTCCAGGAATTTGCCGCTTGCGACATATTTCCACCGCCCTCGCCCCGAGTTTTCCTCCTGCCTCAAATAAGGTGTTTGTGCTGCTGCGTTTGGGGCAGGCGAGGCCAGCTGGAAAGACAAATGCGCCCCCGGAGCAGCAGCACCGTCCAGCTCCAGGCGGGGAAGGAATGTGTCCGCCGGGATGGATGCTTCGGCCCGCCCTGCTCCTCCCCGTCTCCAGGGCGAGGATCCTCGGGCTGCCCGAGATGGGAAAGAGGCTGCTGGGGCTCCAGGGACCCGGCCTGGCTGGCTGCTCGCTTCTGGCGCAGAGACAGCGAGACGCTGTCGCCTTTCTCCCGCGGCCCGTTTACGCGGGGCGGCTTTTGAACGCGCAGGCTTCTTTCTGGGTGGGGGCGCCGTGAAGCAAGGCCCCCTCCCTCCCTCTCCTCTCCTCCTGGCAGGCTCCCCCCTGCTCCAGCTCCTGCCCCCTCCTGCTCCTGCCTCCCGCTTTAGCTGCCTGGACAATAGCGGCCCCCCCTGTCCGGCATTTCGCCCCCTCCCGAGCCTTTGGTCTCTCTCCTGGCAAAGGGATGGGCCGCCGGAGTTCGGGGGCAGAGCAGCTGCTCGGCGTGCAGAAGGTCTGGGATTCCGTCCCCGCTGGCAGCATCTCCCCGCAGGGCCGAGAAAGCCCGAAGAGCCACAGTCAGTGCTCGACCTTCCAGAGCCCAGTCGCCCCTCCTGCTGTTGTGACCCCCAGGGCGGGCATTCAGAGCCTCGTTGTTTCGGATCCTGACGTAGATATACATGCGTGCAGACGCCCCAGACCTGCACCTCATAGGCGGGGTTGTGTTTTCTTACGGAACAGGCCGCTCTCACATTCGCAGCTGCTTGCGAGTGGCCCGTCCGCACCACATCCCGCTGTGCTCGTTGTTCTGCGGCTGCCCCGGAGGGGCGACTCTTGCGCCATCGCGCAGCAAACGCCGAGTCCAAAAGCTTGCAGGCAGTGGCGGCCCCGTTGCAGCGCAGCCCGCCGCGCACAAAGCGCCGGGCAAGCGCGATCCCAAGGCGCCCGGGTGCGCGGCCTCCTCCGCGAGACCCCCCCCCATTCCTGCTGCCGCCCCGCTTCCCCCGGGGGGATCGGGAGCGTGGAAAGCAGCGCTTCGGCTCTCCGCCCCTTCCCGCCAGGTGTGCCGAGGGCTCCTTCCGCAGGAGGGCGAGGCTCCTCGGCTGGGAGGGGACTCGCCTGCCGCCGCCGCCGCCGCCGGAGCACCAAGAGGAGGAAGTGGAAGCGCCCGGAGGCCGCGATGGTCGCCTGCAGGTGCCTCCCGGAGCTCCGCGGCGCCGAGGGCGGCGGCAAGAGGGGCCGGTGAGAGCGAGCGCGTGAGTGCCGGCCAAGGGGGCTCCGTCTCTTGCCGCCTCTGGTCGCCCCGCGGGGGGAATCTGGCCTGTCTGCGGGGAGAGAGAGAGAGAGAGAGACCCCCAAATGAGGAAGTCGCTCCTCTCTCCGTCGCCTAGGCCCGCGGAGGAGCAGAATCGCGACCGTCCCCCGGCGGGGAGAGGCGCCTCCCGCGCGCGCACGTGTAGAAGGGCCGTGAGAAAGTGTGGGACGTGGGGTCTGGAAGCAGATAGGGAATTCCCCGGTGCTGGTGCGGGCGGGGAAGGGCCTCGGTCCTGATGGGGGCGGACAGCAGCCCATCCCTCGCAGGAGCTGACCGCTTCCTTTTCTTTTGCAGCTGATGGCCAAGGATGGAGGGGGCGAGGTCCTTGCCAGTGGTGAGGGGGGGCGCCTAGCCAGAAGCCCCGAGGTGAGTGGGGCATCCGGGGCTGGGCCTGGGCTGCTGCTGCTGCTGCCCCTCCCCGTCCCAGCTTGGGGTCCCAGCATGCTCAGTTCACAGAGCCCTTCCTTTAGCCACCAGAGACTTCTGTGGTTCCAGGAAGTTCTAAACATCTCCCAACATGCGCTCAGGGTGCTTATTTTCTTTTTAAATCAGGGTTGGCCAAGTGGGTTTATTTCTTTGTAAAACATGGGGGGGGGGGGAGAGAAAATTGTGTGTGTCAGAGCAGAATGAATGCATATTGTTGCCTGTTGCCCCAATCGCTGAGCTGTGCGAGATCCCGGGGGTTTCAGGCCCACTCAGCGTTCATTCCTGACATGATGTATATTTTGCTCTAGGAAGCTTAGTTTGGTCAGAATGGAGCCTCCACTTCCAGAGTTAACACTAAATACATTACTTCTGGTAAATGAGCCACCTTAGTCACTAGAGGGCTGTGAAAAATTGTGTCCCTGGCTTTTCAGACTTGTCCACCTATGTACTATCTGAAACCAAAGGGCACATTGGTTGCAGGATGTGAATTTTTTTCCTGCTCTCTTACCCTACTACCAAGAACCTTGATTAAATTCTGAGACTTACTGGGTCCAGGGATTTAGGGGAGTCTGGCACCCACAAACACATAACAATATGAATGTCTAAAGAGGTTGGGGAACTTGCAGAAGACCATAAAGCCCTGGGTCCAAAATGGCCTAGTTGCACTACAGTTGGTAGAGTTTAATTACGACTGTGGGGTGGGTGGCAGGAAAGGGCTGAGACCAGGGTGTCCCCTCCCACTGCAGGGGCTGCCCATATGAGTCGGGAAGACTGTGCGGCATTTCCCCAGGACATCTTGTTCTGCTAACACATAGTGGGCCACCTGCTCCCGCTCTGTCTTTGAGGGGGGCTGGTTCTGTTCCACAAGGTCCAGTTTCCCCCCAGCCTGGATGCCCTGAAATCTCTCCTTCAGCCCTCACCTGCCTTGCCTTCTGCTCAGCATTGCTGCTGCCGCCACCTACAGTGAACCTTGCCAAGTTCCTCCCCCCACCTTGCACTCGGGGAAAGGGTGCCTTGCACACCAACGGCAGGCAGAATGCGGGGAGTGGATCTGTCAGCTTCTGTGGGGGTCCTGCTGGGGGTGGCAGGTGGGGAGGGTGGCATCCTTTGACCTTGCCCTCCATCCCTGCTCTCTGCAGGAGGCCCCGTGCAACCTGCATGATGAGGACAATGACGAGGTCTTTGAGAGCCCCGACAGCCCAGGCCCACGGCCGGGCTGGACCACGTCAGCCACCTTCCGCCACTGCAGCGTGGATGAGCTTTACGAGCTCCTGGAGAAGCTGGGCAGGTGAGGACCCAGGAGCACGGGGGCCGGTGGGAAGAGCAGGGCCGGGAGGGTCTGGGGACAGCAGAACGGGTCTTCTGGGCCCAGCCCCCAGCGGCATCTCAGAGGGAAGCTGGGAGAGGCTCCTGACAGCTGCTGCCAGTCAGTGTAGACAGTGCAGAGCTCGATGACCCCTGCTGCTCTGACCTGACCAAAGGTCTCTTGCTGTGCTCTTAGCGTTGCTGCCCTTCTCCCCCTCCTCTCCCCACTCAGCGGGCACTTCGGGGTGGTCAGGCGCTGCCAGGAGCGCTGCACGGGCTCCTTCTATGCTGCCAAGTCCGTGAAGGTGCGGAAGCGAAAGGGGAGCCGCCTGGGCCTGGACCGCGAGCAAGTGGAGCGAGAGGTCTCCATTCTCCAGCAGCTCCAGCACCCCAACATCATGCGCCTCCATGACGTCTTTGCCGGGAAGGGCGAGGTGGTCCTGATCCTGGAGCTGTGAGTGTCGGAGGGGAGGGACTTGCTTTGGGGCTCCACACTCTGGCTTAGTCTGCTGCAGCAGAAGCAACAAGGTGCCTTGTGATACCTGAAAATATCCCTAGCTTTAACAAGGAAACCTCCATGCAAATGACCGCAAAGTGACCTCCAGGCCACAAAAACTCCTTTAACAAGAAACCTGTTTGGAAGCCCCCAAGCTATCAGCATTTTGCAGGAGGGGCTCAGTTGCACTTCTGGTTTGCATAATTAAGGGTGGAGTCAAAGGGCTCTGTCACCTTTGCACAGCAAATCAACTTTTAAAAATGAATGGGCTGTTCGTGGTTTGGAAGGTGATGGAGAAATGCATAGAAAAGCATGAGATGAACGAATTCCCAAAGGGAAGGCATAGACACACCCTGTGCGAGGGGAAGGAGTAGAAACCTGTTTTTGAGACTTCTGTCTCCCAGTTGCTCATAAAACTGGGGGTGCCACTACTATCGGGGGGACGGGACTCCAGGTCTCATGACACCTTTGAGAAGACTGCAAAATAAATAATATTTTGTAGCGCCTAGTGTTTCTTTCCTCCTCCTAATTCCCAAAGTGGGGCAGCTTAGGGAAGAGGCGGCATGCCCTGGGACACACGCCAGGCCAGCTGCCCCCAATCCACCCTCCCTCTCCCTCCAGCATCCACGGAGGGGAGCTGTTTGACTTCATCGCAGAGAAGGAGCTTCTGACGGAGACAGAAGCCATCCAGTTCCTGCAGCAGATCCTGCTTGGCCTGACCTACATGCATTCCCAGCGCATTGCTCACTTTGACCTCAAGGTACGCCAGCCCTGTGAGGTGCTTCCTGGATCTCTGGAGGCTTTTGAGCAACACAGGAGTCTTCTCTGAGGGCGCGTTGGTCCTATCTCCTTCCCTGATCTCTTCTGCAGCCAGAGAACATCATGCTCTTCCAGAAGGATGCCCCCAACCCCCTGATCAAGATCATCGATTTTGGCCTGGCCCAGAAGCTCGAGGAAGGCGTGACCTTCAAAAGTTTGTGTGGGACTCCCCAGTACATTGGTAAGAGGGCAGAGCAAGCTGGGGTCCTCTCCTGTCCCAGAGCCCCCGGCGGAGGAATCTCCCCTGCCCTCAAACCAGCAGCTCAGCCCCTGGTGTGGGCCGGGGTGGACTTGGCCACAGCAGAGAAAATGTTGCTGTTGGTTGTCAGACTTCTTAGTTGCTTCTTACACAAAAAAATCTCCAAGCGACTTAACAACACCTTTAAAAGCTTAAGCATACCTGATAAAAGAGACACATTCTCCTCACAGAAACACCTGCAATTAATGAAAACACATGTTTTGGCAGCGAAACGAGAGTGTCCCAAAGGGCGTCCCGTTTCTTGCCTGCTGCTTGCTCCTGTTTCGGAGGAACCTTCTCCCAGACCCTTCCCCACAAAGGCAGGGCAGCCCATGAGCTCCAGAGGGTAAGGGCAGGCTGCTCATGAGCTCCAGCTGCCATCAGCCCCAGCCAGCCAGTGGCCAGGGAGGAGGACAGGAGTGTCAGTCCTGTGACATTGTCTGGAGCAGGGAAGCCAAGACCAATCGGGGGTGGGCTCAGACTCCCAGCAGCCAAGACTTAAGGATGGTAATGGTGGTGGAGATCACCAGAGTTTGGGTTTGGAGGGGCTCCCAGGAGGAGGTTAGGCAGCAACGAGGCTGGGGTGGCTCTCTGGGGCCCGAAGGCCAGGGAAGTGTCCCGTCTCTCTGGCTTAATGGGAACCCCTTTTTGGTTTCTCAGCGCTGACACCGTTTTGCCCATTTCTTCTTCCTCAGCTCCTGAAGTGATCAACTATGAGGCTCTGAGCACAGCAACGGACATGTGGTAAGAAGCGGTAGCAAGTGTGTGTGTGTGTGTGTGAGAGAGAGAGAGAGAGAGAGAGAGAGAGAGAGAGGGAGAGAGAGAGAGAGAGAGGGAGAGAGAGAGAGAGACTCTGTGCCAACATCCTGCATGCCCTTGGGTGGCTGGGGCAGGTGGGGGAAGAGCGAGCAACTGAGGGAGTGAGCAGGACCCTCCAGGAAGTGCTCACGTGCCAGACTCAGGCCTCCAAAGCACCACAGGAAAAAAGGTGCACAAGCTAAGCTCATGTTGGGTTTGTGTTTTACCTGTCTAATATGACGACAGCCACCCACACCCGCCACCAGGCTGAGGCCTTCCTCCAGTCCCACCAGTCCTCCCTGAGTCTTCCCTTTGTCTGCTTGGGGTGGCCCACCCCACAGCCCTCCCGCCCTCCGCGCTGGATTTTGCACGCCCCCCCAGTCCTCAGGTGTCCTGTCAAGGAATGTACTTGCTGGGTGCTCCCTTCAGCTTCTCTCTCTCTCTCTCCCTTTTTCTTCCAGGAGCATCGGCGTGATTACCTATATATTGTAAGTACCTTGAGACTCCCTGCATTTGAGGCTGAGGGCGGGAGTGGGCAGTGCAGGGCCTCAGAATTATTTACACCTAGGATGCATTTTAATCCATTAAAAAAATTAATTCGTCCTCAGAGGAAAAGAACAATTAGAAAATACTTTTTAAAATGGTGCTAAAGACGATGACTCCCTGTCGTCTCAGGCCTTTGATGACCTGAATGGCTTGATTCCAAAATCTGGTCTCGAGGTCTGGCCTTGCTGCTTTGCTGCTCTCCTCCTGTCCATGGTTTTATATTGGACCCCCCCCCCTTTTGTGTTGTATAGTATGTTTTCATTGCACCTTTACTGGAAGCTCTCCTGCGATGACAACGTAATGAAGGGCAGTCTATAAATAAATAAAGGAAGCTGCGTCTTCCCAAATGCCCCTCCGTTCTGCAGGTTGCCAGCATTGTAGGAGCAATGGAGGAAATGGCACCTGGAGGGCAGAATATCTCCCCCCTTTATTGGTCCTCATTAGCTACTTTCCGTAGCTGATTTTTTTAGGGCATTTGTTGATTTTGCATAAGGCTCCTTCAGTAAGTGCAAGCTCCCTTGTAAGAATTCAGGTTTTTAAATAATTCTTAAATGATTGCACGCCCGCCCACCCATGCTTGTCTGCTCTGAATAATGCCTGCTTGATCCCCGCCGTGAGGTTTCCTTTTGATCCTACCTTCTCTGCCCTTTGCAGACTGAGCGGCATGTCCCCCTTCCAGGGAGAGACGGACGCAGAGACCCTGACCAATGTCGTCTCCGGCAACTACGAGTTTGAGGACAAGTACTTCAGCCAAACATCAGAGCTGGCCAAGGACTTCATCCGGCAGCTGTTGGTGAAGGAACCTGGGTAATGGCCCACCAGGGGTGAATCTCTCCAGGGTGGTTCTCTCAGGTTCTCAGTTTTCCTGTCTTAAATTCAGTTCTCCACATTTCAACAGCAATCTGCAATGAAAAAATGCCTCCTCATCAGCATTTTGGGATGAATTTCTCCTAGTGGACACATTTTGCAATGCTTCCATAATGCATATTTTGTGTCTTACTTTTACTAATATGTGTGTTTTTAATGAACACACAACTTAGCTGGAAGCTGCATTCACAGGAGTGCAAATTTTGAAGGGTGACTACCTTTTGCTTCTCAAATTGTTCTGGCAAGTGCAAACAAGGGAGGTTTGCCTTTGAGATTCCCCCCCTCCTTCTCTCCCTCCTGGTGGGACCTTGGCTCAGTCCCCGGAGGGATTCTCCTGCAGGCCTCTCTCTCTCCGCTCCAGAGGGGAAATGACAGAAAGTCAGTTGTGCGTTTTTTCCTGTTTCAGAGACCGAATGTCGGCCGAGGAATGCCTCATCCACCCCTGGATCAAGGTCAGAGCCTGGGAGGGGAGGCTGGCTGGGGAAGCTGCCTTAGACTGAGCCAGACCTTTGGGATCTGTCCTAGAGCTCTAGGTTGAGATTCTCGGGAACCCTCCTTGGTTTCTTCTCTGCCCCCATCCTGGCCTGAACTGATGGGGGAGGGGAGGCAGGAGGATTTTGGCAATGGGCAGAGTTGCAGGTGCCTGTTTTTTCCAGCCCCTGACCCGGAAGCAGGTTGCGAACCGGAGCCGCTCCTCCATCAACATGAAGAACTTCCGCAAGTTCAATGCTCGCCGGAAGTGGAAGGTAAATTGAGCAGCCCCCCCGCCTGCACCCTCAAAGCCAGTCAGCAAAAAGAAGCCGGAGGGTGCAGGACACCTGTCCCTTGGCAGTGGGGGTGCCCTACTCTGACCTGAACAAAAGCCTATATAAAAACAGTTGCTTGCACACATGAAAACAATTCAAAAATCAAAACAGCAGTTGCATACAGTTGTGCCTTGCGACTCGAACGATTTGGCTCCTGAACACTGCAGATCTGGAAGTGAGTGTTCCGGTTTGCGCAGGTTCTTTGGAACTCAGACATCCGCGGCTTCCGATTGAGTGCAGGAAGCTCCTGCAGCCAATCGGAAGATGTGCCTTGGTTTTTGAACGTTTTCGGAAGTCAAATGGACTTCCGGAATGGATTCCTTTTGAGAACCAAAGTATGACTGTATTTAAGCCCAGTTTCAAATCCAGGGCAAATCCCAACAGCTCACCATCTCCCCTTCAGAGGCTTTTTGAAAGAGACATCTGTGGGCTGTGAGGGAGGGGCACAAGGTCTTCCTGCGAGAGGCTCTGTGCGCCTCATCTCTGCATTTCCTCTCCAGCTCTCCTACAACATGGTGTCGGCCTGCAACCGCCTCTGCCGGATGGGCCTCCTGTGCCAGCAGAAGCGGGATGAGGAGAACTTGGTGAGTGCCCTTTCCTGGGCGATGGCCTCCTTGCCCTGCTTCTCAACTCCTGACGAGGAGGAGGGGGCCGGTCCGGGAACCCTCCCCTGCCTCTGCCCCCCACGTCTTCCCTCCCAAGCCACCCTTGCCTGGCTTTCGTCCCCTTCACTCCGCCCTCCTCTGCCCCCCAAACAGCGCGGCTGCGAGAGCGACCAGGAGGGGGAGGCCAGCAGCCCCGTCACCCTCTTCCGCAGGCGAAGGAGCAGCTGCTCGTGATCAGGGACACCGGGAGGCAGGAGGCAGCCTGCTCTTCCAACCCCGTCCATTCACCAACCCAGGAGGGTGCGGCACAGCATCTCGGGGAGCTCCAGCCTTCGACAACCAGCCCGTGGTTGCTGCAATGTGGACAGGGAAGGGGCCTGCTGGGAGGAAGCCCAGCATTAAATGCCTGCGTTGCCCCACACCCCTGCTGTGCCGGGGGGGGGGTCTTCCATTGTGGGCGGGAGACAGCTCTCTCTCTGCCTCCAGCGCCCGGGGCTTGGCGTTTTGGTCAGATGGCTTCCAGCAGAGGCAAGCATTTGGGGCTTCTTAAAAAAATGCTTTGTATGTATGTTTGCTTTTGGGGAGCAGGGGATTCACTTCCCAACTATTTCTGACCTACTTGGGGGAACAGAACTCCGCTCCCCCCATGCCACCCCCCCCCACTACCCATCCCTTCCTCCAGGAATTCGTGACCAAAAAAGGTCCCTGGTCACTTTTTAATAATGTGCATAGCGTTAATGATATCTATACAAGCAAAGAAATGAAACATCTGTGTCTTCCTGCTCGGCTGCTTTTTGCTTTTGCTGAATTTGGTTCACGTTAAAAGGTCAAGCAGATAAATGATTGCTTCACAAAGTGGTTTGTGAGTGATTCCCAAGGATTCAGCTGTCCCCTCTTTCTAGGATTTCATGAAGGGACTGTAGACAAGTTCTTTCCTCTCTCTCTCTCTCTCTCTCTCTCTCTCTCTCTCCCTCTCAGCACCTATAATCTCCCTCCCACACAGTCTGCACTGGGGGAAAAGTAATATCTGCCCACCTTGCAGAGATGCTGCCACGAGGGTTCAGTGGCCACCCTGTAGTTTAACTAGTTCAGCATAGAAAGCTGCCATTGGGCTTCATCTAGCTCAGTGTTGCCTGCACTGACTGGCAGCAGTGGCCTGCCAAGGTTTCAGATGAGAAGCCTTTCCCACCGGCACCTGGAGATGCCCTGCCACTGAGCCGCGGTGGTCCTTCCCAAGCCAAGCGACACGTTGCTGCCCCCCCCCACTGCTGCCGAGGTGGGAGAGGCCGAGGGGGCCTTGAGCCCAGCAGGGCAAAGCACCTGGCTCTGTCCTCTTCCCAGAGTGTTGTTGTTTAGTCGTTTAGTCGTGTCCGACTCTTCATGACCCCATGGACCAGAGCACGCCAGGCACTCCTGTCTTCATGCCTGTTGCCTTTGTCCATGGAGTTTTCTTGGCAGGGATACTGGAGTGGCTTGCCGGTTCCTGCTCCAGGTGGATCACGTTTGGTCAAAACTCTCCACTGTGACCTGTCCATCTTGGGTGGCCCTGCACGGCATAGCTCATAGCTTCTCTGAGTTATTCAAGCCCCTTCGCCCCGGCAAGGCAGTGATCCATGAAGGGCAGCAGATAAAAATCATTCCGGAGGCTGCAGTGGGCAGAATTGGCCAGCAGGGGGCACCACAATGCAAGGACTGAGACCATGGGGAGGGAGGTCAGGAGGGCCAGTGTGAAGAGTTCAGGGTGGTTTTTGTGGGGTGGAGTAAAAAGGATCTTCTTGTGGTCAGCAGAGGGTGCTCCAGTATATAAGGACTCTGGTCTTCTAGATATTCACACACACACTTTCATACTCGTGGAAAGAATTGTAAAAAGTATTACCAACATGGTGAATTGTTTCTGTTAATTATGCAGCTATCACTGTTTGTCATGCCCTGTGTTTCATCTCCTCTGACCCCACTGTTTACAACTCCGCCACCACTTTGATGCCGCTTTGTTTGATATATTTTGTATGTCTTAAATTTTCGTACACCACTTGTGACTTTACTGGACAGCTGACGGTTTTGCACAAGGCCTCCGCGGCCCACAAAAGTTTATTATGCCATAATAAATTTGTTAGTCTTTAAAGTGCCACAAGATTCTTCTGTTCCTTTTGCTTTGGGGCGGGGGGCCTCCTCCTCCTCCTCTTTGGCAAGCGATCCCACCTCCTCTCCCGTCCGCTGCTCTGGAGCCTCTTCTCCTCAGGCTGCCTTTGCCGCCATCCTGGTGCGTGACTCTGGCACAAGGCTTGTGACCTGCCTGCTTGTGTTTGTGGAAGTGCCCTCTGGAGCAGGCCGGGGGAAGAGACTTGCTTGCAATGTTGCACTTGGCCAAGACGACTCTGCACATGCGCACACCAGGAGGCCTCTGGCGAGAGCAGACCTAGGTGACGGCCCTCCTTTGTCAGTTCTTGCACATCATGTGCCCCAACTGAGCACGAAGGCCAGCGGGAGAGGGAGTGTGCGCATCGTGCAATATATATATGCACATAGTTTTAAAGAGCACAAGTCATCACAGATGCCACGCTTACTTCAGTGCAGGACTGACCTTTGGGGATGCAGGATTTTTGTGTGGCCTGTTCATTGTTTCAGCTTTGGCTGCCTAGATTTTGGCAAAGGCTGTCCAGGGATTAAAGTGTTTGTACGATCTGTCAAGTTGTGCCTGATTGATTATTATCTGCTCTGCGGCTCGTTACTTAGCCAATTGTCTGGATACTTCACAGGCAACCTGTTTTGCCAGGGGTGAACTGTTTGAAATCATTACCTAAAGTCCTTAATTGAGCAAGTTGAACAGGCTGGCTTTTGGAAAGCCACAGTGAGACAGGGAGCGACTAAACAGCCACCTGATTACTAGTGTGGCAGTTGCAGCCAAGGGGTGGGACTCCCTCATCATGTTGAATAATCCAACGCCTTTTCTGTTTCGAGCTGTCAGTCTGTCAGTCATGCCCTCAGTCTTGATGAAAGCAAGTTGGGCGGCCCTTCTGGGTGCAATTCAAGGTAGCAACTTTAATTTTACAGATTTGAAAACTATTTCAGAGCCAGAAGGTGAAGCACAAAAGATTTGAGATTGTGCACACACCACACATTTAGAGCACATGACTTCCCACTAAAGAATCCTAGGAACTGTGGTATGTTGTGGGTGCTGGGAATTGTAGTTCTGTGACTACAGTTCCCAGGGTTCTTGGAGTGGGTGGGAGCAAAAATGCACTTTAAAGGTGTAGCGCTTTAAATCAAATAGAAGCCAAACTTGACAACATAACCTAGTGGCTGAAGGGCCCGGAACCCTAACCTTAAAGTCCCACCTTTGGTCTCTAGCAGGTTGTTACCTTCCTCCAGTTTTAGTGAAGAAAGGAGCAAACAGAGTTTATAATGAAACCCAACTTTGTGTAGAAAACTAACAAGCCTGTTTGCAAAATGAACCCCAAGCCTGACGCCTGTAAAAAGGAAAAACTTACTTTCTGCAAAGTTTGCAGTTCATGAAGGGGTGAATGAGAGTTTACTTTGACCGGACTCTGACTGGTTGAAAAGTCAGCAGTTGGCAAGGTTTAGTTGTAAGGAAGCCGCAAGCGACACTTGAGGTTTCTGGACTACATCTCCCATAATCCCAGAGCATCAGACACACTGGCTGCCGGGAGTCCCAGTAGTATCTGGAGGCCTGCAAGTACCCATTAAAGTTAGGACATCTCTGCCTTAGGTAGAGAAATCCCAATAGGAAGGATAGTGTTGTACCTTTTATAATTTAGTATGTGTGTTTAAATGATTATTTATCCTGCTCTTCCATCACAAATGCTCCCCCAGTGGCTTACAAATTACTTTAAAAACATAAAGACAGTTCCTGCTCTCAGACATACAATCTAAAAACATGACAGAAAAGGAAAATGGTTTGAGAAGGAAGAGGAAATGAGTACCATGTGACTCAGCCATTCAGGCGACCGACAGAAACCTCATGTGATCTACTGAGCTGCAGAGCCAACCTCTGGGCGGGATCTGAGTGGGGCTGCTGAGGAGGGCAGAGGGGCAGGGCTGGGTCGGTGCTTGCAGTGAAGAGTCCCCCTGAGCACGTGCAGAGCGCATTGAACGGGGGAGTCCCCACGTTTAGAGATTAGAGGAAAGGCATCCAAATGTTGCCTAGGGGGCAGCAAGGTTGGCTGGAGATGCAGAGAGCGGTCCCTGTCCTTGGAACAAGCCTTAGCTCCACCTGTGAAATGGGGACTTTCTTCTGCTCTGTGCTCTAGATAGAAGAGGAAGGAAATCTCCTCTCAGAAGATGTTGAAGAAGGAGCGTACGAAGCTGCCTTATGCATACTGCATCGGAGCAATGGTCCATCTAGCTCCCCGTTGTCTACACAATACTGGCAGCCGTGGCTTTCAGGCAGGGCATCTCCCACGCGGAGATGGTGCCAGGGGGGACCTGGGCTCTGCATGCCAAGCAGATGCTCTGCCCCTGAGCTTCGCCCTCCTTCCCAAACAGGAGGCGCTCCTGCCGGTTAGTGCAGCTGGTCTTCTGCCCCCCACCCGGTTTCCTGCCCTGATTTCCCCTCTGCTCCTCTTTCATTGGCGCCCCCTTTGAGCCCCGCTCTTCTCGCCTCTGCACCCCGTTCCTGCCCTGAGGTGCTTTCCCTGCCCCCACCCCTCCTGATTGCCCCCCACTTTCTCTCCCTCCAGCGGCTGCTCCTCACTCCTTTCCTTATTTCCCAAACAAGAAAGGGAAGCCAGTTCCTCCGTCCAACCTCATCTTGCTCCAGTTGTCAGGCTAAATATTTTGAAGTAACAACCGAAAACAAACTGTTGGAACTGGCCCAGTTCTGGCTCTCCAGCCCTCGAGCAAGAGGCGGGCTGCTTCTCCCCCCCCCCCGCCCCCCAGCCACACACAACCACAAGGGGCAAGCCGTGCTTGTGTGCAAAAGGTCCTGTGTTGCCCGTGCAAGAAAGACAGACTGGCTCCGCCCCGGAGCTGCCCTGGCGGGGATGTTTCCACTCTCCCTCCTTTCCCGGTGCCCAGGTGCCGGAGTCCCAGGGGGGCCAGATGCTTCTGGGCTGTAGGATGGAGAGCAGCCGCCGCCGCCGCCCCCGGGAGGGACCAGCCAGAGCCCAGGGGCTGCTGCTCACCCCTTTGCTGTGGACCTGACCCTCTGTGGTGAGAGGGGGGCTCTCTACCTCCCCCCATGAAAGAGAAACCCCGGCCTCTTGTGACTGAGAGTG